TCTTTGTCTCCTATCAATTACTTTAATTAAATTTAGCACAATTTCTCCCCCAAACTTTATTCTGTGTTTATTTTCTGCTTCCTCTCATGCTCCTCTGTTTCTCTGATAGAACGAGTCCAGAGCGCGACCCTCTGATTCTTCTGTCCAGAGAGTCTCCAGATCTGGTGGATGCAGAGTACACGAAAAACCAGGCCTGGAAGTCTGAGAAGGTCAGTCAGTCACACTGAAACCACAAACACATTAACAATGTAATTATAGCAACCCTCTTGCATTGTGTGGTGATTGGTTGAGGTTTAAAGCTTTTGGACACTGAAATCTGAAAGTCAGTCTGTGTTTGCCTCCTGTTTTAGGACACACTAGGGAAACCACCAGCCAAAGAAATCCCACTGGTCGATCACTGCAAATACAAGTAAGCTGGATTTTTGATCAAGGACAAAATAAAATACAAGCCCTTTCATCAGTCCCTCCTTAACCTCGTTTTATATGCTTACAGATATTTATTCAACTTCCGAGGTGTGGCAGCCAGCTTCCGCTTCAAACATCTCTTCCTCTGTGGTTCGCTGGTGTTCCACGTGGGCGATGAATGGCAGGAGTTTTTTTACCCTCAGCTAAAGCCGTGGGTCCACTACATCCCAGTAAAGCAGGACCTCTCTGACCTCAGGTACCACAACAACTGGTTTCTCAGTTACGCTGATTGATTTCAGTCCTGGTTTACATGTTTCCAGTTCACTTGTTGAGGTGTTGAGGCGTCGTCTGGAAAGTAAAAGTAATGCAGCTGCTGAACTTGGACACTTTTGGATCTGCAGGCGTGTATTTATCCCACAAAAATGAATCTGTTGGGAGGATATATTAGTTAAATAGCTTTATATTATCAACTCAACAGAGAGATCAGTGATCAATCATGTTGTAAAAAACATTTAAACTCCTTTTGACCAGATTACTTTGACTAATAACTCTCTACTGGCTGCTTCAGTCACACTAAATAATCCCTAAAATGTAAATATGAATGCCTTTTTAAATTATTACGAGAGTAAATTTCACATTTTTCTGTGGTGCCTGTTTTCATCCACTTTACTTGCACATAAGTATAAATGCAGTTTGACTGTTTACTGCCTAAAAAAGGATCTTTTGACAGTTTAAGACCTCAGTTTATGAGCGTAAATGCATAATCGATAAAGAGCTCCCTCACTCTTCAGAAAAACAAATACAAGCCAAGTGTGTCTACCTTCATTTATTTTACAAATCATACTTTTATAGTCCGATGAACGTATCTCAGCCTCATACAGATACACATGTGAAGTTGTTACAGTAGCAGAAACCTGAGAGGTCAGTACTTGTATGAGTGGAATCGGCACTGAAGGCGCTTTTCATTCAGCTCTATGAATCTCCTTTTGTACGTGTGTATGTTAAATGTTGATGTGTCTTTACATGTTCTGCGTCCTCAGGGAACTACTACAGTTTGTCAAAGAGAATGATGCGATCGCTCAGGAGATCGCCACGAGGTAACGGATCATATTTTATGACTGGATTTGAATGCGTTTGCGCTGTCGGTCTGACTCTCTGCTTCTTCCCACAGGGGTAAGGAATTCATCCTCAACCACCTGCGGATGCAAGATATTTCCTGCTACTGGGAGAGACTCCTCACCGAGTTCAGCCACCTTCTCACCTACAAACCCCAGAGGAAGAACAACTACAACCAGATTGTCCACAGACCCAGCAAGACGGAGCTATAAGAGAGAGACACAGGGCGGGACCAGGGCAGCTGTAGCGAAGGGAAACTCTACATAATGAATGTAATCACTGCACCTCAACATACGATGTCCTCACAAGCAGCATCGTCCTTCCAGGAGTTACACATAGCTACGTAGCTTAGCATTACACAGTCGTAGGGGTAGTTTTAGTGTGTTGACTGTGGATGCTGCCATACCTTCAGGTGCCACCGGGGGGGGGCGTATATGCCAATTGTGAGTCATTGATTACTTGCTGGTTCATTTAGTTAATTTGCTTCTAAAAATAACTCCTCTCTTTTTATGGCTGCTGTCTGTTCTCACCAGCATCGTAACGTCCATCGAGCTGCGTTTTTTAAACTCTAAGAAAATACTGAACAAGTCTGCATATAAACTGGGGGATGTGGAGTTTGAAAGATACAGCAGGTTGTGTGTTATAAAAAAAAATGTATCTGCCTGCCAAGTTGCATTATGGGAAGTGTAGTATCTGGTGTTTTTGGAGCTAAAGGTCAGGATATCGCAGCTTTTGGAGTAAACCTTTAACATGCAATGTAAACACTCAACGTTGTCTTGTGACATTCATCTGGATTTGGCTTGTGGACCTCTTTTGGATAGTTTAAATAGTTTTGAATTTGTGTTTGAACATCAGCTTTGTTATCTTCAGTGACCCACGAGGAGTGCCTTCTCCTCTCTGTAGCCGACCACTCGTCCAAACCTAATAGAAAATACTGCACATCCAGCTGTGGAGCTCCTAGAACTCTAATTTTAAGTACCTGAATGGCAGCACAGCAGAGTGTGGTGTTGAATATCCACATAGGATGTACCAGTAATAATAGTTACTAGTTATTCTGTTACATATGTTTTTTGTCTGGCCTTTTTGTTTCTAAAAATATGAAAAATATTGAACCAGAACCTTTGTTCTAATTGTTCAAATCCTTTTCTACCCAAGTCGTATTGGTATAAGAACATATCGACCAAAAGAGATGCTTATTTGGTTATTAGTAAATACGAATCATTCATAAATACATGTAACTGGTTGTTGATGGGGGAGGAAAGTGCCATCGGTGCATCACTAATACAGCCTATGAAGTAGTTTGTTTCATGTCTGTGCCACTGACAGTGAAGTTAAAGCTCATAAAGGACATCAGCTTTGCTACACTGCCCTCTACTGGACAACTGGACACACTCCAGCAGACCTTCACCTAGCTTCATTACAACAACACATCCCAACACTGTTTAATTTACTTGTTTATTAACGGTTATTGTCTGCATTTAAATGGGTTCTGCCATAAGTATATAAACTTGAAAGCACAATTCATTGTCAACATTTCAGTCCACACTAAGTGCCAACAGTAAGCAATAATCACTATAAAGTAATTTAGTTTTATTTTGATGTGTGGAGTTTCCAAGAAACACTCGTGTTAATTGTTTTTACCTTTTGATGATGATGTAAAGTTGCTACAGGAGAATGTTGAATATGTTGTAGTATTCACGTTGTACTGTGAGCGGACAGATTCTCTCTGATGTTAGGTTGGTATTGTTTACAGTATTGTTAGAACTATGGTGAAAGATGGCCCATTAGTATGTTGACTTGACCAAAAAGCTGTGATCATGTGCCTCGTCAAACTGTGACATTGAGGTTGTTGGCACAGCTTGTGCAGCAGGTTTTTGTTTTAATGGCAATAAACAATTTTATTCTTAAAACATCCTGAAGTTTTTCCTCATTCGTGACTTCTTCAGTGTGTTTTTTTTTATTATTATATGCACGTGCAGAATTGAACATCTACAATAAGTGTTAGTTATTCAGTTTGTTTGAGTTTATTCACAATACCACTTCAAACATTACAATAATACAATAATACAGTTGGGGTACAAAATCAATTGGGTAGAGTGAATGGGTCCCCAAGGAAGCTAGGAAAGCTTATAGGTGGGGGCCCATGGTACAGACAATGGTATACACCTGTAACCAGATGATGAGTAAATCCACGCACAGAGCGCACCAGAACATACATAACAATACATACACACACAATCGTACACATACATCCCAGTAATGCATGAGAAAACAGTTTTATATTAAATATAGGTTATTAGGAAATGATTTTTTTTTGTTGTCTTTTAAAGTTGAAGATAGAGGGCAACACCTTGAGGCCATCATCTATCCCGTTCCAGATCTGCGGCCCCCTACAGACCACACTCATACTGGCGCGCACATCTCGGCGACATTTTCCTAATATAACTGGTTTTCTTCTCGTTTGGTATGTGTGCTCGGGGCTGGAGATGAGCACAAGACTACTCCATCTAGAGTTCAGCCTGTTGACAATTTGAAACATACGGCAGGCATTATGATATTCATTTAGCTCAGCCAGACTTAGTAACTCAAAACGATGGAATAGAGGGTGGGTGGGGGAATTTATCTCTGACCAGGACAGAGTTTCTTCAGATGGCTGGTGAAGGTGTTGCACCATATCACATTACAGTAGTTAAGGTGTGGTTCAGAGAGAGTTTTGTACAACGTGAGAAGGGCAGACAGAGGAAGGAAATGTCTGAGTTTGTAGAACAAGCCAACATATTTGGGCAGTTTGTTTACAAGATGGTCGATATGACATTTAAAGTTGAGAGAGTCGTCAATGAGGACCCCCAGGAATTTAGCAGAATGCACTCTTTTTATCTCCTGCCCCATTAATTTTAATCAGGCAGTGATCAGTGATTTTACATTCTTTGCTCGGTTTGAATAAATGAAATTTGTTTTGCTGACATTTAATGACAGTTTGTTACATTTAAACCAGGAGTCCGCTTTGGTTAACTCAGAGTTTACTATAGTTTACACATATTAACTGCACATTTACTGATTGTAAATGCAAGCCCAAGTTATATCAGGTGGCAGTAGCTCAGTCTGTAGGAACTTGGGTTGGCAAAGGAACAACAGGGTTGCAGGTTCGAGTCCAGCACAGATCACAGTATGTAATGTAGACCCTTTCTCCCTGTTGGCATGTCTATAAGCTCTTCCTGTGTGTGAGTGTATCTTGGACCTGTGTGTAAGAGTGAAAAGAATAAGGATTAATAAAGTATATAATTTCTACAGGACTTTATTTTGACTGATTTCCGGCATAAATCACACATTATTGAATTCAATAAATTGTAAACATCTCCCCCTTTAACAACCTTTCAGGCTCAAAAAGTATTTTCTTGCTGTTGTCATTCAGTAATACTCTCTCTCTCAGCCACAGTATCCGAGGTAGTGCGCATGCAGTACTGCGCAGTCCTCCACCCACAGGGGGCGCTGTTGTCACCGCGTCTACCCGAGGTCAGAGGTCGGGACGACGGCGGGGCTATCACAATGTCACCGCAGAAGGGCGAATATGTAAAAATAAAAATGTTTATGTAACTATTGTTGATATTTGCGACTCTCGTTGTTGAGGAGTCACACGCTGTTTGTCTGGTAAGCTGCCTTTTACCTGTGATATGAGAAGCTAACAGCGTGCTAACTGCTAAGGCTCCCGTTATCGGACAGACATGGTTATTTCGATGTTGTCCTGCAGTTTATTGATCAATAAATGTTTGTAAACACACGAGGGAAGTTTGAAACGCGGGTTTTACGTTTCATGAGCAATCATGCTGTAACGTAGGTTGTTATATATGGCGGAGAAAGTAAAGTGGTAAGAGTTTAGCATAGGTTAGCTAGGCGCAGGTGTACCACATCAAGACTGATTGAGGGAAATCAGTGGACTGACTTTAAATGTGTTAGAGCTGCAACAGGTGACTTATTTTCACTATTTATTCATAGTTCAAACATTTTGTCACTGAAGAAACATCAAGATTACACAGGTATCGATAAATGCATGGTTGTCTCACATTTTAAAACGATATCAAACAAAAGCAGACAACAATTGTTGACATTAATGAAGCTGTGAACATTAATGGTGTCTCATCTGGACAAAAGTATAAAAGAAACAACTATCAGAATTAGACTCAATTGTTGTTTAATCAACTTATTTTGGTTCTGAATTATACATTCACATAAATGTTTAATTATATTTATAATAATATATTTATAATAAAGTGTAGACTTTAAGGAGTTTATTTGTTTAACATTAACTTCTCTCCTAATTGAAACGCTTTAAATCTGTTTTCTTACAACAGAGAACAAATATTAATTAATCCTTAAATTAATTGGATGGCATTTTTACAGTGTAGTGACAAATTTGTAAAGATACACTGAATCTGCATTTATCTTTTGCCCTGGAGCAGCCAGCACACCCTGCTCAGAGGACCTTAGGGTCCCAGCGCTGCATTGAAGGCTCAATGACTCATTTTGAAGTCAAGAAAGAAATCTTTTCCCAGAAAGTCTGCTTGTGAGAGCCCAGCGTGTTTTGATAGGACTGCACCATTTAACATCTGCTGAGTTGGACAGGCTGTGTATCACTGCCAGGATTTCATTCGCCTTAAGGCTATTTATTTTGAGGATGGAGCTTAAGTTGAGGCAGTGAGTGCAACATCCCAACCCATGGCCATGTGTTTCTGCCTCTCTGCTGCAGCCTAATGCCAGCTGAAGCGTGATGCATCCAGAGCAGCCCAGAACGGGCCTCGCCCTGCAGAGACGTCGGGCAGATTCAGCCCCTCGGGCCACGCTGAGCACCGGCCTACTGCAGGGCTTCATCCAGAGCGCCAGGCCTTCCTCCTTCTGCTTCCTGCTCCCCAGGGTCCACGCAGCTGATGTGGCTGCTGCCCAGCCTGCACAGATGCCCTCTTCGTCTACCTCCTCCTCCTCCTCTTTCTCCACCAGTCCTGCTTCTGCACACATCCTGTCTTCTAGCACCTTGCCAAGGAACATTGGCAAGCCAGAATTCCCAGACACGGGATTGGACCGCATCAAGGACCTCTTTGACAGAGAGTTGGTATTTTTGTTTCTTAACATTTCAGTTGTTTTTTTTATCTTTCTCTCTCTCTCTTTAAAAAGTTCTAAATCTGTTAAACAATAGTTTGTGCACCTTTTTATGCATCCATTTTGTTATTTGGTGTTCAGTTACTGTTAATACTGAAGAAGAGATTTCTTCACTTTTTTATACACACACACACACAGGCTGAAATACAAACTTCATGCTCTTGTGGACATGCAAACAGGGAGAGAGATGGTGGAGTGATGGGGCTGCAACGTTAACAGCGCCCCATGAGCAGCCTTGGGGTTAGGTTGCCTTGCTCAAGGGCATCTTGGCAGTGCACAACAGGTGAAACTGCACATGTAGACAATGCAATGTCACATCTGGAGCTGAAACTAATTGACTAATTGAGTAGTCAATCAGAATCGATAATCAATTTAGTGTCTAAGTAAAACTTCCTACATGTTCCCAAGTTCTAGCTTTATCAACAGTCCAAAAATCCTATTTGAAGGCTCATCTAAGCTTAAAGAAAGTTATTCATCCCTCTGCTTATTTCTAGACTCACTTTTTTACCAGTCGAGAGTCATTGTAGGAGAGGCAGAGATACCTCAGCAGGCCAGAATACAGGACAGTCTCGTTGTCTTGTAAGATTCACTGATTCTGGACGGGGAAAACTTTTTTATTTAGGGAAATTCACAGTAGTTAATAAACTGGAAGAAAGAAAATTGATGTTTAATTGTGTAAGATGTTGGAAGGGTAACCACTTCTGTACCAAACTTATTTTTAAAGTTAAGTTTAAAGTTATATTTGTACTTTGGCTTTTACTCAAATGTAGTATTGGACAGCTTAATTTACTTAATAATCTCCACACCAATATATGTCTGCTGCATTAGTTAAGCTAGTTTTTTAAATTTATATATATATTTTGTCTGTTTGGAATCAAGCCAACAATTAATTAATTGTAAAATGTATATATTAAACTCTGAATGAGACTATATCTGCACACAAGTTCTCTTACGTCATCGTTATTCCACTTTAAGTCGTGTCTAAAGATGAGTTGTTGTCTCTAAAGAAAGTTCTTCTCTCTCTCTCTCTCTCTCGTCTCCCTGCAGTGTGACACGGAGTTACCCAGAGGAGCTGACCAACGTTTTAAAGAGCGGCTTAGTTGCTGCAGTAGCAGGCATGATCTACGGAGGCCTGCCGGCAGCTCGCCATGCCAGGCAGGGGTACATCCAATCCAACCAGGCGGCAATCTATACCAGCCGTCTGGACGCAGTGGTAAGTGGGTGAATGAGTATGAGTGCGCCATTAACCTTATTGTTGAATCACTAAATGCTGTCAGAGGATTTTGGACTAATTCGTCCCAAAGTTAACTTTTTGAGTAGGAAACTGCTCAGGTAGTATTGTGATTTCTTGTTTAATAATAAATGTATATATATGTGACATAATGTCCTTTTTGTCTAATCAGCGTTCGGCCCATAATGCAGCAATCCGAGGTTTTGTGAGATATGGATGGAGGTGGGGCTGGAGAGTTGCTGCTTTTGTCACCTTGTACAAGTAAGCAAACAAACTGATTCTATCAGACACTTAAGTTTAGAGTTATATATGAGACAGTAACAGGAGGAAATGTTATTGTATGTAAGGGAACTCTTACAAGGGAGGAATTAAACACATAAGTTTCATTATTTAACAGCTTTGTTTAATTGATTTTTGTTGATTGATCAATTCTACAGGCTGTTATTTCTGAATAATGGACTCTTGCTATAGGCACAGTTCTGATCATAGACTTTGAAGGAATACAATCATTTTAAAATCAAGAAAATCATTTAAAATCAATATTTAATATTTAATTCTTCATCCTGTCAGGATTTATTTTTGCAATAATGACCCACTTGCTGTACATTATCTCTTACTTATATTCAGCTATTGTCCTCTAAATGAAGCTCAACTGCAGTGAAATCGGACTGTTTTTTCCAGAGCTGAAAAATTGTAATTGATTAATCTCCAACCAGCTCAGATAAATGAAGTTGTATTAAAAAAAAAACATCGAACAGGTTATTGTTCATCTGATGGGTATAATGTTACAGACACTGTGGCAACAACTTGATACTGAGCAGAATATTTTTCATATTGATTATTTCCAGTGATCATCCTGTTTTAATCTGTTGATCTTTCCTCATCTGTTCCCTTCCCGCTCTAGTTCAGTCAGCACAGGACTGTCTGTGTACCGAGACAAGTATACCCTCAGCAATTATGCTGCAGCTGGAGGTGAGTCACATGGGCTTCAGTGGTGCCTGATCAAACGTATTTTTTAAACCTTTTATTTATCCAGTGAAAGCCAACTGAGTCTGCTGTGTCACAACAAGGCAGCTTCACATCCTCACAGTTGTTTTATACAAACTCAACGTTTGTACTGATTCCAGTCCGCAGAATATAAAAATAATAATTAATATACATGAAAGTCTTCTAAATGCTTCTGTAAATTCCAATATGGGTCCAACCTTTGTTAAATGAATCAACGTCATTATGTTGACACCCTCAGAGCAGACAGAAACTAAATGATCCCTGTAATATTTATCTTTAGCAGAATAGTCACATTATTCCTTCCTTGTAAGACCAGGCAACGGGGTCATTCAGGGCTTACGACAGTTCATGTCTGGCCGAGGGCCTCTTGTTGCATATCGTTCCTCATTTTTCTCCCCCCTCCTTTCCCGTCAACTCTCTACTGCAGCTGTCTAAATAAAGTGAATAATAATTAATGATAATATAAGAGAACTTCAGAAATTCAGAGACCAGAAAAGTCCAGAAAATGTGATTTTTATGTTGATGAGAAATAATATTGGAACTTTTATAATCCTTGTTTAACCTGATGACAAATCACACATCCACTACACATGCCAGCACACTGAGTTGTGAATGTTGACAATAAAACTGTGTGTGTGTGTGTGTGTGTGTGTGTGTGTGTGTGTGTGTGTGTGTGTGTGTGTGTGTGTGTGTGTGTGTGTGTGTGTGTGTGTGTGTGTAGCTGTGACTGGGGGCGTTTTCAGACTCAACCTGGGCCTGCGGGGGCTGTTGGCGGGAGGAATCATCGGCGCAGTGCTGGGGTAAGTTTGGCTTTTGCTCCCACAAGTGTCCATTCACATCCTTTTGATCACCCTAACAGTCCGACTCATCCGTGTTGTACGGGCGCTAACGTAGTTTCTACCCTGAAGCCTTTCAATCACCATCACAGATTTGAGTTACATTGTCAGTAGATGTGCGTCTTTGCTCGTGTGTGTGTCCACGTTCATGCTCGTGTGCTTGCGAGCATCGAGCACTCTGGCAGCCAGCTGCGCCCCTCCCAGCAACCCTCTGTCGCCCAGCTGAACCCCCCCTCCCACCCCTCACCCCCACCTCCAGCTCTGTTCACGGTGCCAGGGGGACTCATGTGCACTGCAGAGGGCCATGTTTTGGGTACTAGAGCAAGGAGGCAGGCCAAGGCAGCAGCTGCCCCTCTCCATTTATACCATCTCTGTTATTCCAGCCTCTCATCTCCATCTACCATGGTCTGATCTGGACTTATGCTTCACTCTGTCTCCCCTCTCTCTCTCTGTCTCTCTCTCTCTCTGTCTCTCTCTCTCTCTGTCTCTCTCTCTCTCTCTCTCTCTCTCTCTCTCTCTCTCTCTCTCTCCTCAACCCTCTCTGCTCACTCTGTCCCACTTTTCACTCGTTCCTCTGGCCACTTTCAGCCGAGTGCACACAGCCAAGAGCAGATTTGAATTTGATCGTATAATGGAGATTGAGTGCGAGGTGTTTGATGGTGTAACAGACTGGAGGGGCTGGTTTGGATTGTCTCTGTGATCATCAGCTCTGTGTTGGCTCAGCCCTGGTCTGTTCTCCTGTTGGCTTCACACTAGCATTGCTGCTGCCGCCTCCTCCTCCCACTGTCTGCCTGAGGGACCAGCCACCTGGAGCATTTGATGTGTGCAAACAGCCCCGGCCTTGGCTATGCCAGGTGCAGCCGGGGCAGAAGGGGGCGAAATGAAAGCAGGCAGCTAATCGGAAAGCACATCACGCTCCAGATCTCACCCCAGAAACGTCCCCTCGTCCGGGCACGTGGCAGAGGTGTGACTGGGGTGGGAGGGAGGTTTGGGTGGGGCCAGGGGGGCATCAGAGGGAGGGGGCGTGACTTTGTAACAGACCGCTGAGAGGAAGTTGGACACTAATTTGTTACAATGGTGCAAATGACTGACAGCTTGGCAAGGTTATGCCATTAAAGTAGCTGCTTTGACAGAACCTGCAACTGACGGCGCTGTTACATAACAGATTAAGCAATAGGAGGTGATTTTATAAATCTATTACATACCCAGGTTCTCCAGTGTTGATGTGTCGACCAGAATGGTTTCATGCGTTACTTTTAAGTTGATAAACTGACAGTAGCTGATGTTTTCATCTGTCAATTATTGACAACTGTGCTTAGACAATATTAGTATAAAAGTGTATTTTCTGTCTGTTCTCATTCAAACGTTCTCTATAAAGAAATTGAACAGATTATAAATCTGCTTCTCCTCAGGATTCCCACTGGTGCTTTGATCATGAGCATGCAGTTGCTGTCAGGAGAACCTGCCAGAGAGAAGAGGAGGAGAGAGCGTCGGGAACTCTATGAGCTCAAACTTCGGGAATGGTGAGATTTTAATTTTATTCTTTTTACACTTTTGTTGGGTATTTCACCGACAATTAAAGAAAGTAAACATACATTTGCATTGTAGTAGGTCGTCATCCTGATGTCTTATTGCTGACAACTCGCTCTCCTTCTTTCAAACACTAAGGGCGGCCCGTCTGCAGCTGACCGATGAGCTGATTGGAGATCTGAACGCCAGGTCTGTGGCGGCAGAAACCGTTAAGGACATGCAAAGGATCGATGAGCTGCTCAGTTTACCGAAGAACGAGACTCAGGACTCAGGCAGCCAATGACAGTAGCTGCCTTACTGCCCAGTTACCTGTTGCAAGTTGAAGGTGGGATTACACATCTGTGAGGATAAATGGGTCACTTCTTTGCCTGGACTCCACACACCTTCTCTTCTAAGCACTGGAAGCCACTTCACATCAGAATCAAAAGACGCTGTTATTGTATCTCATCAATTACTGTCAAGGTGCTCTTCAGTAGCTCTAGTGTGTGTATGTGTGTACCTGTAACGCCTATGTTTGTGAGGACCGCTTTGAATTCTAGACATTGGGAGAGATGATATTGACTGTTTTGAAGGTTATGATTTGGTCTTACGATTCAGGTTGGAGTTGGAGTTGGGCATTAAGTTGTGGTGGTTAAAGCTAGAGAACAAATTCCGTCCTTGAAGATGGGTAGTTATTGGGGGAAAAATATCATACATGCTCCTTTTCTCAGCACAATTTTATGTTAAAAGTGAATTTTGAACATACAAAAACAGTATTCTTTATATTAATTTAACTCTTCCACAATGTTTTGTTCAAATGCAGCGTCTGATGAAGCTAAAGTGTTTGGATAACTTGGCGATCGGGATTAAAAGTAAACTGATTAAAAGTCTTACAGGTATCATATCATATTGGCTTCCATGTTGTCATTGGGATTATAAAGCTTTAATTAGACTCCATGAGGGTATTTGCTATTTCTAGTTAAATTACAACCTAATAAAACATCCTCACCTGAAAGAAAAACACTTATCTCCTACATTGAGATCAAAATCACCTTAAATCTTGTTTCATGATGTCCATCAGAATCAGTTCTCAGCTTGTCTTCCACTATTTGCTCTGTATGAATAAAAAAAAAAAAAAGAAACTTGAACAAAATGCTCTTTTATTTTAAAACTATATTTTTTAAGTGTAGTAGCTCATCACTCACCTTTCTTCACATTGTTAGTTACTGGAGGAGCTACGGACGTTATGTTCAGTACAGCTAATTCTAACAAATGTCTATTAGAAAAATGGGCTTGTTTCTTTTCCCTGTGTCTCTGTTTTATGTTGTAGTGTGCTTTTGACTGTGCCTCTTGGGCTTTTCAACAACTAGGTCAAACATAGCCTTGGTCCCTGGTGTAAACAAGATGTGACACAGCAGCAGCTGGGGCCCAGGATGCAGCAGTGAGTGCTGACATGCAGATGGACAGCCAATAGAAACAGATTGAGGAGCTCTTTGCACTCCAGAGCTCAGCAACGAGTTCTTCAGGTAAACGCAACACATTAAAAATAGTATTGGATTGTGTTTGTGTCCCCCTGAAGTGTGTGTACGTGTGCTTTTAAATATTACAGGTAGACCCTGTAAGATGAGATTTAACTGTTTAACTCGTGTTACTGTTTGTTGAAGTGTTGGTTTAAACCTGTTGACACTGGTCCCATCACATCAGGACCAAACTGCAGAGTTTCAGGCCATGAACAGAATTAAAACCATGTAAACAAATATAGTGTAAAGTCTAAATGTGGTTGTATATTGTAGCGTTAACATTTACAGGCTCTCAGTTCCCTCTACTGGCGGCTTTGTGGAACTGCAAATGTTCCCCTATTAAAAAGGAAATACATTTATACATGACACTATATTTATTTATTTATTTATTTATTTAGAAATGAGTTACATAACACACTTCCTTAATCCTAACAGACATAATACAGTGTTTTCATAATTCCAGTCTTAATGTTTTTTACAGGACAAATTAATTCAAATTAAAAATTGTTTACACACATTGTCAGTTATTCAAATAAACACAATACATAAAACCAAAATAATTTAAGAATAATGGTCTCCTGCCTGAAACAAAAGCGTCTTTAACCCTCCTATTGTGTTAACTTCTTCTTCTTCTTCTTCTTCTTCTTCTTATTATTATTATTATTATTATTATTATTATTATTATTATTACAAGTTCTACTCTTTATTTATGGCTCAGTTATCTCAAATAATAACGCTTTGTTTTAGCAGAATAATGACAATATCAGTATTATTTTGACTGTAGTTAAGGCCAGAGTGAAACACAATGAGTGCCAGAAGATATTGTTTTTAAGTATTTTACTGGCTGCCATAAGCAACATGTTTATGGTAAAAACTGACTGACTTTATTCAGAGAGAACAATCAAAAATACTTATTTTATAACTTATAATCATTTATATCAGAAACATGGATTCAACCTTAAACCAGACTGTAATCAGATGAATATAAGTGTGGTGTGTCATATGTTATCTCTTATGTGTTCAAATATTGTGGAGAAATATGTCAGTCAGATTTAATTTATTTATGACAGAAGAAAGATGTTCCCTGAACTCAATCTGAGGGTTAAACAAACAATCACCTCACTGCTCGGTATAAACTCATAACTGCAGCTACATTTCATCTATTTTTGGACCTTTTGGATCCTCTCGTGCCTCGTCAACATTAGGAAAGGCGTGGAAAAAAAGATGTTTGGCCGATGCCGCCTTCATGTGCTGCTCGTAAATATGAGTTTCACAAAGTGTTGACCCCACTTGTTTTCTATAAATGCTGTTGCGTCGATGACTGTTTTGTTTACAGTATTCACACAGGTGGCTGTTGATTTAAAAACAGGCTTTATGCAGTGATCAGTAACAGTGATCGATAGTTACACTGAATTATTAGAGCAAAAGACTAAATACATTTTATACAAATGCAACTAAATTAACTTAAGCATGCGCCAATTTCTAATAATACTAATAAATGTCGCTGCTACTAACACTACATGTACGCTATTACTATTGCTTCTAATAGTAATGGTGATATTATTAAAGTTTGATACTAATAACTTTGCTTCTTAAAAGGCAGCTTTAAAATATTACACGGTTGAAAAATGCCTTTAAAATAGGCAGAAAATTGTGAATTTCATTAATATACTGTTAAATAAATAAAACACAGGTTAACTTACCTTCATCCAGGTTACTACAGGTCCACCTTTAAAACTAGTTACTAGTCACTTTCACTTTCATTTGGCCTTTTTTTTATCTTCGTGTAATCGGTCGTGTGTATGCACCGAGTCTCAGCTTTACATAATGTTAGCCAACTACACATGTAGTGAATTAAGTCGTGTCTGAGTCTCCTGGTGCCTCTGGACAGTTTGTCTCCATTGAAGCGGAGGCCCAATCGTTTTTGAGTGGCTGCCAAGAAGACAATGGCGATTAACAAGAAGGACGACAGGCATAATCCGCTGGCTACTGCCGGCTTTCTTTCGAGGTTATTTTTATGGTAAGCGAGTTTGATTTACTGGAGCAAATATTTAAAATTTCGCGGCATGGTGTTACTTTGAATGAGCAGCGAGGTATTAATGTCCTGGGTACAAAATGATCCAAATGGTGACACTGCTGTCAGAGTCCATTGATTAGGTCTTAAAGTCATCAATCAATATTCTGCTCGGGGAAAAAAGTTTATATGAAGTTGTTTTAATGTAAAAACCGCTGGAAAGTCACATTTTCCTCTGTAACTTGAACAACTTGTTGCAACTCAAATGCGAGCTCATTAACTCCTAAACACTGTAAAAGTAAAGAAACATTGATTAGGTGATGTATTTTATTTATGTATTGACAGATGTGTGCTTTTACTGTTTGTTACCACAGTAATTTATAGTCATGTGTTAAATATTGAGGTTACATAAGTGTACTTTATCAGTGCCTTTAGCACTGTAAACAGTGTTACCTAAGTAGATAATTAAATCATTATAGTTTGTACTTGGTGGTTTCAGGTTGAGTAGAAGTTTACTAGTGTTGGCTGGTGACTTTTTTCTGAGTTGTTTACAGTTGTGCTTCCTCACTAACTGCCACTTTTCTACAATATTGTGATGTTTGCAGTAGTTTGGAGACGTATCGCTGTACATTTTGCACAGAGGGTTAGCTATGATTGGTTAAACTGTAATAATTGGTCAGGTTTTGGTGGCAGTCACAGAAATTTGCAATTTTTGGTCAAAACTGAGTTACTCAAATTTAATTTTCCTGTTTTTATCCTGTGATACGTCGTATCGTATAGTTCAGTGTCGTTCTGTCTTTTGAGATAAGACAATGTAGAAATTTCATTAACCACAAAATCTAATCAATCTTGGAGCTTTGGCTGCAGTTACTGTATCGTAGCCAGTTTCAGGACGACCCAAAGACCACTCCACTGGGAACTCTTACTTAGCTCATCTGTGTATTATCTGCTAACCCGATTGTAGTAGATGGTAGATTATAGGTAATAATAGTTTGGATATCACTGTGCTAGTGCTACAGGGCAAGAAAGCACAGCCCCTTCCTCCTCCCTCGTATATTTTACAGGTTATTTGGAGCAGAAAGTTCAATGATAATCAGGTGTTACATTGCACAAATCATAATTTATTCAGTTTGTTATCTGTACAGAAAGCATAACAACAATTCTATTGTTTATTAACCTAGATTTTATTTCTGTTAATTTAAAAAAATATGTTAACCCATGTAATAGGTTAAACCTCACAATATCCTCATCTTTTTCAACTTTTTAAACAATAATCTGTAATAAGTAATCAAATGAGATTTTCTCAGGTAGAAGACCATATAAAAGACTGCTGTTACCTTATCACTACCTATATATCTCTTCAAGGTAATACCAAAGACAGAGTGCACTATCTGCATATTTGGGGTCGTAGGTCAAATAACGTATCATGATTCTTACTGAGATACAGGCCCACCGTGTATACTTGTTACAATTTCTTCCACCTCTTAAAATCAAGAAGGCGTGCGACCCCCGTAAAGCGTTTTGCGACCGTTGCCTTAAGTTCCAGTCCGACCGGCCCCGCTACACCTGCACAAACCGACCTGCTGCTGCGTGCCACCAGTGTTGACACTTATGTCACCTGCAGTCAATAAATGTTACATCTGTGCGTCAGAGGTGTTATATTTTACATTTTAAGACTCTGAGGAGGTTTGTTTGTCCAAAGGTAAAACGTATGAGGTGGAGATCATCAGTTATCTATGAACCAGACAGGTTTTACAAGTCGCCTTTCCCTACTACTGGTATGAAAAGAGGCAGTAATCTAACCTGTCTGATTACTGAGTGGATCACATTGATTATTGTTGGTATAGTCATGTATAATATGTATAATAAATGTATGTTTCAGCTGGTTAAACCCACTGCTGCACCTTGGCCAGAAAAAGAGGCTGGAGGAAAGCGACATGTACAGCGTTCTGCCCGAGGATCAGTCTGAAATACTGGGAGAGGAACTACAGAGGTACTACATTGCTGTGATACATTCCTAGATCACTGTCAAAAGTCTAATATGAGACCAATTGGGAAGGTGTTGGTTAGGAGACACACCTGTTGTTGTTGTTGTTCATGACAGTTTCAATAATGAGGTGTTAAGGTGTATTCAGTGCATTTCTAGAATACAGTTTTAGTGCAATCAGCTTTAAGTTGTTTAAGATTATTATATATATTATATATTATTATAGATTTTATTAAAGAGCAGCAGCTGAAGAGAGACAGGAAAGTGGGTGGGGGGGGGGGGTAATAAGCAGCAAAGGGCCACAGGTTGAAATTGAACCAAGGTTGCTATCAGGGAACCTCAGAATCGGCTTTAAGTCACCGGTTCACACAATAATTGTTGAGAAATATAAAATCCCTCTTTAATTATTATAAACGTATACATATTCTATTGAAATTAGATAACACCTAGACGTCTTTAGATACAGGTTCTGTTCGCACAGGTAGTGTCCTAATGTATTCATTTTAGCATAATGTGACCATTCATACCCCACAAGGTACTAGCGCTGCTTGATTAGTTTGCAACCATTAAATTCATTTCCAACTCTTTTATAATCAATTAATTGGTTTGAGTCTTTTTTTATTTTATTTTTTTTTATAAGAAAAAAATTATGTCAGCCTCTCAAATATGAATATATCCTGGTTTATTTAGTTCCCTATGACAGTAAACTGAACATCTTTTAGGTTGTGAACAAAACAAGACATTTGAGAATGTCTCTGAGTTGTGGTAAACAGTGATTTTGCATCAATTTTTGACATTTTATGGAGCAAAACAACTAGTCAAGACAAAGATCAACAGATTAATGGAAATTTAACATAATCGTTAGTTGTCCTACACCAGTGCAGAACAAATGTGCATGTTGCGTGTTCTTTATTGCAGATTCTGGGACCATGAAGTTAGAAAGGCTACAAAGGAACTTCGGAAGCCAAAACTCACAAGAGTCCTTGTTAGGTGCTATGGGAAGTCCTACGCAGTGGCTGGGTTGTTTGTATTTTCACTGGTATGTCCTGGCTGTTTAAAACCTTGTTTACAGTCCATCAATATAGTGATGATCAGTAAAATATTACTTTATTGTATATGTTAACTGACTGGAAGCCAGAAGTTGGAAGAACTAATAAAAAAAAAATTCTTGTCAGAATTCTGTGTAAGCTGATAGTAAAAACATCTAATCTGTGTATTTTGTGTCACTTTGTCATAAAGGAGGTAATTAAAGTGATCCAGCCACTTCTTATGTGGAAGATAATCCAGTACTTTGAGAGTTACGACCCAGAAGATGAGAGAAGTCTCATCATGGCGTATGGTTACGCTGCTGCAATGTCCCTCTCTGCCTTTGGACTGACCATCCTCCAACATCTCTACTACTACCACGTCCAAAGAACAGGCATGAAGATTAGAGTGGCCGTTTGTCACATGATATACAGGAAGGTCAGTAAAGAATCTGCTGATCTGTGATTTGCAGCCCAGATGCAGTCACTCATAGAAATGTGCTGTGAACTCAAAGACCGTTGAAATCTCTCTCGTCAGGCTCTCGGTCTCAGCAGCGAATCCATGGGCCGAACAACCACCGGACAAATTGTGAACCTCCTTTCAAATGATGTCAATCATTTTGATGAGGTAGGGTAATGCTTGTTTTTGATTGGCTGATGTAAATGACGAAATAGAGTATTGTTCCAACTGAGCTCATGATTAGCCATTGTCTCTATAGATTACACTCAATCTGCACTACTTGTGGGTGGGACCTCTTCAAGCCGTGGTGATCATCCTTTTACTTTGGTACGAGATCGGTCCCTCGTGTCTGGCAGGTGTGGCAGGCATTGCCCTCATGCTGCCTGTACAGACTTGGTTTGGAAAGCTCTTTGGCATCTTCAGGTAGGCAACAAGAAGTACACGGTTTTGTTAAACACATTTCTCTTCATGTTTCTTATCTGGCCGTTTGTGTTAATACTGTAGTTTTTTCCTAACATTATGAAAACTAATATTTTTCACTTTTATTTTTTGCAGGAGTAAAACGGCCGTCCTTACTGACAATAGAATCCGCATCATGAATGAAGTGGTGTCTGGTATCAGGATCATCAAGATGTATGCCTGGGAGAAACCATTCTCAGCTCTGGTTACTGAAGTGAGAAGGTATGGATGAAGCTAATATTATTTGCAGGGATAGAATGGGGCATTCATTTGTACTTTACCCACATGTTTAAAAATTTAGTTTTACCCTCTTCACTGAGATTGTAAAATAAAATCTGAATCAATTAAAAATACATTAATTTTAACTTGCCAATCACAATCTAGACTCCTGAACAAAATTTATAGAGGTATGCAAATAAGAATTCATAGTTGGTGACTTTATATATTTTATACTGTTTGACTCAAGTCTTATTTTTTGAGAATGAAGGTGCATTAACAACATTAGCTTAGTTTGAATTGTAGGATTGGAAAATGGTATTGAAAACATACCCATAAAATATCAAGGTTCAGTTTAGATATTTTGTCATTTGCACGCAGCTCTTCCCCTAAAGGCCTAAAATATCCATTTTTATTAATCAGCTGATTATTTTCACAATTAATTAATTCTTGAGTCTATAAAATTTCAAATTGTGAAAAATGTTCATTTAACCAACAGTCCAAAGCCCCTGAACTCTTCATTTACTATCCTAAATGCAGCAAATTCTTATATTTAAGAAGCTTGCTTCTGCGATCGACTAAGCGATTGATTCATTAATCATTGTGTATGTCGGCCTTCAGGTTTTCAAATATGTGTAATTAGTTTCTCCTAAATAGTTCTAAGTTCTCCAAATGTTTTGATTTCAAATCTTTGGAAAGTCCTAAAGAAATTACTTAATCAACTCAGAAAATGTTGTTTATATAATGCATCTTGTGTTGAGGGGCAAAAGAAAATGGATAAAATACATATTTTTTGACCTCTTGAATGTATTTTGGCAGCGTCAACAACATATCTAAGAAAAGGTAATATTTCTTCAAGATTAATACTAGAATCCCAAAGCATGCTTAATAGTTGGTAATGGGGATTTTGTGCTGTATTTATTAGCCACTGTATTATCTAAAGGCTAATGCCTTTGGGTCTAATAGAAATAAACAATTGTGTATCATCTGCAAAGCTATAGAGATCAATCAGACGTTCCCTTGTAATGTATTTATCACTGTCAGCACGTGAAGTCTGGCTCAAACAGGTCTTAACACATAGCCTTCTGGGACTCCACATGCTCATCTTGATGGTATAGAGACCACAATGGGTTTTGTTGTGCATCCATTCAATCCCAGCTCAGTAACAGACGTCTTTTAACTAACACTATGTCTGCTATAGTAAGCATGAGAAGTCATACTAACTCTAAAGTAGCAGGTGGAAGGTTTGCTTCTCTTTATTAACGATGACTAAAGGCATTATGGCATTAAAAGGCAAAGCTAAACAGCTCAAACAACACACTGATTTATCTTTATCCTGTTTTTGTTTTCTTATGAGGAACACAACAAAATCTTCAGTTTGATATTCAAATTGTGCCAAAGGAGGGTTTTTAGATTAATGTGGCTGTTGAGAGCACAAGAGGATTATTATGATTAAAGCTGTAACTTTTTATCATGAAGCACGTGGAGCATTACTTATTGCCTTGTTTTATGCTCCACGAGAGCAGCTTGGGTGTTCGTTTTTTTGTTAAACTTTCCTGACATTTTTCTCTTCTTTGTTAATAATAATCCTTTACACTCTTGGCCTGTAGTTAATACATAATCTCCTATTGTTAACACACCACAGAGATCTTTTCAAGAAACCTCTTAAAGGGATACTCCAAATGAAATCGCATTGCTCTCCTAAGAGCTCAGACTGAAGTATTGGCTTTTAGCTCAGTGACATTAAACACGTATGTACGGTTGGACAGTGGATTAAGCTGCAGGTGTTGTAATGTTTTCTGTAGCTTTTTGTTGCCACGGTTGATGAAAGAAAACCTTTTACAGCTTTTTACAGCCACCTTTCAATCTAGAGGTGGAGAGCGTTTGATAATAAATGATAGATTTGGGGCGGAGTATCACTTTAACCCACTTTTTAAGACCTCTTCATTTACACACCCATTCAACAAACAAACTAGAAATCATGGACCGGAATAACCTGACACAGACTGACTAACAGTGTGTATTCATTTATGGTAAAATGGCTTATCAGGTTTCATCTTTATCTAGAAACTGCTGAATCTTCTTTGCTGCTCTTTGACTTACTTTAACAGTGAGAAATTTGTCAGGTGTAGCCTGCGGACACTCAATATCAGTGGTATGCACATAACGTCTGATCTCACTTAAAAACAGAGGAACATTGTTTCACACAGCTGTACATTCGATAGAAGCCTTTGCTCTGACGCACACAGACAAGATTCATAGCTTACTGAAAAAGACATCCATCCAGCACTTACTACTAATTCTAAAAGACATATTTCTCCATTTATGCATTCAAAAGTAAAATAAAGTAATGCCTACATTTACATTTAATGTAATTTTTTACTAAAACTGGTATCTTTGGAAGTTATGTTGATTGTGTGGCAATAAATGTTTCCTAGCAACTAATTTACACGTTATTAAAGTTTTTACTGGTTTCTTAAGTTCTCAGTAACTACTACATAGTTTTGAATACACCATCAAAACTTCACAACACACATAGTAATGGATTTAGGAATAGCTGCTGCTCCCCAATCCATTTTGCATACCAGAAAGCCTGAACAGCATGCATGAAGGATAAACTGACTGATCATAATAGTTACTTCATAAACACAATAGTGCTGTCTCAGCCTGGTGAAGATCTGCAATCGCACAAAATAAAATAAAGTATTTTTAAGCACTTAAATGTTTTGGATGTGTAGATTTTCATTTTTTCTGTGAACTCTATAACACGTGACAGCATAAAAAATCCCTACCAGCACTAGTGGTTACGTGTCACTGAATTCTTCCTCACGATTAAAACTTCACCAAGCTCACTCTTCTCCATTATGTTTTCTTTTCCCAGGAAAGAAATCAGTCAGATACTGAAGAGCTCCTACCTACGAGGACTCAACATGGCCTCCTTCTTCGCCAGCAGCAAGATCATTGTCTTTGTTACCTTCACTGTCTACGTTCTCCTGGGCAACGCCATCACTGCCAGCAGCGTGTTTGTCACAGTTTCCCTCTATGGCACAATCAAGCTCACAGTCACCCTGTTCTTCTCACTTGCCATCGAAAAGGTGTCAGAGACGGCCGTCAGCATTCGCAGGATTACGGTAATTCTGTTTTATTTTATGAATTCACAGCAGCTTTTTATTTTAAATTATTGTTAAAGTTAACTTATGTGGCAAACATATTTAAAATGTCAAAGGTAGTTGATGAACTCATGTGTCTTTCACTTGTTCCAAGCAATTACTTAAGCAATTCCCAGCTGTTTTTGAATAGTTCTCATTCTGAAACAGAAGTTCCAAGAAAATTGCACAATCACAAACTGAATCACAGAAAAAACAGAGCAAATCCTACAAAACACAGCCCCTTTTTGTGAGTTTAGAGCCCAGAATGCCCCTCTTGTATCCAGTAATAATCTGTGTTTCAGTGTCTTGAAAATAGATAAAAACATGATTGTACATCAGTGTTTTAATTTAGTGACATTTTGAAGGATTGACGCAGGTCTGTGTGTAATTAAAGCACTGATCGTCTTGCGCAAGAAATGTCAAACATTGAGCCATGTTAACCATCCATTTTAATTTCACCTTCAGATTCTTGAGTTGCCTCCAGTGACTAAAGGCTATGAAGTCTAATAACTAGATATACATCTATGGTGCTGTGAGAGAACATTATTTATTGCTTAATCAGCAGCCGTGATTTGTACTTTAGCTTAGAAATACTTCTTCAGTGACATAACTACATTCTTGAATGAGCCACAGATGACATTTTAGTGTGTAGGGAGAGATAAGAGAGTCCTTACTTGGCGAAACTAAACCTCACATGTAAGCAGGGACGTTAAAATCTGTGTCTGAGCTTTTTAAATGACTCTGTAAAGACACCAGAGAGAGTGGCTTCCAGCAAGCAGCTGAGGATTTTAAGCAGTGCTTGGTGAATGTTTAGTTACATGTTACGTATCCTACCTCTTGGAGGACTTCCACGAAGAGCATGTTGAAATACCAATATGTTTTTTTTTTTTTTTCCAGTTAATGTTTGAGAATTGCATTAATTCAGCACTAGAGGTGGTTAAAAAGAACTGCAAATATAACAATGTCTGGGTTTTCATGATATGGTTCACAGTGTAACAGCATGTGTCATTAATCCCCTCCTAGAATTTCCTTCTGCTTGAAGAGGTTGAGAGAAGAAACTTTGTGCTACCTCTGGAAGAAAAGAAGGAAAACTCCATTGAGATTGAGAAGTTGACCTGCTACTGGGATAAAGTGAATATTTTAGTGTTATGTCATTTAACAGGACGTTAGTGTACTTAAATACTGTACAGTACATTGTTTTGTTTCTAAAAGTTGTGCTTTATTGTTTCCTGTCAGAGTTTAGACGCTCCATCTCTGCAGAACGTCTCTATCACGGTGAAGTCACACCAACTTCTGACTGTAATTGGCCCAGTGGGGGCTGGAAAGGTCATTGCACTTGTATAAACTTGCTTAGCTTCAGGTTTATGGATAAATGGTTTCAGTTAAATAAACTGTCAGTCTGAGCACTAACAAGAGAAAAAGTGTTGACTGAATTTTCCAGTCAGCTCACATGTCTGTTACATTCATGTTCCCAATAGTCATCCCTGTTGAGCGCCATTCTGGGAGAGCTAACTCATGACTCTGGGACGCTGAAGGTCAAGGGTCAGCTGACCTATGCCACGCAGCAGCCCTGGGTGTTCCCTGGAACTATTCGCAGTAACATCCTTTTTGGGAGGGAGCTGAACACGCAGAAGTACGAGAGTGTGATCAAGGCCTGCGCTCTAAAGAAGGTGAGGTACAACGCAGTATTAGACACACGCTCTGGTAGCATTATCGGAGGTTGGCAGTGACTTAAAAAGCACATAGACTTTCTCCTAGCTTTTGTTGCTAAAAACAAACTGGGCGGAAACAATTAGTGTAAAAAGTGCATTACAGAACCAGTCAGTCTTCAGGGCAGTGACCTGGCAGTGGCATGCAGAAGTTGTACCATTCAACATTGCTCGGGACATCAATTTTCAATGTTTAAAAAGCTCGCTCTGTGTTACAAAGACAGACTAATTGAGCTCAGTCAGCAGTGTTTAGCACTCTACAAAAAAAAATGCAGCACATTTTTCTTTTCAAATACTGGTGCCTACATGACCCACAATGCACCTCGGCTGCTTAAAGTTCTGACAGTGATTTGGTTGTGTTATGCTACTAGCCGCTAACCTGAACAGAGGTCACGAGCGGCTGCAGAGATCTGATAAGAGATCTCACTTCTTTCTCCACACCCAGATTTTTTTTTATCATTTTCAAGCTTGTTCTCTTTTTCCTGAACTGACTCAAGTGAAATCACTTGAAGCAGTGTATCAGTCTTTGGACAATTTTTTTCACACATGCCGTAGTACTCCCCAAAAGCTTGGATAAGTAAAATCCAGTTCCCCTTTTAATGATTAACAGAGTTGAACACTTTGATTCCTTCTTTTTGCTTGCACATATATTGTATTTGTAGTCAACTTTTTGTTTTGTCTTTGGGTGCAGGACCTGGAGCTGCTTCCAGATGGAGACCTGACACTGATCGGGGACAGAGGGGCCACACTCAGCGGGGGGCAGAAAGCTCGTGTGAACCTGGCGAGGTAAGAGCACAGTGACAGCCGTCATGTCTGTGTTGGGCAGAAGGTACAGTGCTAGAAATTCATTTGCTATGTTGCTAGTTTCAAGGGAACCTCCCCCGACGAGTAGGAACATGTTAGGCTGCATTTCTTACACTCTGCAGGTATGCACAAGGTACTGTATTTCTTGAGTCAATGTTAGTCATCAGTTAATATTTGCATGTGTGTTTTGTCAGGGCGGTTTATCAGGATGCAGACATCTACCTCCTGGATGACCCTTTAAGTGCTGTGGATGCTGAGGTTGGGAAACATCTGTTTGAGCAGTGAGTGACCAATATTTCTGTCCACACATTAACTCTATACAGTGTGTACTACATAGTAAACAATCGTCATATTAAAGCATATTATTTTAGCAGTTAGTATACACAACAACAACATACTTTAGCATTTTATACTAAGAGGAGATGATACAATATGTGGGACATCAGTTATCAATCAAACTTGAATGGACCAATTAAACTTCAGAAAGAGAGAGAAAAAAAAAGGTTTTATGCCTGTACTCTTACTTTTTCTTCAACTTATTTTAATTTTGTCCAACTGTGAGTAGCGCTCTCCATCGCATGGTGGGAGAATATCCATCAACAGCACATTCAAAGGACAGTTGTATTTAGTCTGCATACTAAACTTTATTTTATTTTATCACTTTTCTGGTGTGAACACCACTGTCTTGAATTTGACTCTTGACTCTTATAACCAGTCTGCAACAGCTACAACAGTTTTTCAGTTCAGCGCCACATTAAACTTAATATCAACAGCTCCTGCGGTAGAAACGCAGCTACGTTTTTTTGTCTACCTCATGTTTTAATGCCATTCTTATTCACCTGTGATGTGAAAACATCAGATTTCCACACAGTCAGAAATTAAAAATATGCATCCTGCTCAAAGTTAAGTTTTAAAATCCTGCAAAATCCTCCACGGAGCGTCTCTGCTGTCGGGCTGCGGCGCTGTCAGCCCAATAGTCAGTTGTCAGTGCTGTTGCTATGTGTGCAATGAAGGAGCTACACATTATTTACAGCTTGTACTGTCTGTGTATCAGGTGTATCTGTGGTCTGCTGAAGAACAAGTGTCGTATCCTGGTCACCCACCAGCAGCAGCATCTGAAGGCAGCCGACCAGATTGTGGTCATCAAGGAGGTTTGTGCCCCTGCAGAAGAATTGTTTCAATTAAGTCTTCTATTGGTTTTTAAACTTAAGACCTTTTCCCATTAACATAGTTACAAAGACGATGCTTTTCGTTTGATATGTCTTCAACCACCTGTACTTGCAACTAAAGAACAGGACCACCTTCCCGTCTTTCCTTTAAAATCTGACTTCCTCATTTAAACGTTTTAGACAGGCATCCATACATTTGATCACATTGTTTTTGTTCTGCTTGTGTCTCTCAGGGTCATATCACGGCTCAGGGAACCGCCAGTGAGCTGCAGCGCTCGGGCCTCAACATCGTGTCCCTGCTGAGAAGTGACGAGGAGCAGGATCGATGGTCTCAATCAGCTGACCCCGACAAACTGTCGTTACACAGCCAGAGGAACAATCTCTCGCACAGTTCACACTGTTCTTACAGCAGCCTCCTGCCGCCAGAGAGCGACTGCACTGACCAGCTTCCTGTAGGTACATTTAAAAAAATAATCTCATCTTTCTTTAAGTTATTATCTGACAACTCTTTCAATTACAGAGCATGTGTTTAGTTTCCTTTTATAATATTTTCTTTAACATGAGTTCTGGTGTATTTGTTAAACACTACATCTCCGACTGTACCCTTCCCCCCTGGTCCTTTTGTTAAACTCTGGTTGGCGTACATCAGTACAGAGCTGACAGTTACATCGTATAACTGTTTCTTTAACTCCGTGAAGTTTTAGCCTGCAGTATGAAGTTTTTGATCAGCAGTTTCTTGTTTTGCAGGTTGAAACCGTTCGTACCATGGCAGAGGAGACTCGAGTTGAAGGAAATGTTAGTGGCCAAATATATCTCAAGTACTTCACTGCCGGCTGTAACCTTCTGGTATTGCTGGTGATAGTCCTGCTCAGTGTCACAGCTGAGGTAAGCCTCTGATATTCACATTAGTTCTTGAATATGGACTTTATTTAAAACTGAGATCTGCCCACTCTACCATATTGCCTTACTATTGAAGGTAAGAGTCACTAAAGATATCAGCTTAAACAGTGGAATAGTGGAATTTTCTCCTTCTTCCTTCTGTTCATTCTGTTTTATCACTTTATATTTTTTCCTGTTTGAACCTTTCAGTATTTGACATTTAAATCTTTTTGTCTTCCTCTTTCACCTTCTACTCTCTCATTCTTCCTGTTTTCTCTCATATAGCGTGGTCCCTGTGCTATTCCTCCGTCACCTGACTTAATCCTTTAATTAAGTCAGCTCACAGAGGAGTAACATCAGCCCATTTAAACCACTACTCTGTAAATTGTTTTTTTTTTGTAATGATAGAGATAATCCACAGTCCATTACACATATTTAGTTTATTGTAAAGTTATTTCTCTCTGCTCATTATAAGATTAGGTGTTATTAAGCCTAACTGGGACAAAAAGCCAATTTCCCTTTGTTTTTCAAATACTTTTCCCTCATTCTAATATTAAATACTTTGGGTTGAAAACTCTCGAACAGTTTTTGTCTTGTGGTGTTTAGTCTGATTCTAAATGTACTCTGTTTATTTATATATATATATATATATATACACATACACACACGTGTGTGTGTCTCAACATGTTGATTAATTGAACTTTGTTTCTTTTATAGGCTTCATATATTCTGCAGGACTGGTGGCTGGTATACTGGTGAGTTTCATCCATTGTTTAATTGGAAACAGTAAACCCACTGTAGCTGTTGTTGTTTTTTGACTGTGTGCCTGGTCTGATGTGTTTATCCTGTCAATTTACAGGGCAAGAGAAGAGTTTTTTAACAACACAGCCACTGCTGTTAGCACTAAACATGAGATTAATACTACTCCCTCAGATCAAGAGTTTAAGCTCACCTTTTACCTCAGCATTTATTCAGGTAAGCCTTCCATACATATGTTTAGTATTGTGCCTGCTGTATGTTCTGCTATTAAACGTATATTAAAAGTTAGAATCTAAAGCCGTCCTGTTGTTTTTGCTTTCAGGTTTGACGGCAGCTGCTGTGGTGTTTGGCTATGCCCGGAGTTTAGTGATCTTTCATGGGCTGGTGAGATCGGCTCAGACTTTACACAACAGCATGTTCAGCGCAGTCATCCGCACGCCTGTTCACTTCTTTGATGTCAACCCCATAGGTGAGTCCTGCTTCCAGTTTAATAATAATTCACTGCTGCTAGATGTTTCACTAAAACACCAGCATCTCAGACCAAAACATATGGGTGCTAGGGCCCACCAGACTCCATTGACAAAATTTGTCATTTTAAAATGCACTTCAAACAAGGCAGACCAAAAGTGACCAAAATTGGATTTTTTAAAATGATTTCATGACAGTGTGAGCAGCACAAATGACATGGAATCTGATCTTTTAATTTCTGATTTGGGCCACTTTCTATATGTGGTCCAAATCAGATATAGGTCTGATACTTTGCAATGTGACCTCAGTGTGAACTGTTCAGATTATTATTGTAAGTGTCTGACAACATTATAGAAAGGATCCCTACAGAGACAGACCTTTTTGTTTGACCAGAAACAGCTGTAATATCATTTTTGCTTGCCACCAGACTCCATAGACAAAACCAGTAATTTTACCTCACAGATCATTGTAACATCATTCAGTATGGAAACAAAGTTTAGAGTCAAAATGAAGAGTTTTTGCAATTGGATTGTTGCAGCAATGACCAACTCTGGTTGGTTGAAATAAATCCTTTGTTCACCAATGTAGAGCAGCAATTTCAGTCGCTCTACTCAGTTATACACTAGACATTAACCTGTATGTGTAAACAGAGGCGCTGCGATACCAACACAGACAATACTACTCTATCTTTCCATGGCAAGTAGTTGTTTTCTGCTATGTTTAGGTTTTAAAAACTCATATTTAACCTTTTAAAAATCAGGCCGAGCTAATGTCTAAGTTTATTTGTTACGTAGGACTGAACCAGGCTGGTCAGAGCTTTACTCATTGTTCGTATCACTCAGTTACATTATTGCAGGTAAAACCTCCCAACTCTTGTCCAATCAGTGCACACGAGGACTTTCTGGTAAAAATAAAAAGCAAATGTTTTTCCTACTGACTTTGCATTTTCCTGCTTTTTAGGAAGGATTCTCAACAGGTTTTCCAAAGACATCAGCCAGATGGACTCGACGTTACCCATCACCTTTGTGGACTTCTATCAAGTGAGTAGCGATAACCATCTCATTAAGACGACTGCACTGAACCGTATTTGTCCTCCACTTTCAAACCTTAACTTCCTCAGTATTCCTCAGTGTGATGTTTGTTTGTTTTCTCAGTTATTTTTACAGAACGTCGGTGTGGTTGTGGTGGCTGCCTCAGTCATCCCTCTCATCCTCATCCCCGTCGTTCCTCTGCTTTTTTTCTTCCTGTACTTGAGGCGTTTCTACCTCCGTACATCACGAGATGTCAAACGTCTCGAGTCTACAAGTATGTTCATGGATTCTTATCATAGTTATACCATGTGTGTGAAAGGGCTTTTGGTCACGTGATGAGTGAGTTTTGACATTAAAAATAGTTGTAATAAGATCGTTTTCACCTCATCTCTGTTATCTTTCCCGCAGCTCGAAGTCCAGTGTTCTCCCATCTGTCTTCGTCTCTTCAGGGCCTGTGGACGATCCGAGCCCTCAGAGCCGAGGACAGGTTAAAGAAAGCCTTTGATGCACATCAGGACCTGCACTCAGGTTGTCCTTTTACATTGTGACTTTCCAACCTTATTTATAGTTAATTATTATCCCTTGTAGTCAGTCTCTGAATGAGATCATCTTCACTAAATTTAATGTTCTTTTTCATGTCAGAGGCGTGGTTTTTGTTCCTGATGACGTCCCGATGGTTTGCATTGCGCCTCGACAGCATTTGCTCCATATTCATCACATTTGCAACGTTTGGCTGCATCCTGCTGAGAGATGGTGAGTTCATCCATCGTACAACAGAGCTTTACAGATCAGTGAATTCTTACTACTGTAACTCCAGTCTGGACCATCTTCTATATGCTTTTATTTAAGAATCCTGCACAGTTAAATAAAAATAAACTGCTTTAGGGGCACAAAGCATAGTTGTGCCTCACGCTCACTCCTGGTTACATTGAGCATAAAGCCCCTTGCATAATGTATTTGTTCAGACTCATCTATTCGTGTCTTTCCCCCGACAGAAACCTGTTTGCATACTGTAAAGAGGGTTTTTTGTTCGTTCAGTATCATGTGTCTGTGTGTTTCTTAGGGCTTGAGGCTGGAGAGGTCGGCCTGGTGCTGACCTATGCTGTGACGCTGGTCGGAAACTTCCAGTGGACGATGAGGCAAAGTGCGGAGGTGGAGAACATGGTAAGAGCGGAGTGACTTCAGGAGTGAGGAAACTAGGAAGCATGATTAGCTGCTTGGATGTAACCTCTTGTCTCTTCAGATGACGTCAGTCGAGAGAGTGGTGGAGTATACGGAGCTTAAGAGTGAAGCACCCTGGAAAACACAGACGTGTCCTCCTCCTGATTGGCCGGGTAAAGGAGCAGTGAGCTTCAACCGGGTGAACTTCTCCTACAGCGATGATGGACCGCTGGTCCTCAAAGACATCAGTGCCACCCTCCACCCCAATGAGAAGGTGAGAGATCTCGGTGCACTTACGGCTGCAGTCTTTCTCAGTGTGAACAATGGATGATGATCATGACTCAGTCTTTGTGACTTCCCTGTTCTTCAGGTTGGCATTGTGGGAAGGACCGGTGCTGGGAAGAGCTCTCTGGTCTCAGCTCTCTTTCGCCTGGCAGAGCCTCAGGGGAAGATCTACATTGACGGTGTTTTGACCTCTGAGATCGGCCTCCATGACCTGCGCCAGAAGATGTCCATCATCCCTCAGGTAAACATGAGCTGACCTCTTTTTTGTAACTCCAGCTCACGGTTGCACTGAAATGTAACCGTGTTTCTGTGTGACCCAGGACCCGGTGCTGTTTACTGACACAGTGAGGAAAAACCTGGACCCCTTCAACCAGCATGCTGATGAAGACCTGTGGAAGGCTCTGGAGGAGGTTAGTATCTAATCAGATAGTTGCCCACACACGCTCTGCAGCTTTCCCCTGATCTGGTTTCATTTTCCCTGTAGGTTCAGCTGAAGTCTGTGGTGGAGGAGCTTCCTGGGAAGTTGGAGACAGTTCTTGCAGAGTCGGGCTCCAACTTCAGCGTGGGTCAGAGACAGCTGGTCTGTCTGGCCAGAGCAGTCCTGAGGAAGAACCGCATCCTCATCATTGATGAGGCTACAGCCAACGTGGACCCCAGGTATGACTCACACAAAACCAACATACACATGTATTAAGTAGTTTTTCTCCAGAGTGGACTGCTGTAACTTCCTCCTCTCTGGCCTCCAACTGGTTCAGAACAGACATCTTCTCAATCTTTGCTTCTGTGGTTTGCTTCCTGTTTGATTTAGAATCAATTTAAAGATTTTACTGGTCACTTTTAAAGCATGGCTGGTTCTGGCCCCAAAGTTCAATCTGATGGTGACCAGGCTCTTGCCATGTCTTTGTTACGTTGTTTATTGTTGTCTCTGCAGGACAGATGAACTGATCCAGAAAACTATACGGGAGAAGTTCAGAGAATGCACAGTGCTGACCATCGCTCATCGCCTCAACACCATCATAGACAGCAACAGGATACTGGTGAGTACTCTCTTCTGTCTCAGTTGTTGTAGCTCAATTTGTTTCTTGTAGTATGTATATAACCTAAATTATTTAACTTTGTGTTGTGTACTTTTGTTATTGTACTGACCTTGTATTATGCTTTAAGGTGCTGGACAGTGGTACCATCCAGGAGTTAGACTGTCCCTTCACCCTGCTGCAAAACAAAGAGGGTGCTCTCTACAATATGGTGCAACAGACGGGTCAGGCCACTGTTCTGCTTGAGGCTGCTAGACAGGTGAGGGGAAAAGTTCCTTAAACATTCCTGTATCTGAAATGTGTGTAGGTGGATGTTATGTGAAATTACATTATATAATTGTTTTCATTTTCAAAGGCAGCACAGCAGTCCCAACATGTGGAGACCAGCTGAGTGGCATTTTGAAAGACTGCCTGTCTGCTGTATAACAGTCAAGATGTAAGTAGTGTGAGCACCCTGAGGCCACACATTTAATGTTGAAAGATACAAACCTGCTAATATGGAAGTTCAAAAGCTATTCGGATTGTCATTCAAGTTGCTTAAGTCAAAACTCATGTGTTTTTGTTATTTTTGTTAATGTGAGTAAGCTGCTTTTCTCATGTAACTGACCTGGAAATCCAAAGTCCGACTGTGAAACTTGAGGTACACTAAAGATGGTGCTAATTGTAATGTGCATTTTTGTACATGTGTCATAAAGATTACATTGTTAACTGCCTGAGTTATGGTCTTGTTTGTTGATTTGACTAATGTTGTTTTTCCTTATTAGACAATAACAAGTCTGTAGCTGAGCCCCATCAGGACAAATCAATAAGGTAAGACCCATTTTATTGTGTAAATGTAGTGTATATTTGAATCCAAAGGACATCAAATATACAAATTGGCACTTGAAGCAAAGTATTAACATGTAAGATGGTCATGACACCATTTGAACACACAAGGCAAAGTCAGCAGAGTGAATAGAAACAGTATAAAAAGGCTGATGCATGTTTTATAGATCAGTACATTAACATACAAAACTGATTTACTGTGTAATTTTTTAGATTTGGTAATGATTAGTCCTGTGCAACAACATAAAGGCAACTTTGGATACAGATATACACGATCATTGATTAAATTAACATGTGCAAACCTGAAATAAGGCACTTTAAGGATTATATGGCCACTTAAAAGCAAATTAACATAATAAATAGTGATCTATGTGAAGTTTTTACAGTACTGATTTCCCAGCTTGAAGGAAACAGCATAATGTGCATGTTGTTGGATCAGCCACATTGAGGCCAGTGCCTCTGCAGATCCTGTCCTCTGTCTCCTCACCAGCTGGACTGGTTGAGACCCATCTATCCAGAGACCCTGTGTGCTTTCACCAGAGGCTGGAGGGGGGGGGGCAGTACATGCCCAGGGACTTCCTTTAGTCTCCTGGCTAAGCAGTGGCTCACAGAGCTGTCTCAAAAATAACCAAGTTACCATCTGCTGTTACTGCGTGCCCATTAGACAGATTGTCATGGCTTCTGCTGTCGTATGCCTGAAAATACAGATTGCAAAGTCAGATTATTTACTCAAAAGTTTTTCACATTTTAAATTGTGAAAGGTAAAACTCACCTGTTTAGCTGCTTCTAGTAGAGCTACTGCTTCCTGTTTACCAGTCTGTTGCACCATTTTATAAAAGATGCCTTCTGGGTCTTGAAGCAGGGTGTAAGGCTCATCATAGGCATGAATGTTCCCTGCATCTAGAACCTGGAGACACAAACACATTGTTGTAGGAAATACTTTAAAGTTGCAAACACTAACTATCTGTGCCTTCTTTCAGGTTGGGCTGTGATTGGCTAGCTGAACAGTGTCACCTCCTCTACAGGCAAGTAAAGTAGCAGCTGCTGCAATTGAACGGTCAGATCACTCACTTTACCTCCAAACTCAGATTTGTTTTTACTCCACACCAATACAGTTGATGCATTACATTTGTGCCCCATTCCTGAGTGAACAAAGAAAAATCTACTCAGTAAATGTTTCTGTATGCTTGCTATTATCCTGGTACAGCATGCAAATACAATTAGTGAGTACAGAATAGATTTTTCTTCAAATCTCACTTAGGAAAGAGACACAAATAAAACCAAATCCATCATCATCAGTAATTTGGGTGAACTGACTTAAACAGCTTAATTTGTGAAGTCCTCCCTTATCACAACTTTCACATTTAAAAGTCAGGTAGCAGTGCGCTCAGTTCACCATGCAAGAGGTCCTTTGTTAGCAACCTTCCTCATGCTGCTACACAGTGACAACTGGAAACCACAAGAGGGCAGCAAAACCAAAGCAACTACTTTTGATGGCTAAATGAATGTAGAAGTTGTGATATGTGAAGCATATTTTCTGCTTTATGTTGAAAGGGACAGTTCACATTTTACCTGTGTTATTGATTCCATCTACATTGTTTGAGCTACTTAAGTTACAGCTCTGACACTTTCAGCCTGAGAGGAGGCAGACCTCTCAAACAATGTGGATGGAATAAGTAACACTACAGGTACAGGGTGAACTGTCCCTTCAATATTAGCAATGGAGGACCTGTATTAAAAAGGTGGGATCAGCCCTTCTGGAGAAAGATGGCTCAGTCTCATTCCCAGGTTGCCTGGATTTAAAACATGGGAATGAGGCTCAACTATCTTTTGCTAGATGACTTATCCTAGCTTTTAAGCAATAGTTCAGTGTTTTGGGAAATGTTTAATATATTATGGAACAATGTCAATCTCATGTCTGTGCTTTAAATATGGAGGATATGGTTAGTTCAGTTAATTCTAAAAGACCTACCAGTCAGAAGATGTTGGTAAGTGTAGGAAAGGGCAAGCTTCCAGCCTTTATGCTAAGCTAAACACATTGTCATTCTAACTCCATATTTAAAGCACAGACATGAGATTATCATCAGCATTATATATGTAAAGTATTTCCCTAAAGCTGGGGCGAGTCATTTAGCAAAAGTTACTTGAGCCTCATTCCCGTGTTGTCAATACAGACACTGGCAACCTGGGAATGACACTGCAGAAGAACTGAACCCACCTTTTAATACGCAACTAAACACATGTCAAGATTGCAGAAGCTACTGCTGTCTTTGCCTGTAGGTGATGATAAAGAGGTTGACATCTGCTACTGTAAGCTGTCAGTTTATTAGGTCCTCACCATTTATCCATAGTCTGTGTGTATGACGGACAGGGGCAGCAGAAAAAACATAGCCCTTTTCAACAGGAAACTGAATTGGTAATATTAATATGCTCACTTCAAGTGAACAATGCAACAGTGTGTTTCTACTGTAGGGACACAGATTATGGATAAGCAGTGGCAAAAATATCTGAAACATCAGTACCACCACAAACTGCAGCCTTCAAATGACTAAAGAAATAACCTAATAAACTCCTCACTCTAAAATATTCTGTAATGCATGAGTACTCACCAGTATCCTGTCGCTGTCTATGATGGTGTTGAGGCGATGAGCGATGGTCAGCACTGTGCACTCTCTGAACTTCTCCCGTATAGTTTTCTGGATCAGTTCATCTGTCCTGCAGAGAGAGAGACATTGAAACATTTTACTACCTACTAGTAACATGAATAAAGTGTTTAAGAAAACATCTCTCAACATGCCTTGTTCTTAAGCCATAATTTTAGGTGCAGTATCAAATCTAATGTGTAGAGGAAAAAACTACACACTACTACTACAGTCAATGGGGTGAGTCATACCTGGGGTCCACGTTGGCTGTGGCCTCGTCAATGATGAGGATGCGGTTCTTCCTCAGGACGGCTCTGGCCAGACAGACCAGCTGTCTCTGACCCACGCTGAAGTTGGAGCCCGACTCTGCAAGAACCGTCTCCAACTTCCCAGGAAGCTCCTCCACCACAGACTTCAGCTGAACCTACAGGGAACATAGAGACACTTATGAGTACACTACTGTGTGTGTACACACAAGTTGTCAAGTAAGATTTAAGTAGAAATACAGCTGATCTTTAGGTACATACAGAATGAGATAGCTGTTAGATAAAGGGGGCTTATTAAATTCTACTGTGTAGATGAGTGCATTACTGACCTCTCGCAGGGCATTCCACAGTTCTTCATCTGTGTGTTGATTAAAAGGGTCCAAGTTCTTCCTCATGGAGCCTGTAAACAGCACTGGGTCCTATAAAACGGGGGGGGGGTAAATCACACTGGATTGCTCTTAATGTATATTCTGTCAAATGTTTGATCTATTTTGTTGTTTGAGACGTGAACTTCTGTAACATCTTATTTTCCCCTCTGGGATCAATAAAGCATCTACAAATAAATCAAGGGTTTTAACATCCTGCTGTAGAATGAATACATTCCTGTTTGTGATAAAGACTTAATGTCATTGATAAAAGAACACAAGATTAAATTATATTTACTACCTGGATTTGAGTAAATTGGTTTTCAATAATGGATTATCCAAATGGTGTCTATTGTATTACTATTACCTATTTTATCTAAATATATTTTTGGAATAACTCATCAGACTTTGTGCTCTGGTATTTGGAGTCTACATGTTAATTTGCTTTAAGTGGAGATCAGCTAATGTTTACCTGAGGGATGATGGACATCTTCTGGCGCAGGTCATGGAGGCCGATCTCAGAGGTCAAAACACCGTCAATGTAGATCTTCCCCTGAGGCTCTGCCAGGCGGAAGAGAGCCGAGACCAGAGAGCTCTTCCCAGCACCGGTCCTTCCCACAATGCCAACCTGTACAGGACAAAAGAGTTAATCAGTTCAGAGTTAACAGCGTGTGAAATGAACAGTATCTGGTCCTCTGGAGATAAAGATGTCTGACCTTCTCTTTGGGTCGGAACATCGCTTTCAGGTTCTTCAGCACCAGCGGTCCGTCGTCGCTGTAGGAGAAGCTGACCCGGTCGAAGGTCACCAGGCCTTTGCTGGGCCAATCAGGAGGCGGACGCTTCTGGGTTTCCCAGGGTGCTTCACTCTCCAGTTCAGTGTACTCCACCACCCTCTCCACTGACGTCATCTGAAGACAGAAGAGCGCACACACTTTACATACAGGGGTTCAATAAAGCTGCCACATAGCAAACATTTATCCAGACTGCTATAACAATATTCTCTTATTCTATAATTTTTCCTCAATTTTATAAATTTTAAACATTTTTTTTCATGAATTGTATAAATGTGATTCCTTTGAGGTGTTTATGAGGCAGACAGTTGTTAGTGGTTAGTAAGAGCATTTTAAACTAGCAGATGTATCAGCTCATATTTCCTCCCTACAAGCAGGAAAACCTTGACAGAGGACATAATGTCACCTCAACTACAGAAAACTGAATTTGCCACATGTGGATCAACCCAGAAATTTTACTTTGCCTGGCAACTGTTCTTATTTTGTTCTGACTAACTAACAGTGCTTCCCTATGATTAACACCACTTCTAATATTAGCACTGTGCTTTATTTTTGTTGGATGCTGTGTACTTGTGTAGACTCATACTATGGCATATGGAATATATATTTATATTATTTTATGTATGCCATCATAAAGTGTGACTTGTACATAGAAACGACAACTAATTGTTTATTTGTACATTAAACTTTGTACTTGATGTCCCAGAGTTTGTTAAATTGACTGAATGCATCCCATTTAGGGCATAACCCATTCAATTTATTCCTATTTTATTTTCATCCAGCTTTATATCAGTAATGGGGTGGGTAAAAATACCAAAATATGGAGGGACAATTATGTCTATTTGCACTTTATTTGATTGTTTTTGTTGAACTACTGCTTCTTCCAGTAAAAATATTGTTTAAAAACAAATTGATGGAATGTGAGTTTAGTTTAATTTAAGGCCCAGCAGTGAGGATGCTTTCACGTCTGTATTTCTTTTCCCGTTGAAGAATTTGCTCTTTGAGTGATTAATGCTGAGTTTTGTCGTCAAGGAGTGTCACTCAGTGTATATTTTCACTCTGTTTTATCTAAGAAAAATATAGAATAGAATGAATCTTACCATGTTCTCCACCTCTGCACTCTGCCTCACCCCCCACTGGAACATGCCCATCAGTGTTACTGAGTAGGTCAGAGCCAAACCAACAGAGCCTGCATCCAGCTCTAACAGAAGAAAAGAAAACACATTTAATTTTTACTGCGCTAAAAAGACACTTTGAACAGAATCAAACTCTTCAGTAAAAATCTAACATCCGCATAATCCAACAAAATATTATTCATGTCTTGAATATTTCTAATTAATGTAAAACATTTCAAATCTTCCTTACGGTTTCTCAGCAGCAGGCAGCCGAAGGTGGTGACGGTAACAAAGATGGAGCAGATGCCGTCGAGGCGGAGAGCGAACCAACGAGAGGTGGTCAGGAACAGGAACCAGGCCCCTGTTCAGGACATGGAAACACGTTACTGACACCAGACTAACAGAACTCACAAAAAATGCATGTGGATGGATATAAAGTCAAACTAAGTGTGCCGAGGCTGACCTGAGTGAAGGTCCTGATGAGCGTCAAAGGTTTTCTGGAACCTCTCCTCTGCTCCAAAGGCTCGGATCGTCCACAGGCCCTGAAGAGACGAGGACAGGTGGGAGAAGACTGGACTCCGAGCTGCAGGGCAGATGAGAAAGAGGGGACACAGAAACATTATGGTAGCTGTCTGCCTGTACATGATATAGTAAAACCTTCACGCACGCACGCGCGCACACGCACACACTTGCACTGTGGGATACTCACTGGTAGATTCGAGGCGTTTGACGTCTCTGGAGGTCTGCAGGAAGTAGCGGCGCAGGTAGAGGAAGAAGAGAAGGAGAGGGAGCACAGGGATCAGGATCCAGGGGATCACAGATACCGACACAGCGATCACACCAAGAATCTGCAGGAACACCTGCTCAGAGAGAACAAAACAAACCAACCACAGTTCAGGTTCAAGTTATAAGTTTTAGCAGGTTAATTTTGTAATACATCTAAACAGCTAAACAATCAGAGAGAGTAAAAACCAGTGACTGAATGAGTCACAGTAACAATGCATAATTATCTGTGTGTGAATGTTTTTGTTCTCTCACAGGCTACAGATATTTCAGATAAAGGGGCGATAATCAGTAACCACTGAGTGCGCCAAGGACGCTCACCCAACTTTTTACCAATAATCCCCTAATATGTCTCAATTTCATTTAATAGATAGAAGTTCTGCTTTTTTGTCTCCATGCTGTACCTAAAGTGTTTCATAGACTGACTTACAGATGGCTCTCAAATTCTAATACTGACCAGAAAGAAATGTAAACATAAATAGACTTCTGATTTAGCACAAACAGCTTGTGGTGTCCTACAGGGCTCTATTCTTGGTCCCCTTTTGTTCCTACATTAATGACGTGGTCACTGCATAGTTGTTTTACTTCTTGCTCATAACAGTAGGTTGTTTCTGGTGACAGTAGCTTGGTCTCTTTACAGTTTTCTTTTTTAGGTTAATAGTTGACATTTACATTTATTGTAAATTTAACTGTCCGTTGGGAAAAGGTTTTGCAAAAGAGATCGAAGTGCTTTCAATCAGCCGAATGAGTAAGATGATATTCGTATTCAAATATTTCTGTGAATGCCAGCACTCATTTTAATTTAGGTTTTATGCAGTATTCTTGAACTTATGATCACATATGTTTTATGCTGATATAATGAATGGCCAAGAGGCTCTCCAGAGTTTAGGGTTCATATCTCTTTTATGAGTGGCTGTGTCATTGGTGAGAGATGTCCTCACCTGAATGAAGTCCACAAAGGTCCACGGCATGTTAGCATCTAGCTGGCCGATGTCCTTTGAGAAACGGTTTAAGACTCTTCCTGAAGTGAGACAGGAGAGAATATAGGAGATGATTTTACTATGGAAATAATAAAGTGAGCAATGAGAACATTTAGGTTTTACAGTTTATAGTTTGGTAGAGGGTCTTCTGATTGCGGTGCCATCTCAGCTTTTTTAGTAAAGCAATTCTCCCATGCAACTCAGTAATAATCCAATACTCCTTTGAGCATTCAGGCTGTTTAAATGATTGCAAGGGTTCTAACAACTAAAGAAAGATCTCCAATTTTACTTCAGAGTTAACATGCTGAGAGCTACTGTATTTGACGTCTAGGATTTTAACCTTCCAGTGAGATAAAACAAGAGACAACTACAGAGAAATACAGCTAATATTTCAGATTGGACACTAAAAATAGAAAACTAATTTACTTCTAAAGTCGATAACAAATAAAACAGACACAGTAACAGTTTCTACCCACAGGCCATCACTCTGACCAACACTTAACTGCCCTGTACAATAACCCTAGGACTCTTAATGAAACCAATTACTTATTTTCCCCATTGTTGAATATTCAGTTTCTTTTAAACATACATCTACCTATGCATTGCTTACTGTATGTACTGTATCTACAGTAGACTGTCATATCCACCTACCCCCATGTGCATAAAGATACCTGCACATTATTTATTTATTTCAGCATCCTTTGCACTCTGCACCATTGCCTACCGTCTACAAATTTTTGTTTATAGATATGTATAACTACATATTAGTCTGTCTTTTTTGTTGAAATTGTTCTGTTTATTTATACTGTTAGTCTATTTTGTACATTGAGAGCAACATAAAACCGGAGTCAAATTCCTTGTATGTGCACACATACCTGGCCAATAAAAGTGATTCTGATTCCGAATATGCTTTACTTCAACCAACTTCAGCCCAAAATCCAATCAATATGTACCAATTAACTAAAAGGTAATGTTTAAATTTGCTTACCAATAGGGTTGACGTCAAAGAAGCGCACCGGTGTTCTGAGTATGGCGCTGAACATGCGGTTGTGCAGAGACTGTGCACACCTCACCAGCACGTTGAACAGGAGCAAATTCCTCATGAAACCAAAAATGATGGTGGCCACAGTCAGACCTGTTAAAACACAAACAGCAGAATAATCTCCTTCACTGGAATACCACACAGCACATACAGTACAGGTTGACAGTGAGGAGAGTAAATGGTAATGTGCATTTTCAGATTACCTCCATAAACACCCAGGTAGAAGTCAGTATTCAGCGCTGTGACGTTTTGACCGTTCGGGATGACGGTGCTGTTAGCAGTCAGCTTCTCTTGCTCGTCAGCCCTGAACAGAACAAATTTACACAAAATTAATGACAACTCTTACAAAAGCAGACTCCTATGAGGAATATCCCAATACTGGGGACTAATGTACAGTATATTTTGTTCTTTAGTTGTTCTCATACTTACCAGTAAGCCAGCCACCAGTCCTGCATGATGTATGCCACCTACAAGATAGAAAAAGAAACTGTGTTTATCTGACTCTTAGCTGGGAGCAACTAACTAAGATGTAAAAAGGGAAATCTTCTTCTTGCGTACCTGAGCCAGAACGTTGACCAGTATGACGGCTACCAGAACCACGATGTGGGCTCCAGCTCTCAAGTATTTCACATACAGACTCATTTTAATGTTTCCCTGAGCACGACTCTCCTCTGCCACCACCTGCACATGCTCTGCCTGTGTGGACGACAGCGGATTAACTCAGTTACACAAGACAGATTGCATTCTAATATTCAACAAGGACAAAGAAACATAATCACTCATTTGGAGTTGTGTATCTGATGAATACAAGTCCAATATTCACTTTCTTGTAACTGTTTTTGTCTCCAACAACTCCTGAGGGAAACATCCGGCTCTTTAGTTTGTGAACTTGCAGCTAGTCTGAGCAGGTAGTTTACAGTGGAGTATTTTCCATGAGAACAGCAGCCTGCTGTGGTTGAAATAAACCCAGAGAATTAACCAAAAGAGTGAAGTTGCAGCTGGAGAGTTAAACAATGAGCTAAAGCCAAAAACTCACTGAGGGCAGCTGCAAATTCAGGTGATAATTCTCTGTAGGTTCATCAATGTGAGCACTATGACTATCGATTATAACCATATTAAAGTTGCAGTCCTTATATTAGTTATTAGGAACTGTTCGTGAAACCATTTACTATGATTTGCGTCACACTTTGAATTTTAATAAGATCAAAATTAACCAACACACACTGGAATGACTTTACTGTGATTTTATAAAAGGAGCAAACACTGGTTTCGTCTGTAGCTTCTTCAGGTTCACTTGGTAAAATTACATGGAGGTAAAGAGGCTACATCTGGGTCACATGACTACTTATCACAGTCTTCATGTTTTGTTTCCCCCCCCAGTGTTTTATACCATTTGTTCTTTACCTATATAGTCCTACGACCAACCTGCACCTGCTGGCTGTGCATGGGGAGTTTTGTTCATCACTTTATATCTGTCTAATGATGCATACAGACACACAAATGTGATGTATATATTTGATACAAATTCAACAGAAACCTGGAATAATAAATGTTACCGCATCACGTTCTGAAACCTGCAGTTTGTGCATCAGACAAAGAAAGAGGGGAAAGGATGTACTAACCGGTAGCTGGTCTCCATCTTTGACCGAGTGCACAGAGGAGGTGTGTGAGAGCACAGAGTTCTGGGACAGAGTTCTCATCCTGGGGAGGATGTCTTGAGGCTGTTGCTGCTCCTCTTCCTCCTCTTTCTTCAACAGGGAGGTGAAGTCCAAACCAGACTGCTGCAGCTCCGTATACGTCCCCTTTGCCACCATGTGACCCTGACATGTGCACAGACACAATTACAGTTAGGAAACTCTGCACAGCTGCCATTTTGTTTAAATACCACTGCCAACACCTAAACATGATCTCATCACGGGTACACAAACTTTGACAAGATTATGGTAAATACATTTCATTATACCAAAGATGTTGGTGCTGGCATCTTGAAACACTAACAGTCTGAAGTCCAACTAGTGACCTGAACAGGCTGTAATGTTCATTATGTTGTAACATTTTGTCAAGATTCTGAACATGATTCAAACATTACCACTAGTTTGTTCTGATGGTGAAGAACAGAACAAACCATCAATGTGTGATCTTGGGAGTTGACCTGAAGGTGGTGCTAGAGGAAAGCTCACCGACTGGCCAATAACAAATGACAATCCTCAGGGGTTTTAATATTTCTGGTTTATAAAGTGTAAAATCAGGAGGTCACATATAAAGATTGATCCTCTGAGAACCACAAACAGCAACATTTCACCAAATTATATCTTTACTTGATATCATGTGGTTTTGATACAGGGATTCTACTGAGTTAACATGTATTAACTGAAACAATGCCCCTGCTATCAGTTAGAGATGAGTGAATGTACGTATATCATTATATAATTAGTGTCGTAAAGAGAGGATGTCCACCTGCATACAGCATTATATAAATCTATACAAAAAGCTCTATTTTATGCTTTATTGCTTTAGTTGATTTCAGTATCATATTTGGGAAAAGGTCCAGTGTGTAACATTTAGGAGGATCTCTTGTTAGAAACAGAATATAATATTCATAAGGTATGTTTTGGAAGGTTTGTTATCTTAGAATGAGCCCTTTTTATCTACAGAGGGAGAAGGTTGACCCGGCATGTTTTTACAGTAGCCCAGAACGGACAAACAGAATAACGTCTCTACATTGCAGCCACCATAGTTTCTCCTACAGATTTCACAGCTTGTCCTGACTACAATCGGCAACTTCAGTGCTACATGCCACTGAATCCGGCACACACTGGTCCTTTAAACTCCAAATTCATTCAGATGAACACATTATGATTCAAATGTTTTTCTGCTCTGGAGAAATTGAAACTACCTGTACCAGATCAGTTTGAAAAGTCAGGAGGACTGTCACTCATATGTGTACTGTTGCACGTTAAAGTTTATGTAAGTGTTAATTAAAAATGTACATGGAGTAAAGTTTGGGACCAACCTCCTTGAGGACCAGAATCTGGTCGGCTGCCTTCAGGTACTGCAACTGGTGGGTGACGAGGACACGAGGCTTGTTCCTCAGCATACCACAGATACACCTGATACACGGACACACAGTGGAGATGGTGTCAGGTTTTAGCATATAAATACTAGTGCTGTCAACTGATTAAAATATTTAATCGCGATTAATCGCATTAATGTCATAGTTAACTCACAATTAATCGCACATTTTTATCTATTCTAAATGTCCCTCAATTTCTTTTTGTCCCATTATTTTTTCTCATTTTAATGCTCTTATCAACATGGAAAAGTGGATCGGCTCGCTTGATGCAAATGTTTTTATTGAAAAATCATCCATTGTCGCCTGGCTTTGACGGGGGGGCGGAGAATTTGGATCAGCTGTGTGCTTCGCCATCAAGTGGTATTTCAGACTGGACGTGCTGCGATGATAGCTCAGTTCACAACGACAAAACACACAGATCACTTTGGTCTTGTCAATGGAAACATTTGGCAACCTTTTAAAAGTAAACTTTCCATTCAGATTATTATTGGCATCCATTTCGGCGTCTCGCGCTCGCCATCCACTCAAAACGTAACGTCCGCTACTCTTAAACAAGTGTGTGCGGCGTGCCTGTTTTGTTTCCGGTCTAGCTAGATCCGGTGTGGTGTTGTAGTTGTTGCAACAGCATGTGAAAAAAACTACAAAGTTAAACAAACGTTAATCTCGTGATAAAAAAAAATTTAGGCTGTTAAAATGGGTTTGCGCCGTTAATAACGCGTTTAACTGACACTAGTAAGTACGCACTAATAAATACATATAAGATTCAGTAAATCTATTTGGGATTTATTGTTCTGTGTGTGGCTTCACATTCCTTATTATAGTTGTTATGTACGGGTCTGTGGGACTGTGTTGTCCAAGAGGAAGAGTGTAACAGGAAAAGTGGGGCCAGTTTCAATTGTCTGCCTGACACTAGCAGCACCGCACCTCTTCCTGGCTCAGACGTAGTTCTTTCAAACATTGTAAACCTTTTCTTGATCATCTTGGCTACGTTATGCAACAATGCCACATGACACACCCCACCCCTCTTTTTACGGGAACTTTCTCCTGCTGTGATCGGACGCTGGAGGCTTTCTCTAGCAGGGGGGTGTTGACGAGAACACGCCAGTATTTTCCTGTTTGGTAGATCAAATACATCCCTCACGCTGTGGTTTAGCAGCGTGCTGCTCTACTGTGTGTATGATAGCATGTAGATATATGGAGGGGGTAAAACCACACAGATTTGACAAAATAGATCCGAAAATCACTCACTGTTCAAAGAGGTGTCTGCCGACCTCAGCATCCACAGCACTTAAAGGATCATCCAGGAGGTAGATGTCTGCGTCCTGATACACAGCCCTGACCACACACACACACACACACACACACACACACACACACACACACACACACACACACACACACACACACACACACACACACACCCCCCCTTTTGTTAGACAGACTCAAGTGACATCAGTTGAGGAAATTTATTAGATTTCACACAGCACCCTCTGGAAACACCAAATGCTGTAGTACTCCCTAAAACCTGGAAATACACCTTGACGAGTAAAATTGGTGGAGTTTCCCTTTAACTGCTTATATTTTGTCTATTATTTACTGTGTGTTTGTTCGTTTACTGTTTCTTAATTTCATATTTAGTTAGTTTTTTTCTACTTCTTTTAAAGTACTCTGGGTCACTTTGTTCTGTCAATGTGCTCTCATTAGCCAGCTTAAACCCAACATGGAGGGGGTCTGGTTTGCTGTGATTTAGAGCCACTCAATTTAGGAAGAGATAGTTTTAGCCAGTAAATGGGAATCCCATCTTTCCTTACAGTGAGCTAAACTCGACTGCCTTCGTGACAAAGAGACCTATTTGATGTTCAATGAAGGTGCTGTGGTTAAAGTCGTTCTTAACTTTAACCTTGGCATACACTGTGACACATTATTGAGTTATACATTCTGACAGATATAAATAAATTAATGTGTTTCAAGGACCAATCTTTTCTCAACTAAAAGACCCTGAAGGGGTAATATAGATTTTGATTTAAAAATTATAAAAGCTATCCGATGTCAACTCAAGACTGACAAGTTATCTAATCAAATACTATGAAACGCACCAGGTTCTCTTTATTATAACCATTTGCACTGTGCTCTTACCTCGCCAGGTTGACACGAGCTTTCTGCCCCCCGCTGAGTGTGGCCCCTCTGTCCCCGATCAGTGTCAGATCTCCATCTGGGAGCAGCTCCATGTCCTGAACAGACAGAAGTAAGAGAGAAAATCCTCAATGTGGATCTCAAACAGAGGAGTGACCACGCCACACACGTTTTATATTAAAAAAATAAATAAGTAGGACCAACAACAGTGACGTTTCTTTGTAAGACCTTTTACAGTTCACAACAGTGAGGTGACAGAAAATGAGATCAGCCTCAAAGCCATATATGTGAACTCCTGCAGAATTAATTTATGAAATGAAACAACTGTTTTGGTACTCTTAGAAAAGAGGCAATAAGATGCATTACTTCATCTTTAAATGGATACCGGGCTCAGGAGAATCTGGGCTGCCTCGCACAATGTCTGGACCATGTACAGAATTTTTTTTTGCAACTTTTCCCATAACAACCTGTTGTTACCTCTGCACCACCCTCAAGCGGATTTTAATCAATGAGCTTGGCTCATATGTAGCAAAGATAAGAGTAATGTCAACAAGGAAGTTGGAGCAACTTTTGAATTGGAAATCAGGCTTCCACAAAAACATTTAACAGTCAGTGTCAGTAATCAATTACCATCTTCCCATATACAAGTATTATCTTATCAAGGATGATTAATAGTTTCCTGTAGTGTCGGCTAAAAATCATAAAGTAATATGGGAATAGGAGTAACTTTAATATTAGTTTAACACTACTGCTGCTCCTGTGTTAATTCTACAGATTGAAGTCAGGGTCAAAACATGCCAACAGCTACTCAGGTTTAATTCTACAGTTGAAGAGTTATCAATATTGCTGAACGATTTTAGGAAAAGATCTAATTGTGATTTTTCTGGCAGATATTGCGATTTCGATTTGATTCACGATTTCCTTCAAATCAAGCTTCAGTGCAATTTTCACAATATACAGTAACATTAAAACATTAAATGCTATTACTCTAATGCAAGGATGAAAACTAGAGTTAAAAATTGCTTCCAACTGTATTTATTAACAAGAAACATACATGTGCATTCTTTAAAGTCCTTGACCAACGGCAGTTATTACAAATGAACTAAAAGAGCCATCTTTGACTGTCTTAACTTAAAAAAGTAGTGCAAAAAATCCTTAATTGTGTTACGTTAAAAAAGTAAATAAAATACAAAAACTCTTATATTAAACTAAAATGACCCTTCTGAAAAATATGTCAGACATTAAAATAGGTGGGTCATTCATTTATGGCTCAGCAGCACCCAAATATTGTCTATTCTGTAAACAACAGAGCATTTTTCCCGAAAAATAGCAAATATCTTTTTTAAACAAAAGGCTGACACCACAAGTCAGGGTGAAGTGCAGAACAAATAAAATCTCAAAAGTATTTAAATCAACAATAATACTTGCTTTCCTGACATCTCTACATCACTCTTTACAGATTTTGTGTCAAGAAAACGTTATGGCGGTCGTTATCTCCCGGTGTCTTCGGCTGCTCTTATACGGAGTTACACTGGCAAAAGATGCTGTAATTGTAGTCTGTTTGCTACAGTGGGCCTCATTATCATTTTTTTTTTTTTTATCATTTTCAAGTGGCGGTATAAATTGGTCGTGTTTCCGCTGGATGTTTCAACTTTAGCGCTACAGGTTTTGCACAGTACCTGTTTCTGGTGCACGTCTGCAGCCTCAAACCCGAAATACTCCCAAATGACCGACGTGCTGTTTTTGTTGGGGATTAAATCCCTCAACTCCACTTCTGATCCGGCTGAAGCCATTTCTGACTAATTACAATTAAGGAGCAGGTTAACACTGATTGGTTAGCGTGAACACGAGTTGCATGCCGCTTCTGATTGGTGAGCTTGGCAGGAAGGTAGGGAGACGGCATGTATGTGTAAAATAGTTGACACAACAGATCCTGGGTCAGTCAGGAGCGCTGCAAAACCCGCAGCTTTGGCGATCACATGATCGCGTTGTCTGAAATCGCAATTTCGATCAGAAAACGATAAATCTTTCAGCCCTAGTTATCAATGCTCCACAACTACTGTAATAATCCAGTTATTATTCGATCAATTGAAGCAAAACCAGCAAACATTTACTGGTGCCAGCTAAAAACATTTGAAAAGGTCATCGTGGGCTCTTGACATTTTACACAACACGACTGATCAGTAATGACAAGCATCCTTTTTAAAATCCCACACTTTTATTTTTCACACCAGATTTGACATTGAATTACAAAAAGCAAGATGTTTATTATGTTAAAATAAAAGCCCTGAGCTGTTTAGCAGGCTGAACGCAAACTCCTACGCAGAGCTGCCTCTACACCTGTAAGTCACAATCACACCCCATACTCATACACCTCGCTTTCAACAACATCAAGCTCGCTCTGCCGGCTCCAAATACTATGCAAAACACTGTATGTATGTGTGTATGTATGTATGTATGTATGTATGTATGTATGTATGTATGTATGTATGCATGCATAATACATAATGACAAACAATAATAAATGACTAGGACCAGCTGAGCCCAATGCATCTTGCTCAAAACCTCCATCTGGCATAGACAAGGAAACAGGTCTCTCCAGAAGAACTCTAACATAGTTTCATTAAATGCCTTATGGCCGTCAATAACAATTTCTTGTTTAAATCAAACCGAGTGTAAGTGATTTACTTCGAGTGCAAGTCACCGCACGGAGTGAGTCAGCAGATTGCCGTTGACAGGAATGCTGTCGTGGGACTACATATAAGAAGATAGACATGGTTTATGGCGGGTAGATAAGTCACACATTAAATGAGGACATGTGCCAGACAATGCTCCAATCAGAGGAGCAGAGTCAGAGGAGAACAGTGCATTTTGTAGTGGTGGATTTTATTTGGGTAATCCAGGTTCATTCTGCCCGAACATAAGTGGTAACTCATTTACCAGACTCAACTTCAGTAACCTCTCCTCCAGTGAGAATGACCCGTAAGAGCAATCATAGTTCAACCGCAGGTGTTAATACCCGTTAGAAAATGTGAGACAGCAGAGGCATCTCATGTTTTAAGATGTGCAGTTATGTAGTAAATCCAGATGTCCAAGCAGCTCTCCACCACCCACACACACACAGCAATAAAATGAGCTGAGCTCAAACTGACATTAATGCTCAGTAAGAAAATGAGCAGCAAAAATGTCAGCATGCTACACTACAAGCCACAAAACAGCACAAGAAACCTCAACACACGTGAACACGCACACGTCTTCAGTTAAGCCTCTGCCGTGGAATGCCTTTGTATAGTACGCTGCCATTCAAATATAGTTAACGACAGGCAGAAAGACAATGCAGCTGCCTCAGGATCAGTTTTGTCAGCTGGGCCGAGGAATGAATGAAACAGCACCTAGTCAGCTTGTTTTTAGAGCTATTGTGGCTTCTGTTTTGTCTTTTAGATACACCGGTTGCTGCTATACGCTAGTTTTAGGTCAAGCAAACCAGCGGCTGGTTGGAAAAATCTAATATTTACAGACTCCTTGTCTCAGCTTGTATCAGCTAATATCCATTCATCATATTAAAGCCCATGAAAACTTGGTTTTAAATCTTAAATATTTCTTTATAACATACATATTCATGGATATATGGGCAACGATCAAAGTTAACATTAAAAGTTAACATCTTTAGGTTAAGACAAATTTGTGTCTTAAACAATAGTTACGATATGTAGACTGAAACAACTTTCCTGTTCATACTGACCATTACGAGATTCCTTTTTTAATGTGCTTCCAATGGAAGTACTGCAAATAATATCTTCTTGAAGCTAATATAGAGGCTTCAGAAGAAGAAGACTACTACATCCCTTCAGCCTTCATTGTCACATCTCAGCATTTAAATACATAGAAACTCAGTGGGCTCGAACCCTGCGGTTAGCGGACGTCCCACTCTACCTACTGAGCCACAGTCACTGAGTTCAGCATCGATAATTAGACAAACTTTTCAATATATTTTTGTGCAGATTGAGGATTTTGTCCCCCCACTCACTAGCGGGACAGTAAACAAACTTGCGCTGTAGCTTACAAGCCATGGACACAGTGTGTGTTTCGTTCCAAGAGTAAAGACAACACCAGCATCCAACAAGACGTAAGTGACATTTGCAGGTCCGTTTACAGTTACACTAAAAACCTATCTAGCCTGCAAAACAGTTAACTTTTCCCCAGTCAATGTTTGTTCAAGGACCTAATCGGCTGCACCAGAACTGTGTGGATGTGGTTTGATAAGACTTGCCTTAACAGTATGGTACCAAAAGCAAACAACTCCACTGTCATCACATTTTGATAATTATGTTACTGAACCCTGATTGGTGCCCGGAAGTACATTACATCACCCTTTTCCAACTGAGACACACACTTCAAACCAGCAAGAAAAGCAGAAATCGCTCATGTAAATGACCCAAACTGGCAGAAAATACCCGCGGCACTCATAAAAGGAAGCTAATTGAGAAAAGTATCAGTTAACATGCTCAAAATGCCTGTTGAAGGTATTAATCAGTGCATACACGCCAATCTCTCAGTTACTATCAAAGACACCGATACACAAACGTCAAAAACTGATCAACCCTGCCAAACCGCAAAGGATAAAGGAGTGACAACCTTACAAACCACAAGTACACACCTTTTTTAGTATTCTTTTCAACTGTAATATTTTATGGCTGTGTTTACTGCTAACTTTAAACCATGTATAAAGATATTGTGACGTCACTGGCATTATGGGCTGTCGCCATGTTAAATTTGTCACACACACTACCTTGTATGACAGATAAACACTGAAATATGTTTCTGAAAAAATTTGGAGGCTAGAAACAGGCAACGCAGTAACAGAACATTGATATTTTATCAACACCGCCTAGTGGACAGACTGAGAATGACCTGTCAGTCACACAGTAGCCCCGCCCCCTAAAGCATTTCCTGCTTTATCATCTATTTTACCCAAAATGGGACCAAAACTTACTAAATGAACTTTATGCTGAACTACCGTCAATGCCTTTGACCAACAGAATCATGACCTTTTATGGCTGCAATGAATTCATTTTACAGTTCAGCTGCTCAGGATCTGTTGGTGACGTTACTATCATTACGTATTGATAAGGCCAGACTTAACAGACTCATTGATTATCCTTGATAACTGGTCTCACAAAGCTGGTTACCTATTTATACACATTTTTAGCTTTTTAAAATATATATTCATCATTCATATATTCAGCCCTCTCTCATACGGTGCATCTTTAAGTATCAAGTCATCTTATCACCTTTCTGTACTTGTAATGAGTCAATCCTTTATCTATCTGAACTGCACTGTGTACAGTGTGTACAGTGTCTACAGTGTCTACAGTGTGTACTGTAATCTGAAGTAATAAACAATCCCTCACCCTCTTTAGAGCGCAGGCTCTGATGACTCTCTCGTACTTCTGGGTGTTCAGCTCTTTCCCAAACAGGATGTTACTGCGGATGGTTCCAGGGAAAACCCAGGGCTGCTGGGCGGCATACGTCAGCTGACCTTTGACCTTCAGCACCCCTTTTTCAGTAGGCAGCTCTCCCAGAATGGAGCTCAACAAAGATGACTGGACAGACACAAAGAAATGTAAAACATGAGATAATGCGCACAAACTACCTGAATTCCTTCTAACCAGTTCTTATTCAAGTGTTTAATACAAATCAGTTTAATTTGGCTTCTGACTGAAATGATGACATGAGTACGTCCACTGACCTTTCCAGCTCCAACTGGTCCAATCACAGCCAACAGCTGATTTGAGTTCAGATTGAACGAGATGTTCTGCAGAGACGGAGCATCTAGACTCTGCAGGAGGTACAAAACACATTCAAACATTTTAATAAACCAGAAATAATACAGCTTTGTCCATAAAGACAAAAAAACTTCTCTTAATAATACAGCTGTACATAGAGGACAATATAATGTAAGGAGCTTTGCATGAGAAAAGAATAGCTTCCATTTCCTGTACATGTTGCACAGACCTATTGGTGTTCTGACACTAGAGGTGTGGTTTACAGTTCTCTCACCCACAATACAATGATGACAGTGTTTTACTAAAGCAGAATAGCACATTTCTGACAGCTGGCATATACAGAACAAACAAAGGGTCCAACAAGGATCAGGTTTTATACAAGATACCAATTAGACTGCTGTGCATTTATAGTTGACCGTATTGGCCCGAATATGAAACAATATTTTTGTCTGGAAATGACATTTGATTATTCAACAAATATCAAAAAAATTCCCAAAATTGGAAGGAATACTTCATGTTTTATTTCTTTTGATCAGGGCCAACTAATATTTCAGGCCAACCTGGTATTTTTATGCCAAGGTCGGCATTACATAGATGCATCTATAGATGCATGTTGCCAATGCGATGATGATTGGCTGGGTGGGCGGATGCCCTGCTCACGCTGTCTCACTGCACGCTCTAACTACTACTATAAACACAAGACAGAGACAATGGCGACGAGCCAAGGAAATTCAAAGGTATCGTTTTCAAACTGGTAGTACCGACACTACTACTCGCTTACTGAAGTTAAAGGCAAGAATGTTTATGTAACGTGTGAATTTTGTTTTCCATATTTATTTTTTATATATTTTTATTTCTATGCATATGGCCAGCTGCAATCTATTGAGTTCAAATAAATACCAAATGTTCTAAAATACTGTAGTGTTTTTATTCTTCACTGAGTTATAAACATTTTTGACGTTATAGAAGATGTTATAGAATGTAATAGCGTTATAGAACATAAAAAATAACGTCAGTTACTTTGCTGAGTAACTAATTACTTTTACAATGTGGTAACTAAGTTACTAACTCAATTACTTAGTAATCTGTAACTATAACTCATTACTTTTTTAAAGTAAGATGCCCAACACTGCATGTTGATATTTATAATTTTTCAGTGTAGTCTTTGGAAGTTCTTCACAGCACATCTAGTGAACTGGCTCGAGGTAAACCAAGTACTGTACACCAGTGAGTAGAAGGAATCTGACCTTGTCCCAGTAGCAGGTCATGTCCTGTATCTCCACTGAGGCATCCATCTTTTCATCCTGAGTCAGTGTGGGGCTGCTTTTTGTGATTTCATCCAGCATCAGAAACTCCTTGACCATAAAAAAACAGAATAGAGTCACCATCAACTCCTAAAGGTTATATAAAAACAGTCATAGCAGTAAAATTACTATTCTCCCTGTGAGTGTTACATAATATGCGGATAAAGGTGTTTAAAGTACGTCTTTAGATGAACCTTTTGCTGAGGTGGCTGGGTAAATCATTAGGCGATGTTTCACAAGTGCCACTTTAGCAGGTTTAAAACTATATTTCAAGCTAACCATATCTTTTTAAGACAAAGAAAAGGAGGGTTATGAAGAGCAGGACCTTCAAGCCGACTCCATGTGAGAGCTTAGAGATTAGCAGTCTGAACTGTGATATCAGCAAAAGAACTGAATGCAGCCAACGCTGTAGCCTTTTATCTGCTTTTATACAGACCAGGCAAGACTAGAAACTGAAGACTAGTATATCATCAAAGTCGTCTAAGTGGAAAATAATGTTCGTAGATTATTTTTTAACCTTACAATAGGGAACCTCATGTGAGAGGAGGGACTGTGCAGAAAACCTCCAGACAAACAGTTAGGTGTGAATATTCATGTATGACGGCCCTTCTGCACAGAATCACAACCCAACCCATCATTTTGCAGAAGTGTGCCTTTCTGAAAGCTGCTTGGAGGAGCAATGATATACAATGAACATTCATTGAAGCTGTGCAAGGACTACCTCAAGTCAAGTAAGAGCAAGATCTGAGGACATCATTTTTCTCCCTCATTCGACTTTTAAAAAAGAGCAGCATGCTTTTTGACTGATACCGCTGCAAAATATGCTGATTTATAGATACCATTTGACTAAAAATGGGCATTTTCCATTCATCTTAAAGTAGAAAAAAAAATTCCTCTAATTAACCACAATAAAATACTAAAGCACCGTACCTGAATCCTGCGGATGCTGACGCGGCACTCGAACAGCTTCTCGATGGCATTGGGGAAGAAGAGTGTGACGGTGAGTCGCACCGCGGAGTACAGCGACACCGTCACAAACACACGGCTGGCGGAGATGGGATTTCCCAGAAGGACGTAGATGGTGAAGGTGATGAAGACGATGATCTTGCTGGCGCAGAAGAAGGAGGCCATGTTGAGACCTCGGAGGTAGGAGCTCTTCATGATCTTGGAGATCTCCTTGCTAAGACAACACAGAGAGATACAACAATCAGTTGACTGACTTCAACCTTCACTTTTAGGGCGCATCATACATGGATGGATGAAATGTCCTCACAACTATTCTTGATCCGGATCACACGAGATAGAGATTACAGTCGAGAGAAATTAAAAAAGGTATGAGGTCTTTGCCAGAGGAGAGGAGGTGTTTGAAACCTGACATGCAGGAGAGGACAGGAGGTTTGATAGGCCTTCCAGCAGGAAAACCAGACCAATTCACATAACCCTCAACTCATACAAATTAAAAACACATCAAATAAGACACTAAGTCTTAAGTCTATACTCCATGAGTATACAACTGTGGCACAGTATTGTTCAAGTGTCCACCAGATAGAAGATTTACAGGAAATCGTGTTTCTTCTATATCTATAAAAGGTAGCCGAAAACGTCAGATAATAGCTAAAAGTTTATTCAGACTATTTCACAGAAGGATAGTAATGGTCATTTGAATTATGTGAGAATAAAATCAAGAGGACTGTTGAAAATAAAGCCTTTGTGGTGAACAATCAGCCATGTTGTAGTAGTCAATAGTAGTCACCTTCTTTCGACACCGATTAGACAAGTGGCTGTTAATGACACGACAAAAATGATGCCCAGATGAGAGCACTGTGTGTGTCGGAGGGGTGTGGTTTCCACTCTAATTCAATCTGGCACACAAAACGGCACATTCCACATGCACTGCACTGTGCAGCAAGAAAACAAAATAACTCATGTCCCAACAGCACCTTAAACAATATTGGAGCTACAAAGACAACAACATATGAGCAACTCACGGCAACTAATGGCATTTCTGATGGCAAGAACAAACAAATACCACCGATTTAGCCACACATTCTATGGTTTCATTTGGAATTTCCTGTTCCTTTTAATTTAAGAATAGTGGGTGAAACTGTGTGGAGGCACAACAACAAGCCTCTAAATTACAGTGTTTGTGCACTGGTAGATAAAATAGAATATAAACTATGAATATAAAATGGTGATGTATGCTGTAAATAATGAAACTCTAGAGATCTCACATATTCTGCAGATACCAAACTAACAAAAGAACAGTATTTGATGAACTGAACTGCTTAGCGAGCCCGTACCTCCTTAAATCCTTACTTTGATCTATAAATGTCCGTACTGTGAACAGAAAATTGCTTTTTACCTTCTGACTTCAGACACCAGAGCAGCGAAGGGTTTCTCCCAGGCGTACATCTTAATGATCCTAATTCCAGACACAACCTCGTTCATTGTGCGGATCCTGCTGTCAGTCAGAACAGCCGTCTTACTCCTGGAAAAACGAGAAAAAAGAACATTCAAGCTTGCTTAAATACTCCAAAAATTAAGAAACAATTCTGACATCACATTTCTATATTCACTACACTACACCAAATTACAATTACAAACAGCAATTTAAAGCTAATTAAAATCAGGTTTCAATTATTAATTCAAATTAACTCCAGTACAGTATGTAACCAGGCAGGTCCACCCTGTAGTTAGGTTTGCTTTTGAGGTGCAATCATAAGCTAGGACTGAGCCAGATTTACAATTATATCACTTATATCCAACATTATCTGTACTCCTTGTCCAGTACCATCTGTACATGCAGAGCCGGGTTCACTAACCATCAACACAGGCTAAAATTCTAAAAATGGACAAATAAAATAGCTCCAGAAGACCTCTTTGACACTAAGAAAAAGGGTGATTGATGGCCTGTAATTTCTATCAAAGAACCCTCACTCCTCTTTTTGCCTGGGACATATGCCTCCCCCCTCCACTAGCCTTCTTATACCAAAGCTACCATGGCAATAAAGTGGGTGTTTAAAACTCGCATCTTGTCTTCTTCTTTAAACACCAAAACGCAGTCAGACAATCTGAGCATTTTCTGACGTCGAAGGTTGCAATTCCTCTTTTGAGGTACTCAAACGATGATTAAACAACTTATAAAACAAACATGTTTCAGTGACTCTACCACAGGTATGTAGTCATGTTTAAAATAGGTCAGCTGGAGACAGACTACAGCTGCACTAAGACACATACACTTGTTGCTGCACACAGTGAAGCACCTGAACAATAGATAAACTACTACATCTCCTCATTATCCTCTTTTCATCACACATCAGGAGCGTCCGGATGAATTAACCATTATTTTCATGGCTGTGACGACGACCGACCAAATCAACATGAATAAATTAAAAATGATCACTATATTCTTCTCAACTATACTGCCACACAGAGTTTTCGGGGAATAAAAACATCCCTTCAGTGCAGATGAAGGGCTGATCCAGAGAGAAAAAGATCAATTTACAAACTGGCTCACAGTGGACATTTTTCAACCAACTTACAATATTAATTAGTTATCTAGATACAGCGAATCAAATCTGCTAACAAAAGTCGTCATTACAGCCAGCAAATCAAACGACTAAACGCTGACCAGAAACGCTGTTTTTACTTGTGTGTACAAGTAAAGACCCATAGTTGAACATATTACTGTGAACTGAGTGGAAAATCTGCCTCTGTTACCACTATAACGTGCTTTTCTAAACTGGAAAGCAGGTGTGGCGACATTACTTAAGGGGGACGGAGCTTGGTCAACTGCAAAGGTCACAGCTTGACTTGAATATCTGGACATTAAGAGTGTGTGTGTTACCTGAACTTAGAAAAGAGCCTTCCAAACATGGTTTGCACCGGCATCAGGAACATGAGGACCACCATGCCGGCCAAACATGACGGACCGATCTCCAACCACAGCAGCCCCACGACCGCCGCTGCCTGGAGGGGCCCCACCCACAGGAAGTGCAGGAATATGGTCACCTGTTCAAGAGAAATTAACATGGGTGATTTGTTGCATCATGAGGGAAAAAAGCAAAAGCAGGACCAATTCCTGGCAAATCTGAGTCACGGTGAACCCTGAGATCAGAGGTTGTTGTTAAGAAGAATGTGTACTCATCTCCAAACATTCAGAGCTGGGCTGAGAGAGCTTTTACAGAAAAGGGTAGAGTCACTCAACAGTTCCTGACAAAAGACTTAAATCCAAACCAGCATGAGAGCCTGACATAATCTAATTAACAGCCCACTGCCAAGAAACAAAATGCCCTGAAGAAACCGTGGAGTTTCCACAGCGGGCTCTGACCTACTGATTAAAATGAAACACAACACTCAAACAAGTTCAGAGCACAATAAAGCCTGAACCTTACACTAGGACAGATTTTTACCTTGTTTTTCAGAGTGAACACAGTCAGAACAGCACTGTAACCACTCACATAATATAAAAAATATGTCACACCCTGAGCAAAATCTTCAAGTTATAATCATGCCTTCATAAGTGGTTCCATTCCCTGAGTTTACACCAGACTACACTGGCTTATTTCACTTAAAATAACATGATCCAGTTCATATTCTACGTAGTTTCTGATCCAGCTGGTAATATATTGGGAAATGGTTCATCTTGGGCCACAGTGACTTAAACTGAAACTGACTAAAACTGGAAAAAACTGTAAAAACAAACAAGATCATAGTGACTAATATTCAGGGTTTTTTTTTTGCCAAGATAGTGAAATATCCAGAACTTATGAAATTCATTAAGACATAAGTTACTTCAGCTGCCATTCAATTCTACATTAGTAACTATTAGGCTTACTTTCATAAAATATCACAATCTTTTATAAGTTCCAAGACTGATTTATGTTAATGTAATAGATCTCAAAAAGAACACGCTGCTTCCTTTTACTTAACATTTCTGTAATTGCATTTAAGGCATACAGTAGATGTTTTGTATCGTCTTGACCTTGCAGCAAAAATAGCAGCTTGTTTTCAAAAAGCCTTAAATTTCACGTACATCATCGAACTTGTTGACGTCATTGGAAAGGAGGTTGACAATCTGGCCTGTGGTGGTCTTTCCCATGGCTGAACTGCTGAGACACAGCGCCTAGAAAAAGACAGGAATCAACATTTATATTTCAAATATCACAAACACAGTTCGACCCGATCACATACTGCACAGATCTGCAAAATATCACATTTAATGTAGGTGGGTGATGATGAAACAGTGCTTTTTTGTTGTTCAGGAGTGACTTTTCAGTACTCTCATCCTACTGACCTTCTTGTAGATCATGTGACACATGGCCACTCTGATCTTCATGCCTGCTCTCTGGACGTGGTAGAAGTAGAGGTGATGGAGCAGGGCCAGGCCGATGGTGCATAGCGACAATCCAGCTGCGTAGCCGAGACTCTGGTGCAGAGCTTTCATGTTGTTTGGGTCGTAATTCTCAAAGTACCGAATCATCTGCCCCAAGACGACCGGCTGGATGACTTTAATGACCTCCTGATATGCACAGAGGGAGATAAAGACGGGTGAGCATCACCGCACACTAATTGTGACAGCGGACGGTTATTAACAATTAAACCACGGCATGTTCTGATCAAAATCTGTTCAACAGTGCAGTGCTTCAGCTGCTGACAACCAATATATTTACAGCTGAACATATGAACATGTAGTGGCCTGTTTTTTAATCCTTGTAAAACTTCTTATGCACCATATTCAGCTCATTTCTTACCTCAATGAGGGTAAAGAATCCCAGCACAGCGTACGATTTCCAGTAGCACTTTATGATGGCTTTTGAGAGTCTGGGTTTCCGCAGCTCTGTGGTAGCCATCTGGACCTCATGATCCCAGTAGCTGTCACACAAGAGATGCCATGTTATCTGATGCATTTTCTTTTGTTTGTGTAACAAGAAGCGGAGCCTCGCATCCAGATGAGTCAGGACTCGTCTGCGAGGCGCTGATTGCATAATTGCGTTATCAAAAAGAGGGTTCCCTTTCTCCTGATGGCAAAGCTTGCAATAAGACAGGTAGAGTGGTATTAGTCAGGCAATCTGTGGTCTAAAGGCAAGTTGGAACCCGTGGTAGCTACAGAGGTAGCAATGAGAGTCCTCTCTAAATGGGATGTAAAATTTAATGAGTTTCTGTAACAAAGCTGACATTTTTCATGACCTAAAAAAATCCTATCCCTCTTTCTGTAACACTGAAGATATAAAAAGCTGTATGGTGTCAATTCATTCAGTTCATTAAATAGGTTTATAGCTGTGAAACTCTTTTCGTGAAACTCAAGCGCACCGGTGTCATCATTAAAGAGCCAAATCCAGCACTTTACATGACTTTCTTCCTTTTTGTGTGTGTATAAATCTTAATAAAAACACAAACAAAAAGATAAGGCTGGAATTGTTTTCTATTGTTGTGAATAAATCCCACAATAAGAGTTAAACTGACCATGTGACATCTCAGCACTTTGACTTCCCTACTTTGTCTGTGGCTCTCAGTTCCTACTGAGACCTTATATACAGTAATGTATACATACACACTTTCATTTTAAGAAAGTCTCAGTATTTGTTAAACAGCTTAGCACCCGGTAGCTCACCTGGTTGCGCACACATCCCATGTACTAAAGTCCTTAGTGCAGCAGCCCAGGTTTGCTTTTCCTTTTCCTTTTCCTTTATAGCACCAACACTGTGCACAAACACCAACTAACAAATAAGGACTCATGACTAACAGAGCTGGGGCGCTTTAAGGACAGGGTTTTATGCTCCTTTGGCCACTGTTACATTCAAATTTCACTGTCAATTAAATGGCTGACAAACTGTGGTTACATTAATACTGTAAAACCTTGTAAGAATACAGACCATGAAACAATCCCAGTAATCAATAGATGTGCATAAACTTCAAGGGCTGACTTCTATGAATTCCACATTGCTACACTAAATAAAAGAGCCTACTTTTCCCTAGATTTGCAGGATACAACTGGAGCATCTTCTGCAGATTTGGAGTTTGTGGGTTTCTGTCTGGAAGAGGAGTGAACAGCTAGTTACGGACCAGTTGTCCATCACTGTTAAAGTTAAACATCACAACTGGTATGAACTGTGTACAGAAGCCTCCTGATAATGCTGGAAATGTTTGACTCGAGTTGACAAGGGTCATAATTGCAACATCTACATTTGAAGGGTTTTCTTTTTTAAAAAGGAATTGTTCTTTATATAGTCCTTATATTAGGGGATTGAGACCCTTACTAGGGTTGCATGGCTTTAAAGCACACACAACATTATGTTTACTTATTCAGACTTAACTCTAATGTTTGTCTGTTTCTCTTGTTTGTTTTTAAAGGGCCTGTAGAGATCCAATTAATCAACAATTTACAAGCGTTGGTGGGGGACTTCCACACTTTGTAGAACTGGTCACAGCTGGTGGACACATGCAATCTGTGACGAATGGTTGCAAGAAAACATTGCTTCCTTTACAGGTCACTGGTCTATACCACCTATTATATTTCTAGTGTAAACGGTATAAATCAACAACATACAATGCCTCCAAATGCTAGTCAAAAACACATTTAAAGTACCGTATTGGCCCAAACATTTGGTTTTATTTTTATCTGGAAATTGTATTTGATAATGGGAAATAGAAGGGCGCTGCATGTTGTTTCAAGACTTACGCGACAAAACACTGAAACGACTTTTACAGTTTTTGGAGACAGGATTTTAAGGGAGGGCTGGGTTTTTCCACACAGGGCTCAAGGCGGCCTCAACGTTTGTTTATGTTGCGTCTTTTACAATAATAACAAAAAAAAAAGGTTGACTTAGTCCAGTTTAAAGCTTCCCTATGGAGTTATTTGGAGAGCGCTTCCACTGATCTACAGGTGGTAACGCACAATGAAATGCAGCAACGAGCCGGAGAAGTTAGAGAATAGACGAGGCTAAAAAAAAAAAAAAAGGTCCAGTGTAGGATTTAGTGGCATCGAGCGGTGTAGTTACACTCTTCACCTTCCCTTTCAGAGCGCAAGACAGAAACTACGGTGGCCGTAAAACGCGCAAAACAACCGACCCAATCTACAGCCAGTGTTTGATTGCCCGCGGTGTCTGGAGATAAAAAGGTCTCATTCTAAAAAGATAACAAAACGATAGATTCATTTATTTAGTTAATTATTTACTAATGCAAACAATAACATTTCTGACAATAGATCCTCCTAAATGTTACAAACTTGACCTTTAAGTCTACTGAAGTATTAAATTTCCACATTTATGAGAAAAAAGGTACTTTAGCTTGAACTAATAGGTTTTTGGTGGTGTTGGAAAAGACCGCTGGTCTTATATTCATCTCATATTACAAGTCACAGACAACATAGTGAAGCACCTCGTGACCAAATGATTACAGGTATCTTCAGTTCTGTTTTAATTCATCAACACTGATACCTTCAGATCGACGGCGTGCGCATAATAAACCCTCGCTCTGCAATCAATGTGGTGGTCAATTCAGTTTTAAGTAATGGAAAGTGGCCGTTCTCCCAACAAACTGGTTGTGCTTGGAATTGAAAGGAGCTCATCATCAAGGATTTTGTGGTAACTTGGTGTTTACTGACAGCTGTTCAAGAGACTGAGAATAAAACATCTTTTATCTCCTCATACGCACAAGATGGCTGCTCTCCTCTGACGCCGGTTTTGATATCTACTCACTGATAATACAAGATATACGTTCAGACAGATCTGTTGGGTCAAAATTGTTTTTAAATTACACGTACTTATCTCTTCCTTGTCTGATAATATCATACATGTAGATAACAAAAACTATAACTTAGATATCTCAAAGAATTAAAAGATTTGTTCTGACTGTGAGCAGGTGAAACTTACCTTAATTTAAGACTTTTAAACCTGTTTATATATCCTGATTTGAGGTTTCATAAAACATAATGACCGAGTGAAAATGTAATTGGACTACTTGTGATCATTCACAGGCTGACAGGTGACACTAAAAAGGCCTCTCTACCTGTGCAGCTCCTGTCCCACTGTCTCCGACCCATCCTCCGGGAGCACTTCATACATGTCATCTTCCTCCAGCCTGCGTTTGTATCCAGTGCTAAACAACGGGTTGAGCCACCTGATGGGAGAAATAATAAGAGTTAGTTCACGGTTTTATTCAGGTGGTCATCAATACCACATGTTGTCAGAGTCATGAACACTTATCAGATGAATTAATGTGAGCACATGGGTCTGTCAATGTGTGCATACGGCTGCACACAGCAGGAACAATGTGCATTATCTATGTATCTGATAGAGAGCTACCACACGTATCCAGCCTTTCCATGAGTAACCAGGACTAATGATTCAACAGGAAACTACCATTGCATAAACTACACACATGACCCCACTGGGAAGTTTTCTGACCCGACTATCAAAGCCTCCTCTCAACCTACAAACAACTTTAAATAACCTCAAGTCACATTTTATCGACCGCTCTCGTCTGGTTTCCTGTACAACATTTCCCTCCAGGTAGTTTGGTGTCAACACCGTAAACGAAACTATAACAAACGACGGCGTCTCGGTGTTTGAATCCCCCGCTAACAGCGAGGTTAGCTTACCAGCTCATCCGGTAGAGAGAGAGAGGGGGGGGGAGAATAAAAAGTCTCCCCGACTTACCAGAAGAAAATCTTGGACAAAAGGCTCGCCGTCGCCGCCGGGTTGGTTTTGGAAGCTTTGCTGACTTCTTCCATGGTTCGCCCTCCACTCACACGGTACTTCTCCCCTTCAAACTTTCTCCCCTATTACGAGCTGCTGCTCCGGGCTGAGTGGCGTGACGGCGGGGGGAATACACATGTTAAGTTACATGGAGGTCGGCACCCTCTTCCCCCAAACAACACCCCCCCCTCCACCTTACAAGGTGTGTTACGTGTTCCTTAAAGTGCACCAGCAGCCGGCTGCATAGAGGAGATCAAAAAATAAAAAGAAAACCCCATCTCGAGTGGTCCCGCCCCGGAGGACGCTGATTGGCTGAAATTAGCGTTCTCCCTCAGGCTATTGGCTGTCGCTTGCGTTCTGCGTCCATGTGATTGGTTTAGAGTATTACCAAACGTTCCGTTTGAACTAATTGAGTCTATTAGGACAAATGAAAGCAAGGCTTCAGCTTGATTTCACTGTCATTTGTGAAGGAAAATATTATTTTAAGTTTTGTTTTAAGTCTGTTTTTTATGTCACTAAATCTCGTTCCCCAAGTGAGGGGTAAAAATGTGTTTATAGGGGTTTAAAAACACTGGAAATGAACAGTTGCATAATCTGACACAACTTTCAATATGACTGTATACTATTTGTGTTGACAGCTTTATTTTTATTATATATTTTTATTTATCCTTTATTTACTTGTTTGTATATTTACTTAAAACTCTGTTAAAATTTAAATAGTTTTTTATTAGTTGTATCATTGTGTGGTTTAATGGATTTAATTAATAAAATTAGGTCATTATTATGTGTAACTACTGTTAAAGAGGTGTTCAATATGAAAAGCTGGACTGTAAATCTGAGTGTAAGTCACCATTGGCATTCAAAAATACACAGTCAGGGGAAAATATCACAGTTTAAATTAACTTAAGTAATTTAAACAGATCTAAACTTTTTATTTTTTGTGTGACCTGCTGCAAACTAGTCAGAAATACTCAACAAAATCCAGTCACACACACACACACACACACACACACACACAGACGCTCTAGACTTGTACAGACATGCATACTCACTTCCTGTCGTCATCTCATGATAACAAACTAATAGGTGTCACTTCCAATAAGGTGTATTGTGCCAATACTAACACGTGTGACTTTATCAGGGAGAGTGAGGCAAAGTAAAGTGTAACTAGCCTCAAGTATAAAACGTCTCTTCAAGTTAATTTGTGTTTGCTTACTCTTTTTCGCTGTCTCTCTGATCCCTTGAACAAACACACAGAGACACGTGACGCACACACGCACACGCACACACACACACACACAAACACACACACACACACACACACACACACACACACACACACACACACACACAGGATTTCCTATAAATAAAGAGCAGGCTATAGATGACAGATGCCCTCTGACACACTGCAGGTGTTTCCTGACTGAAATAAAAGACCTGAGAGAGTAGAGAGACTACAATATCTCCCTCCTTTCCTAAACTACAAACCCTCCCTTCACCCTCCTTCTCCCATTTCAACATTCAAGGAAACTTTTCAAGAAATCCAGTAACATGTAACCGAGGTAAACTGTTATCCTGACACTGACAATACAAAGATAACACACCGGACTGACTCTGGCCTTCACACCTCGCACGTTATCCTCCAGTTGATGTTTAGCTAGCACCGACTGGGAAAAGGGCTGGAGGAGAAAAGCCAGCAGGAGATTATTACAAGCAGCTGAACTCCAGCCCGACAACATTCATCTGCAGAGGATCAACAATCCTTTCCCATGCTACTCCAGCCGTGTGATAGGCCTAGTTTTTCCTCTCATATTGCCAGCCCAGGTTATTTTCTCCCCTCAGTGAGCACACAGGAATAAGTCCTCGCCTTCTTTTTATTTTAATTACAGATTACAAGATTTATACAGCACGACTTATTGATTCGGTTCAGATAAATTAGGCAAAAGTTGTCAATCAAATCGGATTGTCTTTAGTGGGAAGGGAAATATTAAAAGATACAACATAACATGGCAGATTTTACTTTAACAAACAGCATGAAAATGATAAAAAACAGAGATTACAGGAGACAGGAGTCCAACATTGATCACTTTCATCCTGCTACACTGAGACTGAGATCAACATTTGCACTAAAAGTCAGTTATCAGGACAGAAATCTGTTTATGTCTTGCATGAACAATGAATAAAGGTTCAGATCATCATATGTATGGTCTGAATGGGATGTCATCAACAGGTTAACACAGATAACAACCTGTTCCAGCTCATTCACTTTCATTAGCAGGTTTACAGGATTAGGGTCCCCACTGAGATTACTCAGCAACAGCAGCCATGGAAACGCGCTTCAACTATCTAGAGATTAAGGTAACAATGCTCTCAGCGCCCTTCCTCTTCATCTGGTGACAGTAAAACACCTGGTTTAGTGTTGCTGGAATACTAACTACGAAAGCACTTTACCTGTGTCCATTTAATGACCCCAAGAACTGCCCCCGAGTCAGTGGGGGCAGCTGCAGCACAATGTTTTTATGTTTTGGGTAATTATTTGCCTCTACCAGGGATTAGATCTAATCCTTGTAGAAACTCTCTGCAATAAAAGAGGGTGACCCAAAACACTGCATACAGATTTTCAGAACAAGATTAAGAATTTGATCAATTAGTACCAGACCTGGTCTGCTCAGAGTATTTGGAGGTTCTTGTACTTTATTAGTATCTTCATTTAATGTTACTTCACTACATTATATGTGAAATATTGTACATTTATTTAAGTTACTTTCAGATTAAGATGATTATAAATCCGATTATGTTACAAAAAAAGCTTTTAAATAGTTATTATGGTTTAAAACAACCTACAGTTTAAGCTCATTTCAGATGCTTCATGTAAATTCAGCTCAGACTCGACCAACTTCATCAACATACTGCTTACTCGTGAATGCATCATTGAGAATGACCCTGTAATGCATGAGCTTATCTCACAGGGTTGAAGGGGTACACCTGCCTACAAAGGTTGGAAATTAAATTATAATTTAAGGTTACTTGTCCAATATTCAGTTAGTTTAACTAGAAAGAGAGAAATGAGGAAATGTCCTGTGAGAGAGCTTGAAACAGTCTCTCCTTTCTGCCAGTTGATGGCGCTATAATGCTGTAAAACTGTCAGTATGGTGCTGCTGCTATAATGAGGACTTCAAGTACTGGACTGCTATGTTCAGGTGCAGCATTGTGATAAGGTGCAGAGAATACAAACCTAAAAAATAAACTAAAATAAAATACAAAAAACCCCCCACATTATTCATTCATTCATTCATTCATTCAATCATTCAATCCACCTCTCTTATCTCTGTTCCTCATCTTGTGCTCCTTCTCTGTCAGAGACTTTTCAGATCCTTTCAATTAAAGACTTCCTCCTCCTGCAGATCCCCTTGCAGACCCCATGCACACCGTGTGGAGTGATGACTAGTGTGTGCTCCCCCCCCGAAGCACCACACACAAACACAATATACAACAACTGATTGTGCGTCAGTGAATGATACAAGTATTGGCTCCCAGGCGTAGATGCTTGGCTGAGCAGGCGAAAGGAGAAACAAAATTCTGCTGACGCACCTGTCCTGGACCGACCCTCCCACCCACTCTCTGTCACTCCTGAGGGAAAGATCTCCGTCCTGTCCCAGTCCGGACCTCCAAGCCACAGGAAAAATGGGCAACATGGCAACAGAGATCGTTGCCTTTCTCCTGACCATCTCGGGCTGGATCCTGGTGTCGTCCACACTACCTACGGACTACTGGAAGGTGTCCTCTGTGGACGGGACGGTCATCACCACGGCTACCTTCTGGTCCAACCTATGGAAAACGTGTGTGACTGACTCCACCGGTGTGTCCAACTGCAAGGACTTTCCTTCAATGCTGGCTCTGGATGGTGAGTTCTGAGATGACTATTACTGTGGCGGTGTATGATGTTGTCTTTCTGGGGTCAGAGAGCAGAGACAGAAATATGTTTGTACGCATTTCAGAGGATGTGTGTGCATCTGTGACTGTCCCTCTGAACCGAAGCGCTGATGCCCAAAAACACCTGTTTGTTTTTGGATGAATGACCACCATTGTAAACAAATGCAACTGGAACTTGATATTTCCTTTTCTGACTCTGCCTTCAGGCCACAAACAACCATAACACTTAAAGTTAAAGGCCACCAGAGGCATATTTCAGTGAATGAGCTGAGCTGGACTGATACAACCTACTAATGTGTCCGAATGAAGCAATCTGAGAAAGTCATAGAGTCATACAGGGGTCACTTGTCACTTCCCATTACTTGCTAGTAACAATAAGGAAAGGCGTTGCTTGTCGATTTCTCTAATTCTAATATCTTGAGGCAATCTGAGACATTTCCACAGTTTCAGAGACACCACTTCTCATATGTTGTCACAAATGTGTCATATAGGTGTTGGCCGCTGTCCTTTTCCTCCAAGCCTGTGATTTATTACAGCAGCTCCTAAAAGGCTGTTTTTGATCATTTTAAAGGTCGAGTGTGTAACATTTAGAAGGAGCAGAAAGGGAATATAATACTCATAGGTATGTTTTTATTAGCGTGCATTCACCTGAAAATAAGAATTGTTGTTCTTTCGTTACCTAAGAATGAGACATTTTTATCTACAGAGGGAGCGGGTCCTCTTCTACGAAGTCCGCCATGTTGAACCTCCATGTTTCTAGCCCAGAACGGAATAACCAAACACTGGTTAAAGATGGGACCTTTTCACTTCACTGTAGTTTCTCCTTCCTGCTTGGTAGAGTCAAGCTGGTTGCAATCTAACCACTAGATGCCACTAAATCTTACACACTGGTTATTTAAAGCTTTTTTATTGTAAAATATGAGATTATTTCCCCTCTTCTGGCATCTAAAAATAAATAAAGTGAAAGTGAAATAACTTTTTTAACTAATAATTTTAAACAATAGCAATAACTTGGGCCAGTTTAGGGGAGAAACATGGTTTGAACACACCATTGATATATTATCAGCTTTTAAGCTCTGGTTTGGTCTCTACCAACTCCTGAGAAAAATATCTGGTTCTTTAGCTGCTAAATGCTACGCTATGTTCACCCGCTAGATGCTTATTTGTCTGTTTTCCATTGGTCCTGGGTACTTTGAGTGCAGTGGGTTTATTAGAGCTTTTTTGCTGTAAAGAGACTGTTAGCTTAGCTTTTCGTTTTTTGGGAGGATTAAATAAACAAGACATAATCGTGAGCTTTGTTACCTTTGGGCAGAGCTAGGCAAGCTATTTCCCCCCATTTGTAGTCCTTATGCTAAGCTAAGTGCACAGAAACAATCTACTAATCTACCTCTTAACAAGTGAACCATTCCTTTAAGATAAGTAAAATACTTTACACTTTCACCTCTTCTACATTTTTTTTAAATGAACTTATTTTGGGGAGTCCCACACCAGAAAGGATGGAAACCACTAGTTTAAATCACTCTCTCTTCTTTTCTGCCTCCGTCTTGAAGCCTACATCCAGGTGTGTCGGGGTCTGATGATTGCCGCCGTATGTCTGGGTTTCTTTGGTGCCGTCCTCGCCTTGATAGGAATGAAATGCACAAAAATAGGAGGTTCGGAGACGACCAAGGCTCGCCTGACCGTCCTCTCGGGCTTCCACTTCATTCTCAGCGGTAAAACCTACGCTGCTTACCTTCCTCTCTGTCTGGATTTATGGGGGATGTAATATTTGACTTGCGGTTTAGGAAGTTATTCCACTTTCAAATGAATTTCTCTTTAAGTGAATTACATTTTCAGCTCTTGCTGCTTTGATTTCAGTCAGAATTTGAAGTAGAAATTCTCTTTGTTTCTCTCCGAAGGCCTTTGCTCCATGATCGCATGCTCCATATATGCTCGCAGGATCACAACAGACTTCTTTGACCCCCTCTTTGTTGCCCAGAAGTAAGTATTCAGGATTAAAAGACAGATTTGTCTGACAGAAGATCAAAACCACACTCAGATGAAAGGAATTCCAGTCCTAAATTTCTTTTTTCATCCACTTCAATGTGTCAGGTTCGAACTGGGAGCAGCTCTCTTCATTGGCTGGGCTGGATCTGTGCTGTGCATCCTCGGAGGACTTATCTTCTGTCTCTCCCTGTCTGAAGGCTTCAGTATCAGGCAAGTGGCTTTGTTTTTTCCGACATGCCTGATGCTTACAATGTGATCCCACATCTGTCATCAGCAACACGGGCTTAGATGAAATCTGATTTGGACAGACTCTAAACTGTGCTGAGTTGCTTTAACTCAAACAGGCAATTTAAATAATTACTTTAACTGCAATGGAGAGACGTTACAGTTGAAAACATCCAGTAATCTCTCTCAACATCTTGTCTCATAATTGCTGAACCTACAAGGCAAATTGTACGATCGTCATTTTGATTAGTTATGCGGCCGTTGACGGCTGAATGTTTCCTTTGTTAAAGTCGAGTAATAGGGACCTTTTGGAAGTGAAAGTCACCTTGACTGAGGGCACCTTTAGGGAAGTGTTGCATCAGGCGAAGAACATAGCATATCCTTATATTGTGGATGAAGCGAGAAAGCTGAGAAGTATGGAAGATAAAGATACAAACTCAGCAGGAATGCCTTTGCTTTCCCCAGATTTGATGGCTTACCACTTTGTCATGGCAGCCATCCTTTATTTTTAGATTGTTAGAGGTCAGAGGAGGTGAAATAATCTAGTTTTTCACAAGGAAAAAGCTTTCAAGGACCAGTGTGTAGGATTTAGTGGCATCTAGTGGTGAGATTGTAGAATGCAACAAACTAGAACCCCTTGAAGTGCAAAGGAGAAACTACGATGGTCATGAAACGCTTAAAAAACGTGAACTAGAGCCAGTGTTTGGTTTGTCTGTTCTGGGTTACTGTAGAAACTCAGCTGAACACAGCTGCCTCCCGTAGATAAACACAGGTCATTGTAAGGTAACAAAAACACCAAGATTCTTATTTTCAGGAGAAAGTTCACTGATGAACACATACCTATGAATATTTTATTTAATTTCTGCCATTAGAGAGGCATGTGCTGATTACCAAATGTTAGCATTCTGACAAAAAAACAAACATTGGTAAAGATCATACCTTCTAAACATCAGCATATTAGTTATTAGTATTTAGTTGTGGCTAAGTACCGTGTTAACATGGCTGCAAACTCTTGTTATACTGTCTAGAAAGCTAAGAGGAATGGAGATGAGGAAAGATATGAATAAAAATTAAGCACGTTTTGGTGCCAGAAATTCTTAAATCTGTGCTCATTTTCAAGTTACTTTGAGAGAAATGATGTTAGCCTTTTTTTTCTGCAGGTTTTATTCATTATCTACAGACAACCTGAATTCTTGTTAAGTCATATGTCAAAGGGTGCTTGACTGAAATAGGGATCAAAACATACAGTTTTGTTTTTAATTCAGGGCTTTTTTAAATTCTTGCAGAGCTGAATACTCCTATAGTGGAGCGGCATCGTTTGTGACAGCACGCAACAAGCACAGCAAGACAGTCAACAGCCTCCACAAGGAACCACGAGAGCCATCGAGACAGTTCGGAAGAAATGCCTACGTGTGAAAGCGGACTCTATCTTGTTGTCACGTGACTTGATTGTGGATCATAATAGTTTGTGGTCATCAGAAACTATTTCACCAGTAGAAACCAAGGACAGCATTCACTTGGCTCAAGTGTGCTTAATGTGACAGTTTACATATTTTATTGATTTTAAGCAGTCGGATTCCTCTTTAAATTTGGCTGCTTTTTGGGACTTTTCTGTCAATGGTCCGTACGTAAAAGATACGCTTGTTTTTCTTTTAGGGCAGGAAATTTGATTTGGCACAAAACACTGTTCAAACTCTCCGGTCACCTTCAACAAGCTGGCCCCTCCTGCCTGTCTCACATAGACTGGTCACATTAAATCTCTTTTATAATTCCAGAGTCAAAGGCCAATTGGACATCAGTATTTAAAGCAGTCTGTTATAGATTTTAAAGCTTTTTTTTTAGCATTTTGTCCCCATAAAAACTAGAGGATGTCACACAGATTATGTTCTCTGAATAATATGGTGTTGTAAATTAATTAAACATGATTTTTTTGTATTTTTCCACTAAAATTGATCATTTTAAGCAGGTTTTCATAGGATTACAATGTATTTTTTAATTACAATATATAAAAAATACAGGTTGAGTACTTAAAAACCTGAGTAGCTATGATGTAACTCCAGTTAATTTTCTCACGTTGCATCAGTTAATATTTCTCAAACAGAAATGGATCATACGATCTTTCTCTTTTTCTTGGTCTACATCGATCTGACCTCCGAGGGTCACTAGGTCACATCTGACCCCACGAGATGTCTATGCCGAGCTGGAGGCCCGACCGGAGGTTTTCCCTCCTATCAGCCATCCATCTCCACCTAGGAATTATTATCAATAGGAACCCCAGGCTATGTTACGCAAAACCTCTTGGCCCAGAGGTTGGATACTTAAACCAGCTGGCAGAGAGCGGTTGCCCTGTGCCTTCCGGCGGCTTGCATCCGTAAACAAGTGTCAGGTGTCCTGGTATAATGGTGGTATTGTCTGATGTCTACGTTACATATAGGGATGTTAAAACCGCAAACGTAAAGCATCAAACTCCTTGTAGCTTCTTAAATGATTTTCTGTTGACAGAAAAGGTTGTTGTTATTGGGCTATAAAGCATATACAATTAGAAATCCTTCAAGCATCATTTGACAATACATTTCTTCAAAGTGTTTTAAATATCATCTGTTCATTTCTAAATTGTCTCTGGTATGTCTTCTGTGTATTCTGAGGTTCTTAAACATCCTACCTGTAAAATAAAATGATATAAACTGTGCAGTGCCTTTAAGCGTTCCTCTTAAAGTGGCTCCTATCCGAGGGGTTGTGGACCCCCATGAGGGCTCACAACATGAATCTAAGTATTACAGATTCTATTACACCAAATTATTATTATTATTCAATACTTTCTTTCTTGTGAAATACTGTATAGTTTGTGTGGTAGAGCCTAGGTTGCAGTGAGTTAAAAGCTAATATTAAAAGCATGTAGATGTTTAGCAGGTATAATATTTAAACTGTTTATCAGCTTAGTTCAGGGTGTTAGGATGGCAACATCGGCCAATTAACACTAAACACAAAGTCACAAACCAAACAAATGAAAAGTTTGACCTGATGATGAAGCTAAAGGAAAAGTAAGGGGACATTTTGTGAAGAAAAACGTTTGGGAACCACTCACCTATTCATTGACCTCTGATGGGGTCATTGCAGCAGCTGAGTCCCTCCATCCATTACTGCAATCACACCAGCAGAGAGCAGTATTAATGCACATTTAATGGTTGATAGATCAGAGGAAACTTCACAATATACTATACTACTGCATTCTACTTTAATACAGATGTTAATCGTGTCCTTAAGAGACCACATGATCAAAATATAACAACAACTTTGGTGTGGTATTTGTGTGTTTTCTTGGTTGTTGTTGCAGCTTCTTTTAAAGCGTGCTCAGCTCACATTCCTTTGTTCATTTTAGTTCTTTTTTTTTGTGCCATGCTAATTAAAGCTAATTAAATCCAGCCTCAGCAAGCAAATTAAGGCTAATCCAGCGGTCCACCATTTCCAATATCTCCCTACCACTACCAATAACTTTGTCATAAGCCGAGAGGACGCAGAAACAAAGAGGAGCTCTTTCATACCCGCCGAACATTCATCACTCCCCCTAACTCTCATTACCTCAGATTTAACTCTAATAATTACAGCACAAAAGACGCTGTGCTGTAATTATTAGACCCACAGCGCAGCGAGGTCTTGGTAAAATTACTAATAACCAGCAGCTTAAAGCCTGAGGCAGAGTCGGGGATGATGCTCAGGTCATAGCTGGGTTTTATTACAGATTTAATAGAACATATAAAAGGTCATTAATGCAATGTACTCTGGTTTTGTATGTCACAAGGAGTTTTATTCACCCTGTGAAAACTGTGGTTTAATATGTATATGCTATACATGCTTTTTAAAGGCTTTTAAAAAAATTAAAACCTCTAATTCTGCCTGTGTTCACTGTTCAATTATGTCCCGTTATATGCTTAAATATTTTAATATAAAATCCCTCTCTTCTCTTTCTGTAGAAAATTATATACATTTTTTGATGATTTATCTTGAACTTGTGTACACGTACTGTAAATGAGAGAGCAGTATACACAGAAGTATTAGGCAGCCATGGTGTCAGCAAAGGTCCATGTACATATTAATTTGTGAGTATATTCAAGCCTTTAATCTGAGTGCATTATAAAGCTGCTGGAATACCTCATTAATTTGGCTTTCACTCATATTCCTTTTTTCCACCTAGAGTACCAGTGATTGCAGGGTAATTTAACAACACTGTTTGAAGAAAGCTAAATCATTTACTATGTATTATGATTCATGGAGAGATGTAAACTGTGTCTGCACATGAGGGAATGTTCAGAACAGTCAGATGGGGGCAAGAAGTGGTAATTCGAGATAAATGCTGAGGTGAGCACTCTCGGTCCAGATTCAACAGTGGCCCATGGGAACCTGAGCGACTGTTGTCTCTCACCCAGATGTACAATAATACCAAGACAGCACATCCCTGATTTGTACCTGTGGTGCACTCGTCCTCTCCTTTTTCTGAGAAGAGCAACTGCGTATGAAGACACTTGGACATCTGTTTTGGATGAAAAGTCGACGTTCAGCTCAGGATGTAGACGTCTTCTGAGTACAGGACTGTAATTTGAAGACAGAACAGAAAGGAAAAGAATTAAAACTGTACTGTGGATGTTCAACAGAAGCTAAACAGGAGTTAAACTTACAGTAGAGATGAAGATTCGTGTGGTCCAGATCTGGGGTTTCCTGATGACAGTTTTGGGCTGGATCTTCGTGGCCTGCACCATGGCCATGGAGGGCTGGAAGATCACCTCAATCGGGGGCATGGGGGGCTCCTCCATCATCAAGGTGGCCTGGTACTGGTCCAGCCTGTGGAGATCCTGTTTTACAGACTCAACTGCCGTCAGCAACTGCTACGACTTCCCCGTGCTCTGGTCTGTGGAGGGTAGGTGACACATCATCCACCCCATATAACGAACCCAGGGTCTCAGCTATTCAGTCATGAGCTCACGCTGACATCTACACTCTATTTGTGTCTCTCTGTGTGACTCCAGGCTACATCCAGATAGTGCGAGGCCTGCTGATGGCAGGTCTTTCCCTGGGCATGCTGGGGTTTGTGCTCAGCCTGCTGGGGATGGAGTGCACCTTCATTGGGGGAAAAGACAGGTCGAAGTACAAGAAGATCTACGCTGGCGGGTGGTGCCACATAACCAGCGGTAATGTCTAGTTTTTAAGTAGGAGGACAGTCAGATGTATGTAAAGAAGAGAATACGTGCTTAGAAAATTGTGTGAAAATTGTAGCCCCATGATTAAGCTACTATTTTATTATTTCTTTTAGTTTCCATTCATTCATACTTTTATGACTTAAGGTCATCCAATCAGGCCTCTGAACAAAGCTGAAATAACTAATTATCTGCACATTCTGGTGGATGTCTGTGTGTCTGTGTGCCTACATGCAGTAAATGTTTAGTTTGTTCTTGGAATTCAACATTCAGCATGGCTCGAGGGATGACAAAGACTTGGTCCATCAGATTTAGGACTGAACTTTCATTCCACTACTTTATGACCAAAAACTAACATCATTACTCTCAACCTCAATATTTTGTATTTAGTGCTAATCAGTCATCAGTTGTTTTTCCTTGTCTCTCAACATTTCCCTTCAGGTTTTCTGACCATATGTGGGTATGCTGTTTATGCACAATACGTCTCCGTAGATTACTTCAGCGCTACCTTTGATGGACTAAAGTAAGTTGACAGGCTCATATATAACCATTTAACCTGAAGAAAGACTTAAATAAAACACAAATCTCTGAATATAACTGTCTCTCTGTTTCAACACTAACAGGTATGACCTCGGCACCCCGCTGTTCCTCGGCTGGGTTGGCTCCGTCTTTCACATGACTGGTGGTGTCTTCTACCTGTGGTCGGTGTGTAAGCCGCTCTGTGGAGGAGAGGAAACGTGAGTACAGACACATGTTGTTGTTGTTGTTGCATGTCAGGGGAAGTGAATAAATAACCCCACTTCCTCAATAAATACCAGCGTCCCGTGTGTTCAACTGGAATGACTCATTATCCAGAATGTACTGAGCAGTGTGCAGATGTTCACTGTGGGTACACTCCCTCGCACCATGTAATATAACCCTAAACACATCGGTGTAAACAAAGACGTCTGGTGTTTTAAAAGCTTTTCTGATTACACGAGGACATAAACTGCATGCCATCAACACTCTGCAGCTTCCTCTTACATGTTCCACCTTTACATCACAAATGATACAGAATATTTTCCTGCAGCCGATAGAGTAAAAGTGGAGCCAACATTACCTGTTAAGCAGAGATCACAGTAACATAACAGAGAAATGATCACATGTCTGATTTTATTAACAACTTGACACTGTCATTCAACCAAAGCTGAATTATACTATTATTATACTGAGTTTGACATTTTGGGGAGATTAGCTGAATTAGCTTAGCATCAAGATACATAAAGAGAGGTGACCTTAGTATGTCTACATTCCTGGCTCCGTGCCTGCATACATGGAGTGATTACAATGGCCACAGCTGCTCAAATGTAACAGAAGATGAATTTCTGTGAGCTTTTTAAGTAAGACAGCAGCATGTGTGTGCGTGTGTGTCTCTCTGCAGGGTAATTCTTGTCCAGCCACAACCAGATCTCGAGAAAAACAAGTCCACTACAGCTCTGTCCACAGTGTCTGAGATCAGCTCCAAGACCAAAGTGTCCTCCATTTCCGAGCTGTCGTCCAAGTCCGAGCGCTCAGACGTGTCTGGCATTTCCTCGAGATCAGAACGCACATCCAGATCTGGACGCACGGCCAAGTCAGGGCGGTCATCGAAGACCGGGCGAACCATCAGGTCTGCAGGGTCGAGGTCAGGATCAGGGACGGAGACCAGCCTCTCGTCGAGGTCCAGCATGTCAACGTTGTCCGGGTCGAGGAGCAGCAGCAGCAGCGGCAGCCGGACAGTTTCGTCGCTGTCAGGCAGTTCGAGGAGCGAGACGACACCATTCCTCAAAAACTCGTATATCTGAATAAATGTCAGATGTTAATAAATGTGATGGACAGATGTTAATAAATGTGATGGACAGATGTTAATAAATGTGATGGACAGATGACCTGATGCTTTCTTATTCAATGTATTACTCAACTGTGAACGCTAATCCAGTGATGTGTTTTATATTAATAAAAAATGACAAATCCTTGTTTAAAATTTTGATTTGCGTACAATTCCTGCTGCCAGTTACATACATTTAACACAACACATAACTCACACATCCGTATCCGTAATAGTCCTGTCAGCCTTTGTGTCGCCCTTTAGACAACAAATAAAACCAGCTCTGGTTGACAGTAAACACTGTCTGCTTTGCTGTCATTCAAACCTTCACAAAAACACACAAGCAACCGCTGTGAGAGGACAGAAACTCTACAGTTTTAATCTGAAGTCTTCTTGAATTACTGGTGGACTACTTCTTACAAGGTAGAAAGGCATTAAAGACGTTCACATCTGGAATTACTGGCTCTACTTTTCCAGTTGAACTGAAGTTATCTCACCATTAGCTAGAGGCTGCTAACTTCACAAACACAGTGAAACATCTCTTAGTGAAGACTCTTCTATTTACCAGACTGAGAGGATGTGGAGGAGACTGGCTCAGATCCTGGGTCTGCTGCTCTGCATACTGGGCTGGGGCTTTGTGGGCTGCACCCTGGCTATGGACCACTGGAGGTAAGCAAATAAGAGTTAGAGGAAACTTGATGCACTTAAGCTTAGTCAACTGTAGAGAGAAAGTGAGGATAATAGCTTCAATTTTAAAATAAATCGAAGAATCTGGGAAATTTTGGGAAGTTTTGGGAAGTGTCAACCTGAAACTGAAAGCAAAATCAAATGAAAATTTTTGGGAGGGATAATAGATCGATAGATAAAGAAATGTAGCACTTGAAATTTTAATGTATCGCTATTTTACAGTCAAAAATAAATAAATCTTTCTCAGACGCCCACTTTTGTGCTTAAGTTTGTCCCAAATTGTCAAACAATTCTTTTAACGCACTTTCATCTCTGTCCAGTAAATAGGATGCTAAAGCCATGAGATGGTTAGCAGAGCTTACCATAAATACTGGATACAGGGAGATAGAGCTAGCCTACCCAAAGGTGACAAAACCTACCCATCAGCACCTCTAAACCTCACCATCTTATGTATTTTCTCACTGGAGAGTGGCCCAGCTGGGGGGTCAAGGGGGCTCTTCTGTGGTGGTGACAGCCTGGTACTGGTCCGACCTGTGGAAGGACTGCTATGAAGACTCCACTGCTCTGGTGAACTGCGTAGACTTCGGGGTGCTGTGGTCAGTCAAATGTGGGTACAAATGTAAACTAAAAAGTAATTCACAGATTATTTGAGCCATTTATGACCCAGTTGTGTGTTTGTCTGTTCTCAGCACACATCCAGGCAGTCAGGGGGCTCCTGATATTCGGCCTGTGCGTCGGCTTGGTGGCCACAGTGCTCACTTTTTTTGGACTCGAGTGCACACACATCGGTGGAGACCAGGGAAGTAACGACAGGATGTTGATAACGGCGTCTGCTCTCCATCTGGTCGGCTGTGAGTGCGACTCGTTGGCATTTACAGAACCTCAGCAGCTTCTCAGAACGTTCCCTCACTGGTTCGTCTCGTTCTGTTTTTCCATGTGTCATCGGCTTTCCCTCATGCAGGCGTGTCAGACGTGGCTGCTTACTGCTTATACATAAACAGAGTGGCTGCGGCTTTTTTACACAGCAAAGCAGATCCATCAAAACTGAGGTAATGTGGCCTCTGGATAACCCTCATTAGTAGGTAGATGTGAGTAAATACAAGGCAGAAGCCAATTTTAACTGTTATCTCCTCAGCTATGAAATTGGACCACCCCTGTACCTCGGCCTGGTGGGGGGTTTCCTCATTGTACTTGGCTGTACAGTTCACTGTACAACTGCATGCAGAGTTAACCATCCAAAAAGGTTTGTTAACCCATTTAAAGGAGTAATTTCACCTTTCTGGAAAGAGCCTGTGGATTTTAAACTACAGTAGTTGCTATTTCTATCCAAATACTCACTCATATAACCTGTTACTGTTGTTTCTGACTGGATACAATACTCTCTCTGCAGCACACATCCCGTGGTTCCCTTTATCTGTGAAAAAGGAAAGAAAAAAGAAGCCTTACGAGGACAAAAATACATCTGTGAATTGTCAAAAAGCTCATATGACTCCAGACACGTCTATACCTACAAGATGACTTCTGTTGTGAATGTGTGACACTACAGATTCAGTCATCAATCAATTAATTACTATATATGTATATCTATTATTATTATTTAATAACTTTAGTCTAAAAACACGTCAATTTAAAGATGATATTGGATGTAAACAATGTCAGAATATGCTTTAAACACTAGTGTTGCACTATCATAAGGTCTTGTGCATAAATGTTAACATCAATATGAATAAATATGAATATACAAAACAAACTATGGTTTCCATCCTCTTTCATTATTTTTTTTTATACTTTACAAAGTGTGTTTGTTTATAAGTTGCTCTGGAGCTTGCTAAAAAACAAAATAATATTCTTTCATCAGCTTTAAAGCTCATGACTTTTTCTAATTTTATTATGATGACATCTTTCAGTTTGGGGTCTCAGAAATATTTAGAATATATTTATTTTCTTATTTGGTGTCATCATAATGCTTTAAGGCCATTTCTGTAATTTGTTCCCCAGTTTGTGTCAATTGGGAAAGATCTCCTCTTCAATAATTTTCTACACTTTGGCTTTGAATGAGATCAATAAATAAACATTTGAAGAAATTAATTAGAACAAAGTACAGATATCGCAACAATGAGGAAGTAAAAGAAACCATAATGGTTGACTACAATGGTATCATGATCCAGCAATACGCAATCCTTCATTAGTGCTGGGAACAGGAAGGATGCTTACTGGGCAAAACCATCTAAAAGATAAGATGAGATAGAAGCCAAACACTCACAATGCTGGTCTGACACCATCTGCAATGACATAGAGGCCGAGCTCAGTCCGGTTTCCCAGAGTGAGACGTAGACGTTACTCTCTAAATTTAACAGATCTTAATAGTTTTTAATTGTTTGAGGAGCAGCACTCACCATGAAGTACAGGACGGTGGTGATGTACATGGAGATCGGCTGCTTCGTGTCCTGCCTGTGCGGCTGGATCCTGGTGTGCTCCACTCTTCCCACAGAGTACTGGACTTTCTCCGAGGTGGGCAGCATCGTGTTGACCACCTCCAACTACTACTCCAACCTGTGGAGGGACTGCATCTCTGACACCACAGGGGTGTCCGACTGCAAGGATTACCCTTCCATGCTGGCCCTGCCTGGTAGGAAAAGTGAAATCTTTTTTATTGAGCTTTAATTCTCAGAAGTTGAAAAGATTTAGGGACTGTATGAAAATTATTGGAGTGGGGAGGGGCTGAATCATATATTTAGATATTTTTTTTTAAAAACAAGCCCCAAAACTCAGACTACCCTTCCTTTAACAAAAAGAAAAAATACCTTTCCCTTTTTCTGCCTCCCCCTCTAATAACTTTCAGACATTCCCTTAATGAATTTGGCTCCAGTTAAAGGTTTGCAGTGATAAAGACTTCCTGTTTCGACACAGTAAGAGTTCATATTAAAGCTTTTGCTGCCTGTTGTCTTTCAGTGTTCCTACACGCCTGCAGGGCGCTCGCTGTCTGTGCCGTCATCACTGGTTTCTTCGGAGGCGTCCTCACACTCGTGGGGATGAAGTGCACTAAAATAGGAGGGTCAGAGATTGCCAACGCAAGGGTGACCTTTGCAGGCGGTATAACCTACCTGGTTTCAGGTAAAAAAAAAAGATTTTCATCTTATTGATTATTAACGTTGTCTGAATGTTTAAACTAATGTACATGTACTGACAGGATTCTGTGGTATGATCACCTACTCATGGTGGGCCAACAGAGTCATAACAGAATTCGTGGATCCAAATTTCAGGGCACAGAAGTGAGTACTTTTTAAAGCAGTACGATTATTATTACTACCTGTAAGTGATATTTAAGAATAAACTCTTGATATACCTCAATACTTGCTGTTCAGATTTGAACTTGGAGCGGCAGTTTTCATTGGCTGGGGAGGCTCCATCCTTCTCCTCGCTGGAGGGACGGTGCTGACTTACTTCTCTGGAAAAGAAGGTCTACCATCAAGGTCAATATGACACCTATATTTCACTTTAACTGTTGTATTGCCTTTATTATCTATATCACTGACCTGTATGTTGGACCATATCAAAAGTCAAAAACCAGTAACAGCACTTCACCATCTGTGTCCAACTATATCAACAGTTCTACAAACGTCCCACGTAGACCGGCCACTTATGCCACTGCCCGAACCCGACGGACCTACATGCTGCCAGCCACGTCGTCCAGGGTGACACTGGCGCCACCGTTGTTCTATGAAGGCAGGACGAGCCGAACAACCAGAGCGACAAGGAAGACCGGTCAGACCTTCGGCAGGGACAGCTTTGTATGAGCTGTGAAAGGGACTTCAGAGACTTTAAAGGAATAGTTTGACATTGGGAAAAACTCTAATCTGCTTTCTTGCCCAGAATGAGATGAGAAGATCAATACCACTCTCGTGTCTGCATGTTCAATGTGGAGCTTGAGAGAGAGGTAGTTAGCTTAGCTTAGCATAAAGACTGGAAGTTCGCAGCCGACGCTCCGCCAGAGGGAAACAAAATCAGAACATTTAGACTTCTAAAGTTCACTAATTTATATGTTACATCTTGTTTGTTTGATCAGTACAAAAACCAAAGTGTAAAAATATATGTGGGACTATTTTTTGGAGGGAGACCCTTGGAGGACCACTACCACCTACAGAGGGAGGGTCAGATGGCTGATTGAACAAAACATTTATTAATTAGTGAGCTGTAGAGGTGCTGGTTATGTTCATGTCAGTCAACTGTTTACCCCTATGTGCAGTGTTTATGCTAAGCTAAGCTAACGAGCTGCTGGCTCCAGCTTTATATTCAGCACACAGACATGAGAGTGGTATCAATCTTCTCATCTAGCTTCAGGCTTTTGTATATATAGCCGTTTCTTGTCTTTCATCAGGGAGCGTCCACTGTCTATGGACCCTTCGATTAGTTCCTGTCTGTCTGCAAGCTGAAACGTTCAGTATAAAAAGAGAAGAAAACATTAATCTCTTCCAACTGGACAGCATCAAAGCATGTGATACCACTTTGTTTACAAATCTGTTCTAAAGTAAAATGTTTCACAATTCTTCAGCAGAGATTTATGCTTCATGCACCTTCCCAAATCTTTATGGCTGCTCTGCTTTCATCAGGCTGCTGTGGAGTCTGAGGTCCATTGATCAGTCTTGTGACTTATAGATAGCCACAGATATACTATGTGTACAAAACAATTACCACCATCTCTTCAAAAATGCTATCATATTTATTTTTGAGGCGATTCAGGATATTTATATATAATATAAATGACCATAAATATAAACATGCAACCAACTTTTCAGAAGCCATCAATGGTAGAAATTGAAAACACAACACTCAAATCTCTTCAGTCTCTTCATATTTATGGATAATTGGAAATAATTTAAAGTCAATCTAAAATGTAAATGTTTGTGAAGAATATTTTTTAACACTTAAACTTAATTAAGCCGTAATTGTGTTTCTCTTCTGAAACAAGCCCTCCCTTTGTTTCTCGGTGGCTTCATACACACAGCAGTCTGTCCTCTGCACCTGAACTTCTTCAGAGTCACCAGAAGATGGCGCTCAAAATTAGACAAAGAAACAACTGCTGATGTTTCATACATTTTGGTGGTGATCTATAACTCACTGATCAATGGTCAACCTCAGATACCGACCTGATGAAGGCAAGACAGCTGAAACGGTTCAATAAAGCAGGGTGAACTAGAGAGGAGTTGTACAGAGAGAGACATGGCTCAGGTGTACCTCTACCTTAAAATAGAATACATTTATTTCTTAGACAGCACTGACAGCTCTCCTATCACAGCCTGCCAGCACTCTGCAGAAGAGCCAGTCACACTCAACGAGGCCAGCGCTGTCAGAGCACGAAGCCGTCACAGCTGTCACTCTCCATGAAAACCCAGTTCATCATATTACAAATCAGTTTCATGGCTGAGTTAGCCGGTGGGAAGGAAGCTCTCACATTGAGGATTTTATGTCTGCTGTCCCACCGCATGACTAAAGACAACTACTAATAATTAATCACACTCGTAGATGGCAAATCATTAACTTATGTAGAAGAAGCAAAACCACAAAACCACACTACAGAAATACTCCATTGACTTAAAAGTCCAACATTCAGGAGGATCTATTGGCAGAATTTAATATTCACAGGTATGTTTTCATTAGTGAATAATCACTTGAAAATTGCAGAAGTTCCCCAGTCAGATCAATATAATTAATGTATTTATATGTAAGGTGAACTTGAATGTTGTAGTTGAGGTGAAGGTGCAGCTAATATTAACTACATCATATACTGTAGTTTCATCTCTAACAATACATCATGTTTTATAAACTGCTCATTGTCTCTAGTAACTGTAACTATTCAATAATTGTAGTGAAGTTAAAAGTACAATACCTTCTTCTGAATTGTAGTGAAGTAGAAATATAAAGTGGCTTGAGACGAAAATACTCAAGTGCAGTACAAGTTACCTCAAATTTGTGATTAAGTGCAGAGTAAATGCACCATTTCTCATATTTGATCACCCATAAATATAGTCTGCATGTCCGATTCTGCGTTTACTGTACATTCAGTACCACTGGGGTTGAGGACAAACATCTGTGAGTGAATAATTCTGTGGTGTTTCTGCATCCTGTTTATTTAGGAATTGTTTTGTGGCTTGAATTGTGTAGAACAATTTAACTTAAAATACTCACAGTCTATTTGATATATCATTTTATACATTTAAATCAGTGGAAGAAGTGTAGAATGTGAAAAAAGCGTTTCCATTTATCCTGAATTTTGCCTTTTAAATAGAACTTTATTCATCTGAAGAACAGAGACGTGTCTTTATTGTCTGCAGACCTGATAATGAAATTGATGTATGAAGTCTTGCATGGCTGGAAATGTGAATCATTTTATTAGACCAAAGCATGGAGGTGTGAAGAAAACTAGAAAAAACTATAAGAAAACTAAATAATTTGACAAATGTGTAATAAATCAATTCTTTGGTTATTTGTGTTTCACTGAAGATAGAAAGAACATTGAGGACATGTGCCTGGATCATCAAGTATGTATTCCACAGAGAAATCTTTTATTGCTTGTATAAATATTTTCTATACAAAATCACATCTCGTTGCTCCGTTTAACACATGAAGGAATTATAAAATTTGATGTACAAAATCTTAAACAAGCTACATACAGTGCCTCATTTAGAGTGCGGGTTATATTTCATTGAAAATACAAAACAGAATCTATTTCAGGTTCAACACTGAAAAGGTCTAAGGCAAGCAAAGAATTGGCACGAGGCATAATGTGAGACCGCTGGTTTATCTCTAACTCATTTATTAGATGGTCTTCTTTTCTATACAAAAACTATTTTGTAACCCTTTTGTTAAGTATTGCTCTTTCTGTCCATATAATAGGAGTATAAAACATGGCTGTTTGGCGTGGACTGTCGATGTCAGAGGAGTTCACTGAGGTCTTTATGTCTGTGCTTGGCGTAAAGCTACATCACCTGATCAGCTGTAGTGTTTACTGTGTTTATTGCTAATGTCCTCGGAGTCACTGATGTCGCTGAGGGAGCACAGGCTGCTCTTCAGGGTGCTTCCTGTTCCAGCTTCAGTCAGACCTGCAGTCAGGGACAGACAGATGTGTTTACTTTGCACACAGTACAAATCTTAAACACATCTGAGACCATCACCATCGCAACCTATTACAAAACTGCTCTTATACTCTTATACACCTATCCTGAAATAACTGACCTGACTTGGGACCCCTTCCTGTGGAGGTTCCCCAGACGCTGGTGCTGGGTGAGTCCAGGCTCTTCCTCAGTGGTCCAGAGCCCTGAGCTGGTTTAGACATCTCCTGTCTGTCCTCTAAGGAAGAGACCATCCACTCACTGCTCTCCTCTAGATCTGTGTACTGTTGCCACACAAAGAAACATTATTCAGAGCTTCTAGCAACTATTTAGTCCATAATAACAACACATGAAGTAGAAACATTGTACACCAGAGCTTTGCACTGAGGCCCCATCACAGAGCGAGTCTCACCGTGAGCTCCTGAACCTCGTCCTTCCTCTCTGGTAAGATGCTGACGCCCCCTGCTGGTTTCTTCACCGCTCTCCCTGCAAACTGCTTCTCCATTTTTCTGGCCAGGTCATTGATTTTGTTTTCTAACAGAAACACGATTCATAAAAAACACATTAATGTGGTTTCATTAATACGGTGATAGCGTCATGTCTTCCCCCTCATGTTCCTCTCTTTAGCTTAGCATCACAGGTACAGTTTTAAAGCCAAACATAGCATAAAATGAAATACATTAAATGTAATGCATACAACACAACTCGTTTCACTATTAAAAGTTAAAAGATCTGATCTAATATTGATTAACTAATCAGGACAAACAATATTATTTATATTTATATTATTTATGACTGAATGTCTGGTGTGAGCTGGCAGTTTTGGAGAGCGGACAACTCACCTTTACCAAAGTTTCTCTTGTCCACATTGCCGTTCTGGTCTTTGTGACTCTGGAGTTGTCTCGGGTCAATCTCCTGCAGCTCGCTGACCTCGGACCACTCGTCCTCTTCATCGCTCTTCATCTGTGTGACTGTGGTCTTGGTCACGCCACCCACTGACAGCCTGGTCTGCTGGGGGTTGGAGGAGAAAGAGTGCCTGACTGAAGCCGACCTGGCCTGGACCGGACTGGCTTTGATTTGGACGGGGGTCGCCTGGCTTAGTCTTGACAGAGGTGATTTGCCCCTCTGGTGTTTTTGGGGCTGTTCCTCCTCCATATCTGTGTCCTCTTCTTCAGAGTCCTCATCTGAACTGAAAGGGGGGGTCCTCAAGAAGCACAGAAACAGCTTTTTACTAATTATTCAACTGTTAAGGCAGTTTTTCCTTGCCCCCGTCGCCAAGTGCTTGCTCATGGTGGTACTGTCGGGTCTCTGTAAATAATGTTATAAGGAGTTCGGTCTAGACCTGTTCTATTTTAAAAGTGTCCTGAGATAACTTGTTATGAATTGACGCTATACAAATAAAATTGAATTAAATTGAATTGTGAATTTGTGAGAGAAATTTCATTCAGCTTCCTCTTGACTGTTTAAACTAAATTCTTATTTTCTTAAAATGCAGCCATTCTCCCTTAAAATTTCAGAAATATGATGTATGGTGAAACCTCTGATGCAGCTGCTTCTTTTATCACATTTGGTACAACACATTTACGAAGAACTACAGGAAACAGTTTCATTTTATGTAGTTTTTTCTTTACTTGGATGTGAGGTTCCTTAGAGCGGTCCTGGTGCTGGGTGTGGATGTCTTGGGTTGGGTGGTGGTCTTGGTCCTTGGCGCAGGCTGGGGTGTCTTTGGCTGTTTGACCCCAGGTCCAGACATCACCTGTGTTGCTCTGGAGGGCAGGCTGCTGGATCGAGGCCGGATCTGCAACACTGCACTCAAAAACAATTAACAAACAGAGTTAACGGATCAGTTGCTGACAGCGTGTCACAGCTTAAGTTAGTTTATGTGACGGCAAACAAGCTCTCACAGATTAGACGGACGCACATACAATCAAAACCAATTACAAGCCGCTAATGCAATAGTGGCTCTAGGGAACAATGTAGTGCTAGAGTGGTTACTACTGGTCTGTGCTCAGAGTAAGAACTGTGAGAGATGATCTCATGTGCTAAGAGGCTTTTTGATGACTCACCTTGAACGGATTGTCTGGATCTGGCCTGTGACTCAGGAGCAGGATCGCTGCCTCTCCTCTGACCACCCAGCTTCTGCTCCACAGTGCTGGCTATCTCCTCCCGCTGGCGCCAGTAGTCGGGCTTCCCCTTTGCAAAGCTGTCCCTCTTTGAATGCACCTTGGCCAGGATGGAAGTGAGCTCTTTGTTCTTCAGACCGGTCTGATCCTGAGAAGAGGTAGAGGAAATTATAACGGTTAAAGAGGTAAAAGAGCATTTAAGAGTGAACTTAAGCTTCCTAAACTCTACTTATTAGTGTGAACTCACAGGTTTGACTCCCAGGTTCTCCAGCTTCATAAGAACAGCCTGCTCAATATCTGGCCGCATATCTTTCTTGATGCTGGTGTTCCTTTTCAGAGCACTGGAGGTCGCCCTCTGTTTCTTTTCTGGCACAGGCTCGGGCTTCTTCTCCACTGACCTCCTCTCAGAGAAGCTGTTTGAGTCTGTAAAAGAGATCTCACTTAAAATCAGCCATTTATACACAATCTGGCTCCAATAACAGGCAGCAGAGGCAAAACACAGAAGAAAAAGAGAGCATGCATAGATAGAGCATGGTAGATGGATGTGACTGCAGCGGGGCAGGCAGAAGAGGAGAACGTCTACATGTTTGTTTGCCAAAAACAAGGCGACAAGATGATGGATGGATGGAATGATCAGCAATGTTGAAGTGGCAGGCGTCACATATATTATCACAGACCATGAGCTTGTTTTCCAAAAAGCTTTCTCCCTACTAAGGCCATGCCTTTCATGTCAGTGTGGACTAAGATGATCTCAGTCTGGACACACTTAAGGAAAAGGCCGCCAACAACAGACTGACGCATCCATGCAGACAGCATGCGGTCGACCGGCTCTGTTGGTTCTATTGTCTGTTTTACCTTTCTCCTCTTCTGACAGCTCCTGTATAGGATCCAGCTTAGGAGCACAGACTGTCTCCTCTAATTGGAAGGCACATGAGGTCAAAGGTCATTGGAAGTGAGATAAAATATGTGTTAAAAGAGGGTTCGGGTACTAATGTGGAGACAGCACTGCTTTATTAAGAGTTTTCTCTCTAAAACAGCATTATGTAAATCCTTCATGCATGAAAGCACATGCTCAGCCTCTCTGGGAGTGAGATTGGTTTTATATTCTAATCTAATAACTTACCAAGTACAACTCTCTTTGGTTTAGGCTCCGGAGCTGGTGCACTGACAATGACTGAAAAACACAGAACACAGTGAATGCATCAACATAATACATGCAGTTTCCTTTGGTGAAACACTTTTTTTTGATGATTAAATTCATACCTGGCACTTCCACTACTTTGGTGGGTGGATTTGAGGAAATATTCCTTATCTGCAAGTCAGAAAAAGGACAACTTGTTACACCATGAACATGCAGATTTTCCTGGATAAATAAACTCTTCTTTTGGCAGCTCCAAGTAAGAACCCTTTACAGTGTGTAACATTTAGGGAGGATCTATTGGCAGAAACTAAATATTGGCTATAGATAAGACTCTTATTTTCTTATTATCTGAGCATACGTGGACAATTATTTGCTTCCCCGGCAACCTTTCTGTATTGTCTGTTTCTCTGTTCCATTGTTGGTGGCTGTATCGGCATAAAGGCTTTCCACCTATATGGATTTTAACTTTAAATGCAATTTTACATGACGTGCATGTGAAACAACATATTCTGAGTTTTCAGTCACTTAATCCTCAATAACAGATTATGCACTGTGGCTGCTGTCAAATGTACAGTATCATCATCTCTCAATACAACACAATCTGAGCTCATGTAGCAAATACAGGATATCCTGAACAAGGGCTGACCCTCCGCCTCACTTCCTCTCTCGACATAATCACACTGGGCAGTGATGGCTGTGTGTGTGAGTGTGAATCAGTCTTAACCTGCTCCCTCTGGGCCTTGATGGTTTGCTCCTTCTCCTGCAGCCTCCTCGCCACCTCCTGCTGGAGCCTCTGGCTGTGCTCCTGTTGCTCGGACACAGACGACTGCATTCTGCTCAGCTCGTTCAGTAACTGGGAGACAAAAGGAAGACGAGGCATTTTCCAGCTGGCTGATTTCTAACAAAAGACGCTTTAATGGAATGATAATTATGACACACATTAAAAAGATACCTGATTCTTTTCAGACTCGTGTTGGGCCTTTATTTCCTGCAGCCTGGATTCCCACTTTTTATCCTAGAAGAGAAGATTTTTTGACTCAAAATAACTTATTTCACTTTTACATATATTAAAACAATATCTCTCTGCTACACCAACCTGTTTCCTCATCTGGTGTTCCAGCTTTTGGATGGCTTGTATCTGCATCTCTTTGTAGTTGTCCAGATCTCTCTCTGGCTGTGGGTGAACAGGACTAGCTGATTTTTCATGCTTGGCTGTCTGATTCTGATTTGCTTCCTATAAATGAAAATACATGTGAAATAGTGACAATAAATTAATAAATAAAGCATATCCTGAAGACCAGATTACTATAATGTAAATAAACATCCTTTTCGTACATTGAGAGCCTGAATATTCCGGGTGTAAAGAAATTCCATCTCCCTGCGTATGCCATCCCTGCTGTCTTCTATCTTTCTGTCCATGCGTGCCATCTCCTCAGCCTTAAAGCGGTCCATTTCTCTCAGCAGGTCTTTGTGAATGGACTGCTGCTCTTTTTCCTGGAATCACAACAGAAATGAAAAAAGAGCTCAGTCACTACGAAAGAACAAACGTCTGAGAGGAGAGTTGAAACTTATATATACTTTTTAAGGCATTAAATCCTCACATTTGAGTGGCTGATTAATAAATCTATCACAGTGGTGTGTTTTTCCTACCTGAGCTGTTTTGGCTTGCAAGTCATGTTGCTGCTGAACAATCTGCTCCTTCAGACTGCTGATCTCTGATTTGAGGCTTTCAATCTGAGACTTCTTCTCACTGTCTGACCGTGTCTCTGGAAGGAAGTAAAACCAGTTAAACATAAGATCCTGTATGTAACAATACAATATGAGGGAATGCTTCATCTTTCACCTGCGCATACATCTTCATAAAACTCCATCCTTATACTGTTTAATGCGTCTTCCTAACAATACCTTCAGGTCGTGTAATATCACACTACTGCTCTCTGTCCCTCCTCTATAGTGCTCAGCAAACCTTTTTGACTTACGGGTCTCATACTCGTCAGGGTGGCGGCGCTGCATGTGATTCTGGAGAAAGGAGGAATTGAGGAAGGATTTATCACACTGCGTACACTAAGAAGAAAACAAAAAGAAAGAAACAAAAAACATGTATTAATATATCACAGTGTGCATGTTTGACAAAGAAAAGCAAATGAATATGCCGACTCATTCTTTGAGGAAACAGGAAAACTGAAAGGACAATTTTGATGACCTGAAGTATCGGTGAGATATTGGTGATACAGTACTTTAACATATAACATTATATAGACAATTATATTACAAACTGCAACTTAAGCAAACACCTGCACTAAAAGATAAATAAAACACAGGAACATTGAGAAGCATTAATTTGATACAGTACAGAGACTGTTGTGTTTTTTGTATTTGTCACTTGTTTCCTACATTAGCATTTCGTTATGCTGCACATGTTGTCAAATTGGTGAAGTTTTCTTCATTTAGTTGTGTTTTATCTATTTGTATATGTTTTCTTTGGCTGCAGTATGTTGATCTCTCAGGGCCACATAGTATTGACTATATAGTAGCAACTGCGATTAACTATTATTATTTTCATTACTGATAAATCTGCAGATTTGATCAACTATTCAATTCATTGTTCGGGCAATAAAACATCAGAAAAAACATCCATCATAATTTCTGAAATAAAAAAAAAAATTGATCTTTTAGTCTAACCAACAGCCAAAAACCCATTAAATTCACTATAAGACAATATAAGAAAAGCAGCAAATCGCTTTTTCCAACATGTGAGAACACATCTGACATAAACAATCTCCTGCTACATGTGTGAAGAGACAAATTCAGACAATGTTCATATGTGAAAACGTCTATAAAGACTCTGATTAGGCTCCAAACAGGAGCAGCCGCTGAGTTCAGGCATGTGTTTCCAAACAGACAGATAGCGTGAGTGATGTTGATTCGTTCCCTGCAGCAGGCGTCACCACACTCCAGCTCTCTAACACTTTGCATCCACAATAGATGCTGCATCTGCCCTACACACACACACACACACACACACACACACATCACACGCTACATTTAACTCCGCCGCTCATTGTGCATAGGACTTCATTCAATGTTAAACCCGCTGCTACTGATATCTTGTCACAGCATATGGTGGCAAAGATTCAAAGGCAGTCACATGACACGGCGACGTGTGCCGCCACAGTGAGTGCGCCTGTAAGTGATGCAATTACATTAGGGTTTGGAATAACTGTGGAAATTGGGAGTGGAATTAAATTAGCCCTCAAAGAGAGCCCTGCGTGTTTATTTGGTGGAAATGTGGACTTCAGCTAAGACCGGCAACAAAATGCCAAAGGTCCTCAAAGGACACAAACACATGGCCTCTCTATCAATTATTGAGCCACCTCTGTTAGCTGAGCTTCTAGCGCACACCTAGCAACCACATGCTGTCATGACACACTATATCTGTTGCCTTGGCAACTGCTTGGCCAGGTCAGTGGCAGCCTTACACTTGACGAAGAGAGGGAGATTTTTGATTTGTGCTATAAATAACGTAATGGGAAGTGAGCTACGCTGCCTAACAGAGACTTTACTTACAGGAAAATGCATCCAACAAATAAACAATATCGGAAATACACAAATGTCTTTAAGAACACTAAAAAGGACAGATTGCTGTGCAAGGACGTGTATATAAGGGAGGGGGAGGTGGGAGTCAACCAGTCATCTTGATTACTGCTCTTGTCACCCTTTTGTAAGTGGATTAAAAAAAACTAATTGCCACCAAATGATACCATCTGTTCTGCAGCTCTAAATCCTCTAAAAGCGTATTATAACCATACCAAAACCACACAGCCATGGCAGGTTTTACAGCACGTAACTACAGTTTTTAGAACCAGTATTTGGTCAGGCTCTGATAAAAACCTTCAACTATTTCCCTTTTCCCCTCCATGTGAAATGCACAAAGCCGGAGCTGTGAATAGATCTGGGGAACAATGACAGAGTGGGGGCCCTGAGGAGGAGGAGGCGGAGCGTAGGCGGTGGGGGTGATGGAGCTAGCCGTCTACTTGCAATACATACATGTGAAATGCAAATGGTAACCGATACCCCCCCAGAGAGTGAACGTTTAGCGTGTCAGCAGTACCTTATGGCTGCTGATGATTCGTGGCGCGAGCAAGGACTGCTGGGTGCGAATAACCTTCTTCCTCTGCTTGAGCTCGGTGGTCAGCATTTTCACTTTCTCCTCCTGCTTCTTCTGCTGAGCCAGCAGCTGCTCGCGCTCCCTGCCGGCCGCCGCCAGCCTCTCCTCTGCAGCGCGCAGATTGAGGGTGAGGAATTCCTGACAGTGGAGGAGCCACTCCACCGTGAGCTGGGCCAGCCGCAGTAGCTTAACCAGAGCCGGGTCCACGGGGCTCTGGCACCGCTGGCATCGCTCCCCATCTAAGCTGCAGAAGGTCACTGTGCTGATGTGGTCTTGCAGAGCGTCCACATCCAGCTGACTCACCACCAAGTCTATGTCCACTGCGTTGATTCGCCGCCAGTCAACGCTCTCCCTGCGCGGGCGGAACTTAAAGGGAAGGACGGCGGAGGCTCCGCTGGATGGAGTCATGCCTGGTGCAGGTACAGAGTGGCCGTTTACAGAGTGCTGGCTGAGCGGGGAATTCAGGAGGGACGGGATCCCTGCTGATGAGTGGGCCCCCTGGGTGTCACTGGAGATGGGGTAGTAGACTCCGTCGTGAAATGGCTGAAACAAAGACAGATCTTAAAATCCTCTTTTCAAAACAGGTACACCAATAATACGAACCTAAATGATTCACATAAGCATCACATTTACACACACACACACACACACACACAGAAAGAGAGTGAGAGAAAGAAAAGGAGACAGCCTGCAGCATCTGCTTTACCGAGGTAAAACCAGCGGAGCACAGATTCCTCCACTGCCGCTTCTATCTACCTATAATTCGGCCTCTGTCCTCACGCTGCCGAGCTCTCCTTACCATCTTCGACTGATTTCGCCTTCCCGGGGAGAAAGAGCCGTCGTTGCTCTCCGGTTCCGCCCCCTCTGCAGGCGGCTCAACGCGACAACGCCGAGGCAGGGCGTCCGCCGCGTTACCATGGAGACGGAAACGAGCGTCCCCGGGGAGATCAATGTTGTGAAAACACTGCGGGCAATCAGCAAAATGTTTCCCTACAGAGTGCGGGAGAAGAGCTGTGTCCTGTGGGGGGGGGGTTAAAAGAAAGCAGTACATGTTGTATTATATTTATATATATATTTATATAATATCCCCTTTGACAAGTAGTGTGTGAAAGCTAATTAAAAAGCAACCTAACTTACCTGCTAATGCGCAGGAGGAGGTTTTAAAATGGTTTCCTGGCTGAACAACAAATAACCGCTTTAATCTCTTGGTATCACGTTGCTGAGACAATCATTGCATGTCGGGGCAGGCTGTCTATCCCCTCGCTTGACCTTAACCTAAACAAAAAGGCACACATGTTTGAACTTGTCTGAGCAACTACAAGTTAAAAAACAATAAATAAATGGAGCTTTTTTGTTTTTTTTTTCTCCCCCTTCAGTCTCAGTTATGTTAGCGGACATGTTTGAGTCAACGCGATGGGCAGAAACTTTAAACAACATTAAAACAGTAATTACACATCAGCCAGTAATTAACACTGTTAGATGTTAAAGTTATATATCGCAGGACGCCGTTAAAACAACTTACCGGACGGTTTGTGTTATTAATTCATTCGCTTTTTTAAAAAGTTTTTCTGACGACGGGACCCCAGACGGGTTGAGGGTGACGTAGCAGCTGGTCTCCACATTCCTAAATCCGTGCTCGAGACCGCCATGACGACAGCGGCAGTTACTACTCAACATCCGGCTGTGCCTTCAAAATAAAACGCTGATGGCTGATTAGGGAAAGAGGGAAAGGGAAGACTGAAAATCTAAACTACATTTAATATGAATCTGAATCTATAAATTCAGTTCAAAGGGGCTTTACTGGTTCTCTCACTCTTTATATTTATATTTCTATATAGTGGCTTCTTTATACTGACTCTATTTTACATCTTTTTATCTTTATTTATATTTTTCTACACTTCATTGTGATTTTTACGCACCAGTGTACCAAAACAAATTCCTTCTATGTATGAAAGCTACGAAAACTTACTTGGCAATAAACCTGATTCTGAAATTACATTGCCAAAGCGAGTGTAAAATATATATGTACAGATTAGTAAAAAAAAACCATAAAATAAGAAAAGTAGACTTGCAGTTTAAAAAAAATACAAATAAGTAAGAATTTAAAAAGTAAGATTGCTTATGCATGTATTTATATCACTAACACTGATTCTTAAACCCACCACCCACCCTGAATATATTTGTTACATGAATCAGTTTCCAATGATTTTTTTTTTGCATATTTCTGTACAGCTCTTTCGTTTTTATATATTTGTATATATTGGCTCCTTCCATTGTCTCTATTTGTATCTTTACTTATATTTTTCTATGTTTAATTGTTATGCACCAAGTTACCAATGCAAATTCCTTGTATGTGACAACCTACTTGGTAATAAACCTGATTCTGATCGTGTGTGTGTGTAGGTCACTCACTGTCCCTCAGGCTGTGGCTTGTTAATACATATTTGGCAGCAAGATACGCACTTCTCCTAGGATTATTTTTAATTTTTAGTAGTCATTGAGATTGTTGAAATCTGGGATTACAGAGTTTAATTTGTTAAAATAAATGTTCCTTACAAAATCAGATGTTTTACATTTTTACATTCTTGGTTCAATCTGGCACATTTACATACACTAAACAGTTTAATATAGGTGAATAAAAGGGCTCTTAAAAGACTTAAGAAAGTGTTTTACAGCTTGATTCATTTGCCATTCAGGGTGTGGAGGGTTACTTTAAAATTTTATCCGATTCCAATCCGACCTGTTAAAATATGTAGTCAGTAACCCGATCCAAGTATCACAATATTAAAGTAACTTAACTAGGTTACCTTGTAATTTAAACACCAAATATGCAAATAAAAAACATAAGAAAAAAGATACCAATAACAAGTGTATTTTACTAAAAGTACCAGTAATCTGATTACATCTTCTTCTATAACTGTAATGGATTACAGTTGCCTTTTCTGTATGCTGATCTGGAGTATTTTAATAATGAGGTTTTTCATTCATTCATTTAATTCCTTCTATTGTTGTATTTGACATGTTCCCCTAATACGTTATATATATGGTTTTCATACTTTGCATACATACAATATGTTATGCCAGTTATGCCATATAAGATCTATTTTTATTTATTTTAATTTTAATCTGTAACACTAACGCACGGTGCCTTTCCAGACAGACCTTTACTTTGACGGTTATGCTCCTTATTTCCGGTGTTACTGTAGCACATTGACGCGGGTCGCGGTGAGAAGGGGGGAAGGGAGCAGCAGACCGCTGGGCTTTGAAATGGGGGAGACTAAAAAAACAGGGATGAGGGAGTCGGGGTTGTAGGCGGTCCCCACTTCATTTAAAACCAAATAAAAACACAATTAAAAACAACGGAAGTGGAGAACAGACCGAAATACTGACACAACCTCTAACACAGCTCCAAGGATGCGAGTGAATATGGAAAAAAGTTAAAGACAGATTTAAATAGGTGTGCTAGTGTGGTGTAGGGGCTCCCCCTTGTGGCTGAAATGGTATCCGACTCTTCAACCCCCTTATTATATACAGAGGTGGAAAAAGTATTCAGACCTTTAATTAAAGAAAAAGCAAGAAAGTTAGTTTAACAAACTACTTAAGTACAAGTACAGAAGGGTTATCAGCAACATGTACTTAAAGTATCAAAGTAAAAGTACTTGTTATGCAGAAATATGTCTCCTGTGACTAATATATTATGAAATAATTATTCTAATTTTAATACTGATGCATTAATGTGTAAGTATTTTTGTAAGGTTGGGAGCCACTATAGATGCATCGTATTTCCTAGACTCAAACCTTTTTTTACATGTATTTATTTATGTAAAATCTTATTCTGAAAGATAAATAGTGGAGCAGTAGAAGTATAAAGGAGCAGACAAGGGAAACACTCAAAAGGTACATTTAAACTGTCTTTCAAGCTGTAATATATAATATTTCACATTAAAATGTCTATAAACACAAGACCTTATGTTCTATATATAGTTGAGTTGTGTACTTACATTATCCCAAATTAACAACTCTCAATGATCCCACGCTGCTTCGACAAGTGTTGTATTTTGTTGTTGTTTTGATGTCAGAGACCCCCCCAACAGTAGAAATTACATATTGTACATTAAAGTAAATGTAGTTAGTTACTTTCCAATGCAAAATAAGATTTAAAATGTAACTTTATAACATTTACGTTGCCTTCATTTTTTTTCAAGGATATTGTGAAAATCATATCGAGTATAGAAATATACAGAGATACCTATTAAGAGTTTTTGTAAAGCAAGAGGTTAAAGGTCACTCAGATCACACAACATATCCTGTCGCAGGTGTTCTTTGTGATTTTGACTAGCCAACCTTTGAACATCTGATCTGTGCAGATGTTGTGATCAGTGGATTTCCTCTCTAACACGTGCATCATTTCACCAACGGAGGTCAGTAGAGATCTGATGTGGGCTCTCTGCGGGCGCTGTGGCTTCATGGTGGAGGAGTGATGGCGATTGCTCCCTCCTGGCCTCCTTCCTCTGTCAGAGGAGATGCTGCCTACTGCTGCTGTGATGGAGAGCAGCTGCAGGAGGCGACACAGTCCCTCGCTTTAATGGGGAGCAGCGCGCAGCAGGGTGGATCCACACACTTGCACATGCACGTACGCTGCTTGTATTCAAGGATCAGTCTTCAAATTGTTCTTTGGATGTGTCTTTTAAGCCCAAGATTAAAGAGTGATTCGCATTCAGGACAATGCAGATGCTGGCACAGCACTAAAAGAAAGTGAAACAAAGTGTGAAGCTGGGATGAGAGTGTTTTATTTTAAATCTGTCAAGAAACAACCTGCATGGGCACATCCCAGTGTGTTGAACCCTCCATCAGAGTCCCACTGCTGGAAGAGGCCGACTGTGTGCCATTTCCTCGGCCAGTCCCCAGACGACTTCAGTCGAGTCCTGATAAATAGAGATTTTAATTCCTCCGGACAGGGCCTGTGACTGTCAGGATAGCCTGAGGCGGGCAGGGGAGACTCTTCCTCACAGGCTGTGTCCGGGTAAAGACAGGCAGCTCTCACCAGCGGCATCACAATGAGGCAGTGAAGTTCAGCTGTAGGACGAGATGTTGATGCGCTTGTTTCTGGAATCCCAGCTAGACTAGTGCAGTTTTATTCCCCTCCCTGCACTCACTGTAGCCTCAAGGCCAGAGTTATGATATTTACTTGAAAATAAAATCCACACTGTTTGATAAGAGTTTACCAGAGCAAGAGACGAACACGTGGCCAGAGAAGTTGCGGCCTTGCATTAGTCATTCAGTAAAAAGGAGCAGGGGTGTGTGGAGGAAGAGGAGCGGACCTCTTGAGATGAGTAAGCACAGCCCTACACTCAATTTACTGCTTGATTTATGAGTTCATTTCCAGCACGAAGTTCTCAGCGGGGGTGAGGTGGTATATCTTTCCCACTATAGGTAGCAGTGGCTCCACTTCCCAATCCCCCATGAGACCCACTCTCACCACTCTGGGCCTTAGTGGGACTATAAATAATGGCCGCTGTAACAAGTACATATTGAACACAGAGAGAGGGGAGAGGATGCAGAAACATCTTTATTCATGAAGGAGGTTCTTATCTTCCCCTGCAGAGGACGGGATGGATCCAGACCACTCTGCATACTGAAAATGCTGCGTACAGTAATGCTTACTGTATCTCCGCTCTCAGATAAACATCTTCAGATATTCTGTAGAACCAGATGATGAAACGGTGAAAAGAAACCTTTGATCCAGCTGTTAGTCTGTCTGTCTGTGCGCGTGCACAGGCAGCTTATAAATCAAGGAGAGATGAAATCCAGTGACTTTAATCTTTCAGAACAGTTAGAGGAGATGCAGCTTATGAGGAGGAGCTGAACGTTGCCACGGTGACTCGCATCTCAGGGACAACTTTCCTTTAAATGAGCTTGAGTGATTCAGTAAAGGGGAAATACTATAGAAGATTCAAGGTTATATTATTGTCCTTTACAATGCAGGGTTGTGTATCGGCAGGAATTTGGAGGTACAATACGTTGCATCACAATACGGGGTTACGATTCAATATATTACGATGCAGCAGGGAGATATATTGGGATTTATTTTAATCTAATCTATGAACATAGCTCTAGATTACATTCACAACACTGTTATGTCGCAGTTAGGGGTTCAATATTTCGATATTTTCTTACACCCCTATAAGGTTGTTGAAGGAAAAGAAAAGAAGTTCCCTTTATGCTACTTTAAATTAAAAATTTAAATATATATAAAATACTTAATGAGTCATATAAATAAAAATAAACAATTTGTATGATGAATTGTTGAGGAAGACTTTTCCAGTCTCACAGTCGGAGGGAAGAAGCTGTCTTTAAGTCTGGTGGTACGACAGCGGAAGCTTCTGTACCTCTTCCCAGATATCAGCAGGGTGAGCAGGCTGTGGCTGGGTGGGTTCTGTCTTTCACTTTCCTTTGGGCTCTGCAGGCACCTAACCAATATCACACTGGGCAACTGAGTACCAATGTTCTTGTGGGCGGTTTTAATCACCCGCTGCAGAGTCCTCCTCTCCTGAGCCGTGCACATCCTGTGGCTAGTTTGTGATGTTTCCAGTCAGGATGCTTTCTGAACCAGGCTGGAGATGTGAGATGACCATCAGTCTCTGGGATGCTGATCATTTTCCATGCCACACAAAACAAAGTAAAGACGTGTATTTCCAGAAGAAAGCAGCACAGACCTGCCCATAATTTGTTTTTCACGAGAAGGTAGAAGGAAACCTATTTTTTTAGATAAACACGCTTTGTCAACGCCAAACTGGAAAACAACCAACTGAGCCTGAGGGTGGAACCATGGGCAGATCTCGTCATCCCCATGGAGGTTTTATATGAGCTGGATACTGGACTCCAACACTGCACCCATTCACTAAAGTGAAAATTGCTGAGCCCATGAGCCAAAAACGTTTTCTAGCTTCCAGCTTTGCTGACTCCACTGGGACAAATTGAAAATGGCAGTAAAGCTGAGTGGCCGCACCGTACCCAGCTCTCTTCATACATCCACGAGTTTAATGGAGGAGGATAAGCTAATGCTAGCAGATGTCCGCAAGGTAGACATAGAATATATTGCCAACATGTCTTATCTGTTTTATTATTAGTATTTTTTGGGTTTTACTTCATTTTATTTTTTTTTATCATTTTAATTGTCTGATTTAAATGCATCAGTCTTTAAATGTTTTAATCCCAGTTCAACCATATAAAGTACTCTATAACTTAGTTTTTGCTGTATAAATAAAGTTCATATTACCCTCATATTGCAAAAAGTGTTACGTAGCCTACAATTGTGCGTTTCACACGTGTTTGGGGGCTTCCTCTGTTAGCCCCTTCTTTAACGTCACAACTTGACAACTGTAGGACAGCTCTAAGGCCTTGTGGACATAACGGGAACACGCCTCGATGTCCATAAATCCATGAGATTGGGATTGGGCTCTATGTGAGACTACACGGTGGATACAGTTTGCTGTCCATAACGTTACTACTCCTCACTTTGTTTTCTGTGTTGTGATTTCCTTTTTATTCAAATTACATATCACAATGAAAAAACAAGGCAGGTACAGGAGAGGCGTGAAGTGGGAGAGGAGCGAGTGATTTGTAAGTAACGTTTCACATCATCCATCATTACCGCTTTGGCCATTATTATTTAACAGGCGGTTAATTAATTATTATAATTACAGTTTTTTAATTTAGGCATCCAACGTCTTCCATAAATAAAAAGGTCTGACAGGCCTGTGTTGTTAATGCTCACAGATGTGGGTGCATGGCAGTGCCAGCCTGCTCCCTTTTACACCACTAGAATCCAGACAAATGGAAGTGTCAGCTCAGCAAGAGTGCTCGCCACTGCCCGGCCAACTTAAAGCTGAGCAGAAATCTAGCCTACAACTGCCCACTGGTTTTCATCTCAGACACTTTGTTGTCTATTTTCAACGAGGCAGCCGCAGGGGTCACAAGTGGTGAATCAGCCTTGTGGGAAGGAGAGATGAAAGAGCGCTGCGGTGGGGAGGGGAGAAAGAGAAGCATCCCACCGTTTCCTTTTATTGTCCCCTATGAATGTTGCTCAGGTCATAAGAGTTACCAGCACTAAAGAATTATATATAGCAGACAAATGATGAGGTTTGCACCAATTCTTTCTCATCCTCCCACTGAGCGAGGAGGCCCGGGCTCTATAGGGCAAATCAGCCACTGCAGCAGCAGCGGATCCTTTGGAGGAAACACAGGTAATGGAGATCGACTATATGGAGAGAGTAATGTATGATGAATGTGCTCATGGGTATAAAACTTAACTCAGACTTTATTGTGAGACAGTATAAAATCCTGCTTGTGTCTGCAGCATTACCAAACCCTGCACATTTCCTCCCGGACCATCCTTTGGATTACTGTTTGTAAAAGTTAAGGCGTCGACTTTATTCACATGGCAGCCAATTTGGACACTTGAGGCCAGGGAATGTCTGAAACCAGCTGGTTCCTTTGAGAGGTCGAGTTTTTCGCTGTCCAGAAGGCAGGGATGAATATTGAGAGTTATATGAGAAGATTGATATAGCGTGCCCATATTTTCAAACCTCCAAACCGGGACCCTTAAAAGTGTACCACACATGCATACACCATAGGGCCATATTTCAGCACTTAGCACACCTACTGTGTGCACCTTTCAACACCGTGGACACCATGAATTCAGCATTCTGTCAGGTACTTTCCAGAGGAGTACCGTGAGCACACTGACAGGTTCGGAAAGAGCTGCAATGCCTATGACAGCCCTAACAACGATTGATTGACACGCATACAGACCAATCAGTGTTGAATTCAGACATGTGGTGCATTGTTTATGCTTTTATAGGGGGTTAGGTGTGGGACAGAGGATGATAAATATCTATGTAAGTGCGGAAAACAAGTATAATTTTATAATTATTGTTTTAATTGTGGTGAAATCTGGGACAACTTTTTACAGAACAGGCACAAACCAGTTCTGTCTGTTAAGTATGAAGCTAGAATATAAGAAGACAGTTAGCTTAGCTTTGCATAGAGACTGGAAGCATACTGGAACAGCTAACCTCACCTTGCATCACCTCTAAAGCTCAAATAATAACATGTTTTGTCTTCATTAATATGTCTTTTCACTAGATTAAGCCATGTACTCATTTGCATATCCATGACCTAACTATTTACATAATATGAGGTCTTAAGAAATAAAAGTTATAGATAATGAAGTTACACTCAACTGACTCTAACTAGCTTATCATTAACCATTCTCATTTTTCAAGCTGCTTTTATAAATATGCATCTAAATCTCTCATTAAAAAAAACAATCTGAAGGCTGCTATATAGACTGTGGAGCTCAAGTGTCATTAATAGAGACGATCCAGACACTCTTTTATAATCTGTATTCTGAGAAAAAGGATCATTTGAGAGGATCTATTGGCAGAATTTTAATTTAATATTCAGAGATTTGTTTTCCTTAGTGTATAATCGCATGGACATAAGAATAGTTGTGTTTCCCTTACCTTAGAATGAGCTGTTTTTATCCACAGATGTTTCTACAGTAGCCCAGAACAGACAAACCAAACACTGGCAGTAGACAGGAAGCAGGGGAAGCAGTTAGCCCTGTAAAACCACAAATTGTCATTTTTAAATGTCCATTCTTACAGAGAAACAAACAAGATAAAAGATGTTAATTTGTCAGCTTTAGGTGCTGGTGGGTTGATTTTTTCTTAACCTTTGGACAGCTTTACGTTAAGCTAAGCAGATCACAATCACAATAGTGGTATATCTTCTCACAATAGTGGTATATCTTCTCATTTAAATCTTGGCAAGAAAGTGAATAAGCCCATCATTTTAATAGATTCCTAGAACAGTATTTTTGCGTCACGTTTTGTGAGAAAATCCAGAGAAACAGCTTGTCTCTGTGCTTTGTGTCACTTGTTTTAATTGCTAATTTTGTAGGTGCACTTTGGCACCTTGTGTTTCTCAACCGGTGTATGTGAATGATGATAAAAACAGCACTGTAGGAACTAACAGGAAAGCAACAAGGAGGAATCTAATTTTTGTTTCACAGCTGCTCAGGCGCAGCTTCAGGCAGCTAAAATAGAACCTTGTTATGACATTAGCATTTAAAGGAGTTTCTACACCATTGCTCTCTTGATTTCTTACCTGGAGGAGCTAATTGTACTCTTCTCTTAGTATTAATTAAGTTACAGGACAGTTAGTGCAGTGCTTTTGCTGCTTTTAAATACATGTACCACAGAGGGGAGTGTTTTCATTGGTGGTAAACTGACAATAATGTTAATACCAACCTTTCTGAGCAGCCATGGCGTGTGCTTTATGGATGTAGTAGCACTCGAATTTAGTTAGAACCACCAGTGGAAGGCTTTGCCCTCCTTTAGGTAGCCCTATTAGAGACTAAATGTTACTTTTGACAGTTGGAACAAATGAGGGAGAGAGCAGGAAAGAGGAGAGAAGATAACTGTCGCTCTCTTTGAGCTATTGCAGCCATCCAGTATGGGCCTTCTTTGTATTCAGAGAGCACCTCGTTTTTGTGTCAGCGCGGGACAAGAGAAGCACTTAACGTGACATTTAGAGATGCTCAGAGATTCTCTCTGGAGGCCAGAGGGAGGGAGAAAAGAACCAATGATGTTATCGCAGACATGTGTTTTAAATGCCAGGAGGGGTGCTTTGCCGAGAGCTTTGGTCAAAAAGATAAGAGAATAACCCGGCCTATGGTCTTGCACCTATTGCACCGGTTCTGGGGCTCACGTTAAGCTTTGTCTGAAATGGTTTCATCTCTTTTCTATCAGATATGATCTTATAAGGCTTACAGAACAATCTTCTTAGATTGTACATTAGGGTTGCTGTTATCCTTAGAAGAAATCCACACATGCACGGTGCATTTTAAATAGTCGGCCACAGAGTAGGACACACTGAGCTTTATGAGTGGGCGACACAAGCTTCCTGGGATTCTGAATCTTAACCAGATGGTCGTAATACACATCTTTACTGTGGATCACAGCCATGTTTTAAAGACTCTGTCCCCTGAATAATATCAAAAATCTCCTTTTCATTTAATCGAAAATCTCCTTTCCATTAATACCAGACTAAATACTTCCTACTGATCCAGATTTATCCTGAGGGGACCTCCTCACCAAGACAGCATGAATATTTAACAGGTAAAGAAAGGTCAGTCTTCTGGTATGGACACCAAGATTGAACTAATCAATCATCATTTCTTTGGGAAATGTCTGCATGTTGCCACTGGATACAGAGATTTTTCTTCACGTGAATATTGTCAAAAATATTTTTTAACAAATGAATCCATGTAAATCCTTGAAATGAGCGTCTGAATATTCTGCAATTCAAATGTGCGCCACTCATCCATCTTACAAATGTGTCTTTCTTCACCCGGTGTATGTAAGCATTTGTACACAAAATGCCATGTAGCGTTTGATGCAAGGTCTAACGACTCTGCCGTACCCTGCAATAAATCAGGCAGGGAGTTAGATGTATGAAGATAGTGCTGCATAGTGATGAAGCTGCTGCACGGGGAGAAGAGTTTAGGAAACAAGGTTAGCTATTCATCACGAGACATCCTACCCATACATCCGGAGAAGTTCCACAGACTCATTTTTCGTCTCCGATGCGGTGACTCGTTCCTGTAGGCTGCAGGTTTTATGCTTCATCACAGCCTCGGACACCTTGTTGAACAGTTCCCTTGGAAATGGCACCTAATGTAGGAGGAGAGCACAACAGAAGCATCACAATATTAATACTGTCACTGGCGACAGCTGCATACTGTGGGCAGCTGAATTGGGTTTTTCTGGTAGGAGCTGGAAAGAAAGGTGTCTTATTCTGTAACACCACGACTTCTCTTGGAAACAAATAATTCTCTTTTCTGCTTTCATCATATTTGACCATTTTCCTTCAGTTTGAACCACTGCAATTTGCCAAACGCTCCCTTGCTCTGCCACGTGCTTATATTCTATGTGTGTTTACTCAAGGAGGAATAATCCATTTGTACATTTCTCGCCATCTCAGGGCCCCTTGAATATTTAAGGCTTTGATGTTTGGTTGTCTAATGCAGTTACCTAAGCAGCTTGCCATAACCGGCCTCCCAGAGATTCTCCCCGCACGCTTCTCTCCTTTTTTCTGCAATGTGTCTGGATTGCGAAAATAAAGTATCCTTTTGAAGCCTCTCCTTGCTGCCTCTTGGGAAGGTGTTTTCAGTAGATAATGACTTATTTCAATTCACACCTTACCCGAAGAGTGCTGCACAAATCTTTTTTTTATTTTTTATTTTTTATTCCTATTTGCTAAAGGCTTGAGCTCCTGCAAATGTTGTGACATGAATTTAATCATGACCCACTGGCAGGAGCACACATGGCAGGTTTGGCCAGACATTAATTATTCCATTTCTATGGCTAATACAACAAAGAGGTCCAGCTACCAGGTAGCTGGCATTGATGCAATTTGGAAAAAGGGAAGCACAAACAAGGCTGAAGACTGGGACAGTTTCCAATGTACGTGTGCCTGGAATTTGGGATTTCCGAATTCATGCGGCATGCAGTCTTAAGCAATGTTGCTGTAAATTGGCTGTAAAATAGTGAACTGTTGACTGCCAGAGTTATTGGGCACGTGGCCCAGACAGTCCCTGACTCAGCTCAAAGGCATGGTTAACCTGGCACAGACACACACCAGCTGGATGGACCATTAACAGCAATAATAAGTCTGAACCTCACCAGAATGAGCTGACATGCTCTTGTCTGCATCATTTTCAAGTATAGAAGTGAAATCTGAGAGAAACTGGTGTTTTTATGTCAATGTAATCTTGTTGTAATACAATAAATATACAGTATATTAACAGCTTCTCCTTTAGAAAGAAAACAATTTAATCCACCACAACTACAACTACATTATCCAGGCCCTCCAGAAATGAACAGATTAAAGTTCCCCTCCAGTCAAAAATATGTATTTAACTTTTTATAGATTTTAAGGTGGAAATTATATTGTTGTGTGGATATTTGTATTTGTGTATATTTCTAAATATTTGTCCGGAGGTGATTTTTAAACATTAAAAGTAATAACATTTTGTATTGTACAGGTTTAGTAGCATTTCTTGGTCTCGTGTCTAGTTTCTATCAGCAACGTGAGAAATGTGTAGGTTGCAAATAATTGCATGCATTTAATAATTTCATTAAATTTAAAGAAATTGTTTGACTTTTGGGAAAATTAGTTTATTCACTTTCTTGTCAAGGCTGCTACATACCACTCTCGTCCGTATGCTTTTCTAACCTTTAGATAGAGCAATGTTAGATACTTATTTCTTGTATTTATGCTAAGCTAAGACAGCCACCTGCTAGCTCATAATATATAACTTTTCATCTAACTCGAAATAAGCATACTTAACAAAAGACAAACATTTCTTTTAAGTTATTGTGCAATGTAAGCCTACCTTCAATAATCAAGCCTGTGAAAAACGAGAATGCCTCTATCTAGAGCCAGTGTTTGTTTGTCCCTTCTGGGCTACTGTAGAAACATAGGGGAAATACCGGGGACAGGGACTAAAAGTCTGCACCTTTAAGTTGGGGTTCTCATCTTTGTGTGGTCTGTGTGGATCTCTGTTTTGATGAAGCTAATAAATGAAATGAAATCATGTATTCTATATAATCATTAGCACTCTGGGAAATTTCTTTTATGGTTATCATGCAAATAATAAACATTAAATGAGTAAATGTTTATCGTATTGTTGCAGTTTTCTACACTAATGAAATGGAACCTTTTATGGATTTACGGCATTGAAAGATGAACACAGTGAGTATATGAAATCCAGGTGGTGAATTTCAGAATAAGAAAAAGTGGCTCTAAAAAGTCGCTGTGTAAACACACACACACACACACACACACACACACACACACACACACACACACACACACACACACACACACACACACACACACACACACACACACACTTTTTTCAAAAGAAGGCATCATGCTGCAGTCACAGATTGGGCTTTTTAAGATGAAAAAGTGTTTTGACACAATTAAGCTCAAAGAGAAAAACTTCATTCACAGACACCCTCAGAACACATTGACCTAATTAAACTTTTTGATCCAGTATTACATGACTGCTTATATGTGAGATGTTGGAGAGGTAGTGTACATGTTAACAAAGGCAGGAAGATAAAAACTATAAAAGCTTTGGTTACTGTCAGATATTCCATATGATAAGTTTTCTTTGCCTTGATCACAACTCCAGTTCACACACATCAATAATCAGATTTTACTTCAGGGTTTCACTTCGACTGCTTTATATCAGTCGGCATGAGAAACTTGTTTGAAATATTCTCTCTTGAATGAAGAAGGAATGTTAATTAAAAGATATTTCCTGGCGATTTTTGCCCTTAACGTTTTGTTATTCCTTTATTTATTATTCGTTTGCTCATTTGTTCCTTTAAACCTAACGTAATACATGTACTCCGTCCTTGGGACTGTCAGCATTAAAGGGTCCTCCTGAATCAGCCAGTTTATTTAGCAAATGTTAGCAATGGATCTCGCTGAATGAATCTCTCTCCCAGTAAGAAAGTAGAGATGCTTTGAAATTTTGTGTATCTTGCTTTAAAATGTGTCAGCTCCAGTAATTCAGACACTTCACCTTGAGTTTAAAGAGTAATTCTACTACAAAATCTATTCTATTCCACTAAACCGGTTTGGTTTAACTCAATTAAACCTCTCCAAGGTTTAATGTGGTTAGAGCAGGAACATCAGTAAATCAGTTTGCAATTATCTATCAATGAACACCAGTGTTTCCTGTTGTAGGCCTATCGGTTGTCCACAGATGCTTTATACTGTTTGAAAAGCTCATCAGTTCATTAAATCCCCGCAGGTCACTGTTAATAAATCTGCAGCCTCTGATTGGTGCTGCACCAGAATGCAGTGCTATTACACACAAGCGTCCACTGTGTTTACCTTCATTAAATCGTGTGCAAATGTCACCAGGCTACAACAACACCTCAACACACATTAGACTGGTTGGTTATAACTCACAGACATTACTGGAGCTCATTTGGCCTTGTTTCCAATAAAATAATAAATAAAATCAGTGCTTTTATTCTTGACATGCATTATGAAGCAACCACTGCTGTGTAAGTAACCATTAACGATATGAACTACTGTGGAATCATAGCTGAAGTAGTGTCGCACTGCAATCATAGAAAGTATAAGTAACAACTGAATAGTTATGCATGCCGCTAAGGAGGTTGTATAAATCATAAAATGTTACAGTTATACTCACTGATGGTACAGCATTAGTGTTTCAGTGTTTCATTAATTGCAGCCATTTTGTGACACAGTAATTGAGACAAGACCTAATTTATTGATTTTATATTTCAATATCGATCTGGCTTACTACAATGTGCAACAATGCCAAGTGGCTCGGGCCAGCAAGACAGGTGATGCACACTGTAACCATGGCGATTGAACTCTATCTTGGTCGCTGATTGGCCACCTGCCTTAGTTGTGATGATTATTGTATTTATATATATATTTGACATTGTGTTGCAGGCTGGAGCGAGGGGGATGGAGAATGAGCTGTTTTGATCTGCAGAGGGAGCAGGCCCAGAATGGACAGACCAAACACTGGTTCTGGATAGGGCCTTTAATTGTTTTTGCAGTGACCGTAGTTTCTCCTACACGCCTGGGGTGAGCGGGTTGTAATTGGCGACCACATCTATAGATGCCACTAAATCCTAAACATTAGTCCGTTAAAACTCACACTCTATTGACACTTCATGTCTGGACTTGATTAACACAGTTTCAGATTTGTAAAAACTTTCTTCTGTTTGTAAAATCAGAAAAAAAGCACCATCCATCCAAACCACATCAAACAGGTTTAGATCAAAACGTATTCAGACATGTCAAACTTGTCAGACCACAAACCACATTGGACCAGGCACTAGCTCAGTTTGTTCCAACACAGAAGCAGCATAATAAAACTTCAGAAATCTAAAGACAGACTCTAAAAATATACAAAAAGACAGCCCCAGTATTAAAAGGGAAAACTCTAACTGATTGACTGGTCTTATACATCGAGTAATGATACATAATTACTCAGTTATTAAACCTTTCTGATGCGGCTGAAGGTTTATTTCCACCAGTAATGTTTGTAAACACAATAGTAAACTGATATTTCAATGTTATTACTTTAGAAATATTGTACAAACTGCTGCAAATTACTTTTTTTGGCCACTTTATGAGCTCAAACTGAAGCTTCCTTTATCAGCAAGCTCACTTTTATGAAATAGTTTGATAACCACATTATTAAGCATGTTCAAAGTTCACCTAAAGTCCACAGCATTAGCATGGACGAAACACTAATACTAACAATGTTTAAACAAGTTTAAAAATTGCAGATAAAAATATATTTTGTGGGTACTTAGTCCCACTTTACTATCACTACGGCCCTGACTGCAACTAGAGACAATATTTGTTATCTGAAGAAGCTACATGTTATGTAGCTGTATCAGTGCCGGTCTGATAGGACTGGTGCACTGGTCATTGTCACCTGAGGTCATTGCACCATAATTTGAAGGAAAAGTGTAAAATTGGTTTCTGTGCAGCAGCGGAACAAAAACTCTGCAATTTGGCACAAGGTGAGGATTTATAACCAATTACTCAAACATATTCTCGGGCTATTAAATTCTACTATGTTATACTATGAAACCAGGAGAACTTGTAAATAAAAAGAGCCACCCCGAAAGGGAAGACAACATACATGTAAGTTCGGCAAGGCTATGTCGAAATGAATCAGCAAAGCCAGGAGAAGGTGACCTTTATATTGGAGTGCATGCCACAATAAAGCTTGAAGAGTGAAATTACAGTAATTTTCCCTCTGACATTCATTCTGCGGCTCGAATCAACTTCTGCAGAAAGTGACATGCAGGCCCTGTACTCGTGGAGACGATAAACATCCATCAGTGCTGATGGTAAAGGCAGGAAGGCTGATTAGACCACGCAGGAGACATCACCATCAACTGTGTCTCCAAAGCTTCAATTACCTGCTAGAAAATGCAGATTGTATCACAGGCCTCCTCTCCAATGTCCTCGCAGCGTAGTGGATATTAGACCAATCTGGGTTGTTCTGTCGAGCTGCCAAGGTGCACAGCGTGGGCCAACAGCTTCCTTTTCATGCGGGACCAAGTGGGGAGAGTGTCCCTTTTGATTAAGCGTTTTGGATGAGGCTGTGGTGGGAGCCCGGCACAGGTTGGCATGGTGCCGTCGCTGCGCTGCAGGTCTGCGGGCCTGCTGGTAGATCCCTGTGGCGGAGAGTTCACACATCTTCAGTCACTCACACCACATGTAGCCGAGGCAAATGGCCGGAGTTATCAATTTACTGCAACCAAACGTGCTCTATGGCATCTAACATGATTTACAATCAAAACATTAAATCCTGCAGATAAAGAAAGAACATTTTCTACCAACAGTGCAGAGCTAAATGAGTAGCTGCGTTTACTTTTTAATGTGCTCAACTATCAGATAAAGGTCAATAAAGACAATAAAGAAAGCAGCAGAGAAAACTTAAAAGTAAATCCTTACAGAATCTGTTTAGGGATTTCAATGTCCTAATAACCGCAAAACTTTTCAGACAATAATTACGAGCTGCTGAATCTGAAAAAACATTTCTTGTCAGCCTCCTAGTTTCAATTCCTAGTCAGAGATAAAAATGAAAAACCACGACTGAATTCAGGCTGTTTAAATACAGTACTGTGAAAGCTAGCTGTGGTGGACTCCTGTTCTTCCTATTTTGGCTACATTGTGCGAATGTAGCATTAGAGCTAATTTGCTAATATTAGCACAGCAACATGCTACACTAAGGCAGCGATCATGGTAAACACAGCAGTTAAACACAGGCATGTTTAGCACTGTCAGTTAGCATGCTAACACGGCTGAAGACTCTCAATTCAATTCAATTCAATTTTATTTGTATAGCGCCAATTCATAACAGAAGTTATCTCAGGACACTTTTCAAATAGAGCAGGTCTAGACCGAACTCTTTAGTCCAGTCAGTCCAGTTAAGATGCGGCTTATTCTCTTCCTCTGCATTTGGATTCATCTCCACTTTAAGTGTGATTATTGGCTGAGAAACGTATCATTTGTTTGCTGCCACCGGCTGTTAACGCTATCACAGCATCCTGACTATACCCCAGTCCAGAGCCTGTAACCGGTAATAAAACACCCAATCTCTACCAACAATGCAGAGCAAATAAGCACTGACTGCCAAAATGTGTAAAATTAAATGTGTTAAATTAGAAGATTAAGGTCAACAAAGGCATCCAGATTCTCAGTAACCACTTTCTAAAATATGTGCCAGGACAAAAGCTGCTTTTAAACTCTTTTAAATAGAGAGCTCAAAAGTAATTACTTACATTTCTTTAATATATGGCCAATTCTTCCTTTAATCTGTTAGAAACTACTGGACCAAACTGGATACAGAGTGATTCAAGTGTAATGAATGGCCAAACAACATCCAAAACCTTTGTAAGTATCTCCACAGTTTGCTGCATCTGTCTGTTACTGCCAACATGGCACCATTATATGGCATGCTGACTTTCCATCCCAGTACATCCAGCACCTCTAACAGCTAACAAAAGAACTGGGACCAATAAGCAGACTCCAGGTTGCCAGTCAGCACAACAAACACATCCAGAGGCAGGCGTCAAACCATCAGAGACTGGAAGTCAGAACACGTACAGGAAATTAGACAGGAAACTGCGGCAACACTTGACAAACAACAGCAAGTAATCTGCCTGTTACATACACAGGGACTAATGAGCTGATGAGCAGTCAGGTGACGATCAGGTGATCAGTGACAGCAGCTAGTGGGCAGGTGAGGCATGACAGTGACAGGAGAGGGTTGCACAGAGGAGCTGGAGGACGAAGGAGCAGCTGTCACCACGACAGCACCGCTGCCTGTACATTTTCCATGGTGACAGATTACAGCATCTGAATGCTCGAGGCTTCATTTATACCTGCACACGGCCTCCACCTGTAGATCTGATCCAGATAATGTGAGCAAATTAGGCTGCAGGTTTTGTCTGTTTTGTATTTATCGCATTACTTTTCGTATTAAAATGATTTATTTCTATTATCTTCCACAATTTGTTTTCTCCTCGCGTATATCTTCTTCTATAACCTGGAGAACCAGGAGCAGATATTTCTTGATGCTATGAGGCTGTTAAGTTTTGGATAATTCTTCATACTCTACAAAATGAATCAGCAACAGCAGCTATGATACCCCCACGATTCTTTTTTTCAACCCCCCTTAAAATTTTCTCAATTTTTCTTGTGCAGCAGTTTTACAATCCATTTGCTTCCTTTATTAGAGTCTCAGGCTGCTCATTTGCAAGAGATGCCCCGAAACTCTCGGCTCAGAAGAGGTCCCACTGCAACAGTCCCAACATGAACTTTCTCAGTGCTGCTCAACATCATTTTAAAATCAATACTAATTCCAGTAAATACAAAAATACATACACATTTGCAGGTGCATCGGACCGGCCCTTGGCTGAAAATGAAAAAAGACAAAAACAGATAAACAGAAATCCCAAACCAATCCAATCATAATTTCCAGGAAGCTTCAGTTCCATTATTGGGAGCCCTGTACATTGCAGCAGTACGCTGAATCAGCACTTCCCGGGGGTTATTTCTCATAAGGCTTGTGTAGTGAGCGTCAGGGACATCGTAAATATCCCAGCTGCACAGCCAGAACAACACAAGTCTCGCTTCACTGCACAAAACATTAATGCAGATTCTTTCCCATCAGGGATTCTGCTCAGATTTTAATCAGCATGCCATTTGTAGAAAAGGTTTCTTTTGCAAAATGAGCACTGTATCATATCGTATCTGGAGGAGGCCGTACAGGTAAAGAGCATGCTGACACAGGCGGTTATCATCACCGACGCAAAAGACCTAATGTCCAGCAGTTCACTTGTGCATGACCTTTAGAAAAGGAGATATTTCTTGTCCTGACACTTTCCATAACAGATTCCTTTCCGACCCTCCACCGCCCTCCCCTCAGGATGAGGGATGGTGACTCCTCGCAGACACAAAGAGAGGTGAGCCACCGACTAAACTCCCATACAGATTAAGTAAAAGTCTGAGCAAGAGGGCAAAGTGCATTCAGTGCAGAAAGAGGATTGAATAGAATACATACCAAAGTGCATCCTGGTTAAATCCCTTGATGGAGGGCGTTTAAGGCAAAATAACAAAAGCTTCTGATCAGTGCAGCTTAAAGGAATTCCATTACTCGGGGCTAAAATGCCTGTAATGTCCCTATAGTGCTGTAAATTCAACTGTACTGCATCACGTGTTCGAGTCTGTTGGTGTCCAGTGTTGAAGGAAAACCTATGGGAGATGATGACGAAACGGCGGCCATATAACACATACACATGCGCATGCTGCCAACACCCACGTAAATTTCTCTCACGCAGGGTGCCAATTATTGACTTGACATGTTGGAATCTGTCCATGGTGCTGAAATAACTAGTCTCACACTCGCCTGAGGATGTAACGCCACTGCATGGCGACTTAAATCACATAAAGTCACACACTGCGGGGACCTGCCTGCGACAATCTGACAAACTAACATATCAAGACAATATCTTCCCTGTAGAGACATACAGAGACGATCAACAGGTGCACTGATGAATACAACAGATCTGAGCTTCTTTATGAATGCTTTATCTATATTAAAATGTTAGTATAAACATATAGATTGAGTCTGTCACTGTGTTATAGCCCACCACAGGAACACATGATCAATAAGAGTTAAAAAGTGATACAAAATAAGTAAAACACATAATTAAAATCACTGGTGTTTACATATGTTATGTCCTATATTATTGGAATTAGTGATTTTCCACCCGCAGTTGTTCTAGGCCAATCAAACTGTGTGTGTGTGTGTGTGTGTGTGTGTGTGTGTGTGTGTGTGTGTGTGTGTGTGTGTGTGTGTGTGTGTGTGTGTGTGTGAGACTAGAGATGTGGTTGCGTCACCGGCTCGGCAGCCGGGACAGATGACTGGCGCAGATGTAGAGTCAAGGCAGCCAGAACAGAACCGGAAATGTCTTTTTCTAGCCCTTCAAAATAAAGGGGTGAGTGGGAACTGGAGAACCTAGAACAGCTGGTTTCATACCATATTTACCTGTTTCATCAACAGTGAGTGATCTCACAGCTGAGGTTCCCTGTTCAGACTTAAAAGACAGAGTTTTAGTTGTTCTGCCCTTTTTTCATTAAGAATCTCCAAACTAGATTAGTGCTGTGAATAATTATTTCACACTGATATTTCTAGAGCTTTGATTCTCTGCCCAAACCTGATTAAACCCGATTGGATCAGACTCGATCCGCCGGGTTTAGGCCCAAAACAGCTGCCATAGGTTGTCTCGGACAGAATTAGATTCAAACAAATATATGTAATCTTGTAAATAATGAGTGAAGGTGCCATTGATTAGTATTGATCATGTATTATATGCACAAAGTCGTTTACTTTAATGTGATTAACATTTATTTATTGAATTATTTTGCCTATTTAAAGCAGAAATTCGGGTTTGGGTCGGACCCAAAACTGCTTCCAGGATTCGGGCTCAGTTCGGGCTCACACAAGAACCTTTTGGGCTCAGATCGGGTCTGATTTTTAGTCCCGATCATAAAGCTCTACTACTTCAACCAACTCGGGTATTCTTATAACAAAAGTATGCACATGGTAGTCACTAAAAGTGGCTTGAGATGTCAACACAATTAAAGAATGTGTGTGATTTACAGCCTTTGCAGATTCTAATTTAAATACTTTAAAAAGACATTTAAATTGACTGTTTATATCTGACTTAATTCCGGTTTGAAACTCCAAATATCTCCAATATATCCAAATTATTCTTCCCCATTTTAATGCCGTTAAACGCTCGTTCAAAAACCTCTGATTTCTAAAGTCCTGGCCGGAAGTGGGTGTGTTAATGCTGGGAGCTTGTCTCGGGGCTCCTGGCTCAGATACCGATCAGCAGTTGTCTTTGACAGGACAGCCGAGCCCCGACGCTGCTCACGCGGGGGATGTCCGTCTCGCGCTGCAGTGTCGAGAGGAGTCATTGCGCGCGAGCTATTATAGCAGCGAAGACATAACTGAAATGTGTGTGTGTGCATGTTTATTTTTTTTTTAGGAAATTAGAGTGACAGCTTTAAGTTTGAGAAGTGGACCTGCTCTCGTGCAGGACATGAGCTCACCTGCTTCAACTTAAACTGCAGGTTGGTTCTTTCTTTCTTTCTTTCTTTCTTTCTTTCTTTCTTTCTTTCTTTTTGTTTTTAAAAAGCAAAAACGCACCTGAAGTGAAACTGCAGGATGAGACGAGGGGAGGAGGACTCGGACATCACGTTACCGTTTGTGCCGACGGCGTGATTTCCAGTTTTTTTTCCCACCATGGAGGAGAAGTTCAACAGACTCATCTTCATCCCCGTTGCGGCGGTGCTGTTCCTAATGATCGGCTACCAGTACGTGTGCCCGGCGGACAGCAACACCTGCTACTTCAGAAGTGACGAGAAGGGGCTTTTCCAGCGGTATTCATCGGGGTTTGAGTTAGTTTACACTGAGCCGGAGGCGGACGAGGACCTTCCCTCCAGAATCACATCCAAATTCAACTTCACGGAGCGGGACCTGGACCGGCACGTCGACTTCAACATCCGCGGGGACGATGTGATGGTGTTCCTCCACATTCAGAAGACCGGCGGGACGACGTTTGGGCGGCACCTGGTGAAGAACATCCAGCTGGAGCAGCCGTGCGACTGCATGCCCGGCCAGAGGAAGTGCACCTGTCACCGGCCCGGTAAAGCCGAGTCGTGGCTCTTCTCCCGGTTCTCCACGGGCTGGAGCTGCGGGTTGCACGCGGACTGGACCGAGCTCACGAGCTGTGTGCCGGTAGTGATGAACAAGAGGGACAAGAAGAGTGCCCCGAAGAACAAAAGGTGAGGAGCGACCTGCAGGACAGGTGTAGTCAGTAGGAGGACACTCACTCACTCATTTATTATCTAACCAGGTCATAAAATGTAGAATTGGTCTGTTATTCACTCATTCATAATTCATTCACTCATTGAGTCTCATTTACTCACAGTTAACTATATTCATTCACTCGACTCGTTAACTAGTTCACACATTCACTCATTCACTCACTGATATTGTTACTGATTTTATTCATTCATTCACAGACTCATCTTCTCAATATTAGTTCATTCATTCATTCATTCACCCCTTCACTCACTCACCTCTTCACTCACTCCCTCACCCCTTTTCTCACTCACTCATTCACTTTATTCACTGGTTTGCTCAGTTTCTTAATATGAATTAATTAATTAATTCATTCATTCATTCATTCATTCATTCATTCAGTTGCAGTAATCTGAGCTGTAATCAATCAATAGTATTGTCACTGTTCACTAAGTCATGAGAGCTACTAACACACAATGCTGAGTGGAGTTCAAATGATTAATTGATTAGTCAATTGATAGAGAATACATTTTAATAATGATCAGTAACTTATTGAGCAGAAATATCTGACATTATAAATTGATTATTGTTTATTGTTTTGATTGTTTGTGATTTAAAGACAACACTGTGGGCCTTCGTCACAGTTTGAATTAATTGATTACGACAATAATTATTAGTAGAAGCTTTATAATTGATGTTTTTTGAGCCTACAAGGAGTTTTGTTAGCAGAG